GTGGTGTACTAACTGTGGTGTGTGAGACACTTGCGAAGCGCTTTACCACAGCACATGAATAAGGACAGGCTCATTGTGCCAACAAGGCGCACGGAGGCGTGCTCAGCACATCAGCCCATGCATACACCGCCCCGCCCTAAACTGCGGCTGCCCATGCAGTACCATGTGCCTTGTACACACCGCAACCCAGCCGTGACCATAACGGTCTTAACGGATCAACCTAAAACTAGCTAACCACCCCCCCGCCTCCACCCTCTCGTTCTTTTCCCCCAGTGTCTCATTATATATTTTTTACCCACCCCACCTGCGAGGGAGGCACATGGAACACGATGGCCACATGCGCCGCCTCCTCGCGCGGGTCGAATTCGCCCTTGCCACCGCGGCGGCCCCGGCGGCGCTGCAGGTCCTTGGCGGCGGCAGCCCGGGCGCCCTCGCTCTCGCGGGACAGGCGGTACTCCTAATGGGGTGGCGGGGTGGTGGGGTAGGGTAAGTAGGGAGGTGGTGGTGAGACGGAGTGAGGGTGGGTAGCGGTGGACGCCAAGTGTGCTTGCTTGCATGTCGTGCTCAGGGGCAGCACATACATCGCCCTTGGTCCTTGCTTGGGGCGTCTGGACGACTCATGCACCACCACCGACCCACGGGTCAGCACTGCCACCACCACCACCCACCGCCCACGGCCCAAGCAGCACACGCACCTGCTTGGTGTCGCCAGCCGCCTTCAGCGGGTAGGCCTCCACCAGGATGTCATTCTCATCCACAAAGTCCAGGAAGTCCTGCACGTCGCGAGACCTGCGCGGCGGGGGGTGCGGTTACAAAGGGGAAAGGGGAAGGGGCATGTTGCAGGGGGGTGCTGTGAACTTGGATAAAATAAGAGGCACTCGTATGGAGGACTAGCTTACCGAGGCGAACAGGCCTGTGAAGGTAGGGCGATGTACTCTCCTACATTCGGAATCGGCATGCATGCATCCCCCCAATCCTTCTTTCCTGCCCCCTCCCTCTCCCCTTCCCCCCTTCCCGTCTCACTGCAGGTGGTCGGCCAGGTCCCGGAAGGTTTCCCACTCGGTGTACGACCAGAAGTCGGTGTTGTCGGTGGCGGTCTTGGACAGCTGGAAGAAGGTAAGGCCGGAGGCGTCCTCGTACGAGTCAGCCAGGTTCTGCCTGTGAGTTGAGGAAGTTTATAACGAACTTAAGATGGTGGATGGGACAGGTCCGACAGCAGGGTGGGTGGCTTCGTAGGCAGTCGGTCCAAGAGCAGGAGAGCAGGATGCATGGTGCATGGTACGGTAAACAAGAGCAAATGATGAGCGGACTCCCGATCGAGGTTCCTCACGCCACCGGGCAACAAAGCACCCTCCGGCAGCGTCGCATGCCGGCAACCTAACTAACCCCTTCCGTTAACCAGTTTGTTACTCATAAACCACAACGGAGCCCCCTTCTCCACGCTTTCCCTCGTGCAGCCGCAGCCTAGCACCCTCCTCTCATCACAGGTTGCTTAGGTCATGCAACCGCTGATGCCGTACCAGCGCAACTGTGCCCCATGCAACGCACCCATGGCTCCCCGAGCGTGTCAGCCGCCGACCTTTCCCCCCTTCCCTCCCTCCTCACCATTCCTTGATGAACTTGTCATGCAGCGAGGGCGGCACCTCGTACCGCACCGACAGGTAGGCAGGCTGGTCCTCCTCCTCGCCGCCACCGCCCCGCTGCAGCAGCCACTGGGGTAGGTGTTGGGGAATCAAGAGGAGGTTGGATGGGGAAGAGAAGGGCGGGAGGGGAGAGGGAGGGAAGGGCAGGTGGTGATGGGAGACGATAGGGCCAGAATGTTTTGCTGGGCGGTAGCTAGAGCACAGCGCTCTAAACAAAAGAGAAGTGAAAAGGCTAGCTTGCTTGCTGCACATATTAGTGCACGTGACCCATGGGACAGGTGGCATGCGACCCATGGGTCGGTCGCATGCTACCAGTTCCCCTCGTCCCGAACGGCTTGCAATCGTGATGTGGTACAGGAACTTAACTACAACAATGGAATGTAGCGGGAGCTGAAAGGGGCCCAAGCAGAACAGGACGACTCCCGTGCCAGTCGTCCAAGCAGCGACACAGCATATGGTGTGCCCCGTTCAGTTCATTCGACATCCGGACGGCGACCGCATGCCTCACGTGCTAACCTACTAAGGACTACTTACCACAGCCAAACAAGCGCACAGAACAGATGTAATCCTACCGAGATCATGTTGAGGTTGTTGGGGCTGGTGGTCTTGAGGCGCAGGCTGTTGCTAATGCGCTCGAAGGGCGACGTGGTGGGGCCCACGCGAGCCGCGGATGCGACCGTCAGCAGCAGCAGCGCCACCGCCGCAAACAGGCGATTCATCTTGGCTTGAGTTTGCTGGCAAATGCAGCAAGGAGAAAGGAGCTGGCAAGCGAGGATGTTGTTGGAGCAAATCGGAGGCAACCGCGGAGCGGTTTTGTGCGGTGTGGTTATGATGGCTTGGGATTACCGTGCAAGGGCTGTAAGCCTTGTGAGGTAAGATGAGGAAACGCTAGCTTTTTTATAGCAGCGACGCAGACCTCCAGTGGAGTGGATGAGAACATTCTCCGGAACCACGAGACCGTTAGGCCCGAACCGTTGGGCCACGAGACCGCAAAAACGTGACGGATTCTTGGCCTGGAATCGGCATCTGTGTCGGAGGTCTTGCGTCTTACTGTACGAAACGCAAAGCCAGGCCAAAGCCGGCCTTTCTACGCGCCATGTAGCAAATCTGTGGGCGCAATGCAAGCGAACAGAGGTATCCGATCATAACATCCAAGTGCACGCGCACGACGTCACAAGCAAGGTTTATGCTCTTCTGACGCAATGCCTCCATGCAAGACGATCGCCCTTTGTCGGTAGCACAAAGGAGCAGTCAGCATGCGGCGACGATAGGAACCACGTCTGCATACCAAAGCTTACTTGCGTTCCAGTCGACGCGCGCTCATACGTACGCACAGTCTGGCCTGCGTTGTCATTGCATTGGACACGGCTGCGTAGCGAATCAAGCAACTTCGCAAGCCAACCACACGTCAGGGTTACAGGGAAGCGAAAGCTAGATGCCGGGTAGATGCTTGGCTGCTACGCTGCTCCTGCGTGCGCTACTTTGCTATCCAGTAGTGGGGTTACTACTACCGTATGCGTTCGCCTCTGCCCTCTTACGGCGTCATCCAGCAGCAAACCACGCACGCTTACTTCGATTAACGCTCCCCACCTGCCTGTTGGCTGCGGCAGCCACGCCAATACACACCGGCACGCGCGTGCCCTAGCTTAGCATGTGAGTATATGCTCCCGCTCCCGACTACCTTCACATTCGCACGTGCTGCTGTCTTTTGCAGGGCCCACGCCCTGTTGCTTCGTTCCCCAGCACGTCGTTGCTCTGCGTTTGCATGCTGCATGCTCCTGCTGCTGTTGCTACTGCGTATGCGTACGTGCACACCTACCTTGCATAACTACACACGCAAGTATGTGCATCACCCGCGGTTCAACAGCAGCTGGTTTGCCACACGAGTAGTGCCGCCGTACTCCTCAAGCACTCCACGCACCCCGATCCGCGGCCTCAGTATCGTGTCACGCATGCATGCATGTGCCCTGGTGACGCTAGATAGGTGCCGTACATAGGAAGCAAGTGTGTGCTGATGTGTCGTGCGGATGTATGACGAGGTTCATGGCGGTCTCATGCATGGTTCCCGCAGCCTGCAGCAGGGCCATGCAGCCGACCCGATTTGCTTGGCTGCTGGGCTGGTGCGGGTGCGGGTGCCTGGGGCCAGGTTGGGTGGAAGGGGCTGCGCCATTCGTAGCGGTGGTGGTAGTGCTGGTGCTCATGAGGGGCCGTAGCGGGCAGCCCTGAGTCGGAACTGGGCGCAGTCGGGTGGGCTAGCTAGCTGGGTTTGCGAGGGGTGCAGATGGAACGGATGGGGGTTCGGTGGGGTAAAGTACGGCAATGGTGCGACACGGCCGGTCACCACGGTTGACACATGCAGGAAGGCAGGTGGTAGTGGGGCGGTGAGCAGGACGTGTGAGACGTGGGTGGCAACGCGCATCACCAACTTCACGTTTAAGGAACCATGTTGACGGCCCTTCATCCTTCATAGCTAGGGCACACCATGCTGCGCAGCCAAAGCCGACTCGGGCCTCGGGGAACGTGCTGGCTGTGTGGAGTACGTGTAATAGTGAGCGAAGCGATGCCCTTGTATCGAACTTAAGTGCTAGGTCAATGCACGACTTAGCTTAGCAACAGACAAGACATGCGTTGTGTGCGCGTGTCCAGGTTGCGCCGTTACGGACTGGGGCTGCTTGGTAGGGTCCACCGGAGAAGCTGTTTGTTTCCACTCGGCTACTGCGACTTGCTAAGCGGCCTCACCGCCCTTTGCCATTAGCGAACTGAAAGTTTCCACAAGGAAACCCGCAGAAGCCGGCAATGAGCAGAGTATCTGACCTCAAATGCCAGTCGGCGTATGTGACGGAGGACGCTCACAGCTTCCATTGCTCCAGCTTGCAAGGTAAAGCCATGGTCAGGCCAGAACCGTCTACCCAAGAGCCGCCTTGGTTAGTGCACTCGTTGCTTGAAATCAAACCGCTCAGGGCTCCCTGTTACCGGGGAGAGTGAAAGGGGCATAGACATGGAGATCAAGCTACAGCCAGGAGCGAGAACTAAAAGCGATACAACGCATATATAAAAATTCGTCCACAAGCAGACATGGTTTAGAGATACGAGAGCCTATGGTTTGGTGTTGTCCTTCTTGCACAATTGAGTCATCGCAGCGACGTGCGTTGCCCAAATAGTATCTCGCGATTAGGTACCGGCGATATTAGAGCTTTGACATTGACTGTATTATTTTATGCAGCAGGGTAATTGCCAGCTAGGCGCAGCTGTATCAGCCAGGTGTGCGGCTAACCGGGCAGATCAGATTCGGTATGTGCCGTACACATGCCTCTGCTCTCTTTATAAACAGTTGCTGCTGCGTAACTTGCATTACATCATTGTTCCGTATCCACTGACATGACTTGACATTGTTGGTTTTGACCCTGTAGACATTGTGCACCCTAACGCGTTCAGACCGCACCTTGGGACTCCGCTTTCTCCGACAAGAGGCACCACGAGCACAGTGCACCTGTGCACGGACGAACTGCCATGAAACTCTTTCAATCGCCTGTGGGGAGGCCAAATGTAAGTCCTTTGCTGCTGCCAACTTCTCAACCGCGCATCCTATCGTATCTCGTTTCACGTGAGCGAAACCTGAACTCCTCAGCTCTTCAATAGCAAGAAGTAGGGTAGTAATAACTTTCAAAGACGCTATCCCGGCTGCAAGCTATGCGGGCATCGATTCTATCCTCATTTTCAAATTGAAGCCATGGCCAGCAGTCCTACTTGATCTGCTGCATACTGCGTCTGGTCATAACGGTACAGCACGACACCTTAATAATTCATCAATACCAATCCTTCCCACTGCTACCCGTGACCATCCTTCCCACCTGTAGGCACTATCGAGCCCAAGACCACCTGCGTCTGCACCCGGAAACCAGTCGGAGTCCTTCGCGAGTTCGTTCTGCCGTTTTCACGACGTGCTGTCCCAGAGGTAAGCAGCTCACCGCCAATGACAGTTAGCTTTCCATATGAGTGCGCTCTCAGCGAGTGTGCCTTACCATTAACCCGGACGTTTAGCTCACCGCCTGTTATCTAAGCAAGGTATGGTTTTTACTGCGCAGCTCTCAACAACCCGTACAACAGCGACAGCACGATGACTTGAGCCTGCACATGATTCAGCCCATCAGAACCACATCCTGCAGCGCCACTGCTGTCGCCTCGGCACTTCTCTCAGATGTGGCTGCCCCTTCTGCCATCACGGCTGCCACCTCCTTCGCCTCGTCCTCCAGCCCCTCCACTGCCGCTGTCCGCTGCGTGCTGCTGGGCTGGTTGTCCGAGGTGGCTGACTGGCTGCAGCTGGGCGGCCCCACCCTGGTGGCGGGGGTGAGGCTGCTGGACGCCTTCCTGGAGAGACAGGTGGGTGTGGGTTTGGAACGTTTATAGGAGGGAGGGAAGGTAACTGTGCCCAGCCGGCCCCACCTCACCCCCTGCCCCCTGCCGCCCTCCCCTTTCCCTCCCTGCAGTCCCTGCGCCCGCCCGACTCGCTGCTGCAGCTGCTGGCGCTCACGTGCCTGGCGGAGGCCACCCGCGCAGGGGAGGTGAGGGGGAAGGGGTGCCGCTGCTGGTAATGACACACGAGACAGCAACCATGTTGACCGAAAGCCTTCTCCCAACATCCCGCTTTGACTCGCATACCTCTTTCCCCAACACCACTTTCCCCTTGTCACCCCCCCTCTCCCCGACCCCTCACCCCCCTCCCCCCAGCCGCACATCCGGCCCAGCCTGCACGAGTGGGCCAGTCTGGCGGTCAACCCGGCCACCGGGGAGCCGCTGTACGAGGTGTTTGATTTTATTCGCATGGAACGGCTGGTTCTCGAGGCGCTTCGTACTCCCGACGACGGAAACTCCGCTACCGCCACTAACAACAACATCAACAACAACAACGCGACCATGGTGATCTCAACCTCCTTCGGGCCCGGTCAAGGCCCTAACGACTCTCCTTGACGCCGCCGCCTTGCAGCACATTCGTTGGCTGCTATCAGCTTCCGGGGCGATGCAAGATTTACTCTCCCAGACATTACCCGTGGGCCGCTTGGTTTCTCAACAGAGTAGACAGGCAGGCAGGTGCATTGCCTGCTTTTGAACTCCCCTTACCTCATGAGACCTTGATTGCCTACAAGAGTATCAACAACAATCTTTGGACGTTTGCCCTATTTGCTTGGCAGTGACAGTTCTTTGACATCAGGGCGTACGATTTGAATTTGATTGTACCCTTTTTGCACTCTTAACTGTACGGATCAACCGGATTGCGGTCTTCGCAAACGAAACGCATGTTCGAGGCTCCCAGTGTTGGCAGGTCAGTTACAGTCAATTGCAGTGCCGTGCCCTGCTTCGAATCGACCTAGCATGCCTGCATGCATGCATGAGGGATGCACCGGAGGAAGAGGAAGCGACAGTAGCACTTCGTTCGCGTCATCAATGTAGCTCTGCTTTTATTTATAAAGGTTTGGTTCTACTAGTGCTGCCAAATTGGGCAGTTGGAGGATGCCAGGAAGGGGCGTATGTGTTGCATGGACTATGAGCAATGGAAGCGTTTATTCGTTTTGCAATGCGAGATGGAAAGTGCATTGAGAGGTTGCCATCGGATTGCATGGATTGCATGCATGGCTTCGTCTGGCGGGTGTCTAGTGGTTGATTTGGATTTGGTTTCGAAATGTTCTCTTCAAGAATCCTGGAGCATGTTGCACGGAAGGGCAGCGGTGGACACTTCCGCTGCCCTGCATGCATGTTGCTTGTCTGACAAGGACAGGTACATCACTATTTACCCCGTTACGCTCTTCGTACGTTGTATTTTCCCTTGGGAGTTTCACTTGGGCATGGTCCCACATGATATTACTTGTTAGTTTAGAAGTTGCAGATCAGCAGGGTGCATGTGTTGGAAACCGAAGGCATCTTATGCGATTTCAATAATAAGCGTGCGTGTTTTCATTGGCTTGACCCACGGGTCATTTCACCCCTCTCAGACCATTTCGCACAAGACGAGCGGCGATCGCCTTGTTTCCTTAATCTACCTTGTTACTCTTTAACCCCCAGTGTTTGGTTTAACTAGTTTGGTTTGCTATGGTTCCATTATTATATTAATAACGTGGCTCAACTTGTTTGGCTAGTGTATGTGCTTGTCGTTTTCGTTCAGCTTTACTAGTAACAGCTTTCGTTAGGTAGTTACCAGTCCTGGGTTGACTGGGCGGCTGCATCTTTTGCCGCACGCTTTTCCGTCAATGACTGTTGCTTGGGATGTATATAATATGCCGTGGCAGTAGATCCGGAACATGCCATGAACGTGTAACGTTTAGTAGAAGTCACAAGTACCCCAATGGAAGTACGGATAAGCCCCTACTTGACAAGCCCCTACTTGACGGCAGTGTCGGACCTCGCAGCAAATTCTCTGATGCACGTTTCCAGGGCGTCGGGGTGTCAGCTTCCTTGGCCCATTCAGCTTTCTACAAGTACGGTGGGTTGACGCACCCTGCTCCCAGGTCAGCAAAAGAAGCACCCTACTTATTGATCGTAACTGCCAGTTTATGTTACAGCAGGAGGGTCGATCTATGGCCAGCACTCAGATCCTAGCCACCCATCCTGTAAGGAAGCGCCTTATGAACAAGACCGAAGCGATCGCATGGCCTGCCCAAATGGATGTGTGGCATGGAGGGCTGACGGTGTGTTGGGGTGGGGGAGCTGACGTGGCTGTTTACGAGGGCGGCGCGTGGGTGTCACGTTTGGGAGGGTCAGCTGGCAGCGTAGGGACGTAGGCGCGGCCTAGCGGAGCGCCTGGAATCAAGGGCAGGCCAAGAACTAGGCAAGAGGAAATGGGCCCGGCTAGGCACCATCCCAACACAAACCAACCACGGCCCGCCATGTAGGGTGAGTGGGCGGGTAATAGGGCCACGTCCCGGCAGAGGGACACGCCTCATCAACAGGATTATCTACACAATGGCAGTTAGTGAAACAAACGAGTGTAACCAGTAAACAGACTGGGACCACACATGTTGCCGTACCAAGAAAGCACCGATGCCATGCGTCCTGCTGTACGCATTCCTGGCAGGTTCTTCGCAATAAGTGGACGTTTCTTATTTCCGTCTCGTCAAGACTTCCTCGACTACGAAAGTAAAGTCAGCACATGTCACGGCAGCTGAACTTGTTGTTGTGCCGTTGGAAGCCTCCTTGATGCAGGAGCGGGTCACGCCGTACAATGTCACGAAGCAGGGCCGCATCCCAACTGGCTACCGGTGATGAAAACGCAGCGGCATGCGTGTTGGTGACATTTTGCTATCTTTATGAGACACGAACGCGCTGCCAGTTCGTTACAGCACATTATTTCCCGGCATATAATTTCCGGGTCGAAACGTATACTTGGAAGGACTGCTGCCGTCGAATGTCGTACACTGGCAACATTCCAGCATCAGCCGTACACTACCTCCGTACTAAACTAAAGCTCATCAGCGTACGCAAGAGTACGTACCCAAAAGTACGGCTGCGCTGTTTCCTTGTCACCAGGAGCAATCCTGCTCACATGGTAATACACATACACCGCAACATCCTTCTTCCGTACGATACACCACCTCCTGCAACTTCACCGCACCTGAAACACATAATGCAACTAACTACGGACATATACATACATACCCTGCACGCTCAACGCCTTTTTAGCTCGTACTACGGCCAGTGCCTGTAGCACAAGTCGTACGACGCCACAGCTGACGTGTATGTACGACGGCGCATTAGGAAACAAGCACAATACGGCATTCTGAGCGCCGTACAGCCACTACCGTACACGCTACTACAGCCTTCTCGCCATACCATTAATGCCCACTTAAGGGCGTATTACTACAACGATGCATCGCATTAAAGCTGTTGAAATTGAACTGTATGTCTACACGCTGGAAACCCCAACAAACCCCATTGCCAAACCCAATACCCGAAGATACGCGTATAAATAGTAGGGACAGCATCAGCAACGGCGACAACACAGCAAAACACAACAGAAAGGCAAAGACGACAACGGGTTCGAACCAGAAGACAATTACTCAATAGGCTTCCATTTCTACCAAGCTAAAGAGTACGCATCGCAAGTGTACGACACACGCGCGCCTATCTACCTTACAACACCTATGCGACATGCAAAGCCACAACCACTACTTGTGGACATAACTACCCAGAAACACCCTTTGACCTCTTCCTAAGACGTACAAGCCCCTGCCCCTTTCTGCTTTCCCGCTTTTGTCACTATCCTGGACGCCTATCCTAGAATCTGCCTATCCTAAAAGTACCCCCTGAACAGTAAGATCCCGAACCACCCACCCGTCGCAATTCCGAAGGAGGAGGAGCTCTCGACGCTCTGCTACGCATATCCACCAGTTTTCGAATCACACAGCTACAGCTAGCTTCCAAAGCTGCCCTAGTAGGGCCCCATCCAGTGATGAGAAAATAGAGGAAAACAAGGAAACGGAGGCCTTGGAAAGGGAGCTCCACCACTCAAAGACGCCTCTCAACAACAACGGGTCGCGCGCGCTGATACGCATATGCATACAGCGCATACATACCCTGCCAGTGGCGGCAGATATCAAAGCATGTGGTAAACGACTACGTACACCTCAATCTGCAACCACATGATTACCGCATCCCGTGCTTTCTGCGCGCTCTGCTCTTCACTGTAATTTAAAGTTTACCCAAAAGTCAATCCTCACTGGTGAAAGGCGCAATTCGTCTCACCTCATCACCCGAGCGCCCATACGTGACCCTAATCATCAGGCACTGATTGCTGCGCTGGCGCCAAAGAAAGAAACGACTCATCAGATGACAAGAAAGACGCAAAGGAACGAAACTTCCGGGAAGACAGTAGAGTATATGTAAGTGTTTAAGACCCGAAAGACGAAAACCAGAAGTTGAGCAAGAGTAAGAAGAAGAGTAAGAAGAGGGAAGAGAGAGTTGGATCACGGGTCAGGGCAAAAGAAGGTTGCCCCGACTGGTTTCCATGTGTAGATGTAGAATGTGCCGACGCCGACAAAAGGGTGCCGTATGCCATATGCCAGTAAAGGAGAGGGCATTGCCGTAAGCAAGGTATTGTAGACAGTGAACAACCCCAGGGAAGCCATATACACATCGCAACATTGCGACGAATAATTGACACCAGGTAATTCCGCTGCGTTCGACCTTAGCAACAAAATGACTAACTCTGCCGGTATTTGACACGGCCTTCATGTCCGTGACCCATGGGTGGGCTTGACACAGGAACTGAGACGGGGAAGGTGAGAAGGTGAAGCAGCGGCGGTGTGTGAATCCTCAGTTGCAGTGCTCGACCGCTGCGCACAAGCGGGCAACCTTGGTCTCGCCATCAAGCGTTGCAACCAGCAGACTGCGCATGCGCTTGAAATCCTCAATCTGCGTGCCGCACAAGCATGGGTGCCGTACTCAGATATCTAGTCAGGACGATAGGTGCTGTACACTGGCATGCATGCCACTTACAAGCGGCTTAGGCAGGCATCGTATGTGTATCCATCTAGAAATGCGCATCGCAGTGTGTTAATGCAAGGGCTCATGTACATGCGGCATTCCACCGCTCCACGGTTTTCCCACGGCCGACGCACCTCTCCCACACCGCCCTTATCTCCACCTCCCCCCCTCAACCCCTCCCCCTCCTTCCTCCGCCCACCTCGTACAGCGGCTCCCCGGTGGCCGGGTTGACCGCCAGACTGGCCCACTCGTGCAGGCTGGGCCGGATGTGCGGCTGGGGGGAGGGGGGTGAGGGGTCGGGGAGAGGGGGGGTGACAAGGGGAGAGTGGTGTTGGGGAAAGAGGTATGCGAGTCAAAGCGGGATGTTGGGAGAAGGCTTTCGGTCAACATGGTTGCTGTCTCGTGTGTCATCATTACCAGCAGCGGCACTCCTCCCCCCTCACCTCCCCTGCGCGGGTGGCCTCCGCCAGGCACGTGAGCGCCAGCAGCTGCAGCAGCGAGTCGGGCGGGCGCAGGGACTGCAGGGAGGGCAGGGGAGGGCGGCAGGGGGTGAGGTGGGGCCAGCGGGGCACAGCTACATGCCTACCTTCCCTCCCTCCTATAAACTGTCCAAAACTACACCCACCTGTTTCTCCAGGAAGGCGTCCAGCAGCCTCACCCCCGCCACCAGTGTGGGGCCGCCCAGCTGCAGCCAGTCAGCCACCTCGGACAACCAGCCCAGCAGCACGCAGCGGACAGCGGCAGTGGAGGGGCTGGAGGAAGTGACGGCTGGTTCGTGGGGCGGAGAATCAGGAGCGGACGGCTGCTCCTGAAGGTCTTGGGGCAGCTGCCGTGGTTTCTCGCTGATCTGTGACTCGCACATGGTCGGAAATGATGTGCAAAGGGTGGCGACGGACGGTGTTGTCACGCGGCGGAAAATGCTTGAGGACGGTGGTGAGATGTTGTGTTGGTGTGGCGCCCGACTGGTCCTGCGTTGGCGGGTAAGATGAGGAAGCGGACCAAAATGTTATACCGGTATAGGTTCGGGTGCACGTGAGTTGTGCATATGCGAACGATGGCCTCAGCTTATGCGTATCTATATGTAGCCTTAATTAGGTCTTTCTTATGCAATATCTTGCGCATCGACAAGTGCAATGTTGCTTAAATGGGCATATGTAGTAGACTACACTGTCTTAGGATTCAGACAGGTAAATGCAACGCGCAAAAACAATAATACTTGGCCCGACCATAACTCCTTGGCTGCCTAGGCCAAGCTTCCGTGATCTAAGGAAAGCAGGGGAGTTCCGGTAGGTACCTCCAGCACCGTCTCACAGGCAAACTGCCTGTTCCTTATGAGTTCAGTCAAGGGCTTCTTTGCATACTTGTTCTGCAGGTGGTCTACCATGGCCAGGGCCCGCTGCGGAAAGTGCGCGCTCATGCTTAAGGAGCGCGCTGTAAGAATCCACGCAGCGCAACTACTGCTTTGTGTAAGATCAAGATAACACCATGTTGGTAGACAATGCGTACCATAGCTATCACCGGTAACTACAGTGGCATGCAACTTTCGTGTCCAGGCGTGGACAACAGGCACGGAAGTTATGCATTGCAACGGAAAATTACTTGCCTGAGTGCAGACCAGGAGCTGTGTTGAAAAAAGCACCGTGCGCGAAGGTGTTGCTCCAGTATTGGACCTCAATAGTGAACCTCGGCCCGGTCTTTGTATTTGTCTTCTGTCCTCAGTTGATGCCCAAGGCGTAAGGATCCCAGCAAGCGCACAACTGCGCTTGCGATAGTTGTAGGTACTATAACTACAGTCGATCTTTATACAGATGGGAGGGTCCAGCTAGGCTGTACGGCTGGATCGCGTTACTATCTACCCTTTTAGGTACCTTAATTTACGCGCCCTTGGAGGGGGCTAACGCTATGAAGCGACCCTACTTGCTTTCGAAGTATCAATAGAATCCTCCGTTTGGTTACGGTACATTGCCGAGACCCAATGACCGCCTTCGAGAGCAAAGCACGTCACACGCCGCAGTCGATATGACGGTTTGACAACTTATGCATACGCTAAGCCGTTTTCGACATCCTGGTTATAAACATAAGGAACAAGGCATGAGTCCTTGCAGCATGCCCTTACGACATGACGACAAGCCCCTGTGCAATGGCAGGCTATGGAAGCTGTGGCAAGTAGTTTTCGGCCTTAAAAGGTTAACTGTTTGATTGCGGACATAACATGTAGTTTTGGACAAAACTGGACCATGCAACGGCAGTAAACCCTAGAGTGGCAACCCCAGGGCGATTGTAGGGATCTCCTACACCAGGTAGCCTGCCAGCTGAGCACTGCAAGGGATAGGACCCAACAGGAATCCACTGGCATCGTATCTCCCGGAGAACGGGGTGCACTGACGTGCAAAAAGAGGTCCCTACGTGCCGCATACGTAGGGCCCCGTACTACTTCTGTAGAATCAGATAGTCCGTCAGAACCCCTTATCATTAGCTATCAATACCGATCTATCCTTTTATAAATCCAATAGCATCCTATGACCTCCAGTATGGGCTGTTGAGGAGTCCTGTTCATACTTGCTGCCAATTGTGCTACCATTAGCGAACGCCGAAAGGCGCCGGTCGCGCCGAACATGCTGCGTATAACAATATAACAACATACTAGCGTTTAAGTGCAGTCGCGCTTGCTAGGATGGCCAAGCAGCGGCCAGCTGCTGCTGTTGCTGCTGCAACCCCACCGGGCAGGGAGGACGCTCAGCAGGCCCCTTCAGAGGGGACCGCCGCCCCCGCGGCGGCATCTGCAGCCTCCAACTCCCAGCCCGCTTCCTCTTCCCCATCATCGCACCGACAAACCAAACATCGCAGTCCTAACAGCAGCCGTAACGACAAGAAAGCACCATCGAGCAAGCCCAACAGGCCCTCCAGCACTGCTAACCCCCAAACACGCGCCACCGCAGCTGCAACCACCAGCAACAACCCAAACACTCCAAACCCTAAATCCTCCAGCACCTCAGCTGCTGTCCTGTGGGCCCTGCTCATCCTAGCTGCCGCCCTTGCCGTACACTGGACGAGCACTGGCGTCCGTAAGGCCTCACAGCCTCCCCCTCCCAACACCGCCCTTCGTGAAGTAGCCCGCTTGCTGCTTCACCCGGAAAAAGGCATACTGGCGGCGGATGAGAGCCCGGTGACGTTTGGAAAGCGGGTATGTGGGGTTATGGCGGTGAGGACAGCATGCACATGTGTGGCTTGGAACCACACCCCGATAAAACCCAACCGATAACCGTCATTACACTGTTACACACCCCACCCACGCGAGCACCCTCTACCCCCTCCAAACCACCCTCTTCCCGCCACCAGCTGCTGTCGTACGGTCTGCCCAACAACGCCAGTGTACGGCGGCAGTGGCGTCGTACCCTGCTCACAACCCCTGGACTCCAGCAATACATATCCGGAGTGGTAGGTAGGGAGTGGTGGGTTGGAGGTGGGAACACATCCACACACACATGCTTATTACGGGTAGTGTTCGTTTGTGGCGGCACCATTACTGGGCAGCAGCCGGGCCATCCCGGAGGTGGGAGGCCTGCATGCATGCGCGCCAGTGGTGATGGGGGCAGGGCGGGGAGGCGTCGTGCAATCGTACCCCTGCTGCCTTGGGATGCCTCGGCTGCTCCCTTGTCGTTTCAGTTACCTCACGGGCTTGCCTCCTTTCTTCACCTTCTTCTCTCGCCTCCCCCTCCTCCTCCTCCTCCTCCTCTTCTCGCCGCTCCCTGCAACGCAGATCCTGCATCCGGAAACACTTTCCCAGCTAGCTCCGGAGCTCAGGGCGGTAGCAGCTGCTGCCGTCGCTGCTTCCCCTGCGGGACCGAGTGAGGGCACTGGTGGGCCCGATGTCCGCGCTGATAGTGGCGGTGGTAATGATACGGATGGCAACAGCGGTTGCGGCGGGCAGCAGCAAACGCAGCAGCGGCAGTTTCTGCTGGGAGTGAAGCTGGATGAGGGGACGGCGCCTCTGCAGCCCCAGCAGCAACAGGGAAGGGCAGCGGCAGCAGGAGCGGCAGCAGCGGGGCCGCGCGGCAGGGGAGCAGGTGGAGGTACAGGAGCAGCAGCGGGAGGCAGCAGCAGGGGCAGCGGCAGCAGTAGCAGCACCAGGGGGCCAGCGGGTGGCGCGGGTGGGGGTGGGAGCGGGGGCGCGGGAGCGGAGGAGACGTACACACAGGTGGGTCGGGTTGCACTTGGCGGTGAGCAGGAGGTGGTCGGTGGGTGGGTTGGTGCGCTCTGATAGCGCGAGGCCGCATGTTGCTGCTGCTGCTGCTGCTACTCTACTCGCTGTGCATGCAGGGTTTGGAGGGCCTAGCGACTCGGTGTCGACGCATCCGGGACGCCCTCACCACCGCTCCACCAATGCCAGCAGCAGCAGCGTCACCCGGCACACCACCGCAACCATCGCCGGCTAGCCCTCTTAGTGCAGGCACCTCCCCGCCTCCTGGCTCCCCCTCCCCCTCCGCCGCCGCCGCCGCCGCCTCGTCTTCTTCGTCACTGGTGTCGTTCGCCAAGTGGCGAGCGGTATTCCGAGTGGGCCGCCACACGCCCAGCTCGGCGGCGCTGCGACGTAACGCCCACGACATGGCGGCCTTCGCGGCGGTGACCCAAAAGTGAGTGAGACCCAAAAGTGAGTGAGACGGGTCGGCTATGGGTCTTCCGCTAGCTGTGATGGAAGGTAGGGGTGGCTCAGTGGGGTACGTGGCAAGGTGCTGACGGATGGATCCTGCAAGGGGGCGTGGCCCCGAATCTCGTCCCTCCACATGTATGGCCCGTCCCCCTCTTTCATTCAGTGCGCCCCACCACCGGTGCTCCCCGGCTGCCCCCAGCCGCGACGGATAGTTTTTTTCTTCCTCTTTTCCCCCCTGCTGGCCCCCTCCCCCACCCCCGAATTTCTTTTTCCCCCACCCGCAGGTGCGGTTTGCTGCCGGTGTTGGAGCCGGAGGTGCTGTCTGAAGGGGACCATGACCTGCAACGAGCCATGGGGGCAACAGCAAGGGTGCGGTCGGGGGGGGGGGCTGCGCGCGCAGCAGGGCGAGGGTAGCTGAGTGACGTGGAGTTACCTGCTTGGGGGACACACCATGACTTTGATGGGGAGCTGATGAGGAAGGTAGTGAAGAGAGGACACTTGGTTGGTGAAGTTGGTGGAGCACACCGCCTCACTCATTATTTCCTCACCCGTGTAACCCCACCTTTCTTTCCCTCCCTCTCCCTCCCCCGCTCGCCCTCGCGCCTCAGGTGTTGAAGGGTCTGTTCCGCGCACTCCGGCGGCGGGGCGATGTGGATGTGGGGGCGCTGCTGCTCAAGGTGGCCTTTGTAACACCCGGGGAGCAGCATGGGGGCCATCTGGGTGTGACACCCGAGCAGGCGAGTGAAGTCGGGTGGTTGGGCGGGTCAGGGCGGTTCAAGGTGGTTGGGCGCACAGCTGAAAGGGAGGGGGGAACTGCAAGGGTAGGATAGAGTGGGGGCACTGAGGTGGAAGAAAGAAGCCCTGCGTGGAAGAGTCAGGAGAAGATAGCAGGAGTTGACCAGAGCGTGACGAGAGCTTACAAACAGAGGCTCGTGCAATGTGGATGACATGCGACCGCACAAGACAGCGATGAACTGTGCAACAACGACAATGCAGTATCACGTCTAAACAGAGGCTCCTTCTGACTTTCCTTACACGTGCTCACACGCAGTACACCGCCAAGGCTGAATCAAAAAAGCATAAAAATGCTCGAGGAAACGTCTAAAGCTGAAAACTGCCTAATACCAATAATCGCAACCACCCTTCACCATGAATCGCGACGGCCAGTTTGACCAGTTCCTCAGAACTCCTACCCAAGGGCATCTAGCCCCTCTTCCTATCCTGTCCTCGTAGCTCTTGCACCTATCCGAAAACCGTCCTGGCTGTTGCTGCTGCCCGCCAGTGCAGACCACATTGTCACAGCCTTCCTCTGCCTCCTGCCGCACCCTCCACCTCGTATACCTCGCAGCGTGTTCCTGGTCCTCCTCCCCTTCCTCATTCCCCGTCCTCCGTTCCCTGCTTCTTCACCCTGACTGCATTGCTCCCTCATGGCTCCACATCATCCCCTGCACCGCGGGTACACCTGATGCCCGCAAGACCCACATCTCCTCATCCCTCCTCCTTGCCACCCATCTCTTACCCCGTTCCCTCCTTTCCCTCCCTCCCTCCCTAACACACCCCAGGTGGCCAACGCCACGCTGCGGGTGCTCTTCAAGACCGTCCCACGGGTCGTTCCCGGCATCCTCTTCCTCTCCGGCGGTCAGGGCGAGGCAGCTGCCACTGCCCACCTGCTTGCACTCGGCCGACTGGTGCGGGAGCGGGAGCTAGCCGGCAGGCCACCCATGTGAGTTCCTTGACTGCCCTGCGGCCCCGAAACCCCTCCTCATCCCACCGAAACGACTCTTCCTCAACGCGCATTCCTTCCAACCCCGATCCTCTCCATCCACACACCCACACCACCCCCGCACAGCCCCTGGGCGCTCTCCTTCTCCTTCGGCCGGGCGCTCCAAGACTCCGCCCTGGCAGCCTGGGCGCAGCAGCTGCAGGCGCCACCTCAACCTCCGCCTCCCTCACAGCCGCCGCCCCAGCTGGAGTCCCCCCGTGCTGAGGCTCAGGCTCACCAGGCACCTCACGGTTACGCCAGCCAGCAGGATCCGGATCCGGATCAGCAGCCGCAGCAGCGGAGTAGTAGTAGCAGTAGCAGTAGCACCGGTAGCTGCGATGTGGCCACTGCCGCTACTGCGACAGCTGCAGCCAACAGCGCAGCAGCAGCAGGGGCAGCGGCCCAGCGGTTGCTGCTGGCACGGGCGCGGGCGAATGCGGCGGCGCAGCGGGGGCTGCAGGTGGCAGAGAGCCAGCACGGCATGGAGGCTGCTGGTGCTGTGGAGAGCGGTGCGGGCATGGCTGTTGAGATGGGTCCAGAGAGGGGTCGCGGTTGAGGCGGGGACTGGGGCTGAGAAGTGAGGAGGGAGGAGCTGGCTGGGTTGAAGAAGCGGTGGGGAAAGGGCATTGCTGTACGGCACGGGTCAGGATTGGATGGTTGGGAAGGAGCGGGGGCTTGTGGACGGCTTAAGTTGTTGGCAAAGGGAGAGGTTCGAAGAGGTTGTTTGCTGCAGGAGGAGCAGTTTGGGACGAGGGAAGCTGAGGGGCTGAGCTGTTCCGAACTCCATGCTTGCATGGCCACGCCATGGCGAGCCGGTCGGCTGAAAGCCTCCTGGGTTTAGATGTGGGCAGGTTGTTTGGCGAAGTGGTTATCAGCGCCTACGGAGTACACCTGCGTGGAAGAGAGTTGGGATCAAGAGGTGCGGCTAGCAGGTCGATTGACGAGTCTGTCCGGTGGGCTCGACACCCAGGTCCCAAGCACCCACCGCGTCTGCGGTCTCCATGACGCAGTAGCCAATGACGATTCCTGTAATGATACCGAAAATAACCTGCGCCCAGTCGTTGTAATGAGCTGAAGCAGGAGCTTTAGCATAATCAACCCACATCAGCATTTCGCAAACCAACCATGGCGATCTTCTCCCATGGAGCAACTGCTTCTTGGAGAAACGTCTTGGCCATAGTGCGTTCTTTGCTATCGTCAGCCCACAGGCTCGATGGTAAGTGAAGTAAGCGCTGGTCAAGCGACTACGCACCAGCTCTGTATAGTAAAACTGAGTCCCGTTTCCTCCGAAGATGATTTGCAAGAGCAGTTACCGCGTAAAGTGAAAGCCCCCTAGCTGTCTTTGGTACGGCGATGAAGCGCTCGTCGAATTTGCTTGCTGCAACTTACCTCATGCTTGCAAACTACATTGGCACATATAACAACAATAAAACAGTTACACTGGTATCGGCTATGGAATCGTGCTTATTACTGGGCTAGTTCCACACTTCGGGCTCATGAAGTCAAGCAGCCGCTTGCCACCGGGCATTGCTGCCGGCTCAGGATGGGCACAACTGGATATTGTTACCAGTGTGCCATTTACGAAAAGAGCTGATGCTGTCAGGCAAGATTCACTTGCAACAGCCAGGCGTGCCTGCCCGTGCTGACAATGTGCGTCCCCCAAAGCAGCATAAGTAATGAAGACCGCATTGCTTTCCCTCATGCATTCAGGCTACAGCAGCAACAGCAAGCATCCCGACAGCGCCCGCGTCGCGATAAGTTCCGGGTTCTGCTGGCTTGCATCGCAATCGGCGTGGTGCTGTCCATCTCCATCACCTGGTACCTGCAACGCCAGCTACCAGAAGTTCAAAAACGCGTTCAGGAGTCTCAAGCCTTGACCGCCCCTCCCAGCCGCTCGTTCTGCAGCAGGGTAAGGGCCTGAATCAATCCCTTGCTCTTAACCTCCTGCAAACCCTCCCCCCTGCCGCCTGACTTCCCCTAACAACCCCGATTCCCCGCAGCCGCAACCCCCCCAACCCCCTTTCCCCTCCTCCCCGCCCCCCCCCAGTCCCGCCCTCCTATGGTTTGCGCACACGGTGGTGACACGCGGCACGCTCCCCCCAACACCGCTGCCGCCTTCCGCGCCGCCCTGGCCGCGGGTGTGGACTGTGTGGAGGTGGATGCGGCGCTGTCGTCTGACGGGGTGCTGGTGGTGACGCATGTGCGGGAGTTGGCGCAGCTGACGGGCAGGGCGGGGGTGCAGGTGAGGGGTGGGTGGGTGGGAGGGGGGGGAACAGGTGGGGAATACGGGCAGGGCGGGGTGCGGGTTAGCCTGGGGATGGCGGGTGGGCACCCGAGAGGCTCAAAGCCTCCAGATGGCGTTTACCCTTTGCGTCATCACCCCCTCCCCACCCAACCCTCTTCACTATCCCCACCGGCCCTCCGTCCCCATCAAGACCAGTACGCTCGGCTTCGTTCGCTTGCTTGCACTGGTCAGGGGCTTTCAACGCAGGTTACCGCGCACCACCGCAACCGGCCGACCTGGTCTTTCGTTCTCCCATTCCCCGCCCCGCCCCCTCTTCCCCCCCCCCCACAACCCCAGGCCGGCGACCTGACCTCCTCCCAGCTGCTGTCGCTGCGGTGGCCGGGCGGCGAGGGGCTGCTGCGGGTGGAGCAGGCGGTGGCGCTCACCTCGCCCTTCGTGGACTGCGTGACGCTGGACGTGAAGACGTACAATGACGAGGTGGGGACGGGGCGGAGGGGAGGGAAGGGGAGGGAGGAAGGTGGCAGGGGAGGGGGGTACGTGGCAGGGGAGGAGAGGAGTGCGCCCAGCGTCCTTCTCAGCAGCCGTTGTGGCTTTTGGCGCGGGCATGGAGGAGGGCGGAAAGCAGTACCGAGCAGCTCTTGTAGTGGGGACGCATCTGGGTGCTCACTGGGTGCATTTGCAATGCGCAACAACGTGTGATCCTGCCTGTGACTCCATTAGCTGCATGCATGCATTCGTCATGCGTGTGCATGTGCGCGTGCTGCATGGCTCCAGACTCCTGTCTGACTGCCCACTCCCCCGCTGTCCGACCCCCACTCCCCCGCTGTCCGACCCCCACTCCCCCGCTGTCCGACCCCCACTCCCCCGCTGTCCGAACCCCACTCCCCCGCTGTCCGAACCCCACTCCCCCGCTGTCCGAACCCCACTCCCCCGCTGTCCGAACCCCACTCCCCCGCTGTCCGAACCCCACACTCCCCCGCAGGCCGGCCGTCCGCTCGACGAGGCTGCCATCTCCTCTGCGCTGGTGTCTCTGGTGCACTCCACCCGCTGCGGCAACTGCCTCATCTGGGCCAAGAGCGATGCGGTGGTGCGGCGCATCCTGCAGCTGTCGCCGGGTGGGTGAAGCTGTGCAATCGCCGGGTGGGTGGAGCTGGAGATAGTTGTAGGGGGGTAACAACGGCAGGGTGCCAGGTAGCAGGGGTAATGGGGGTGGGCGGGGGTATTGGGACCCCAGAGCTCCTCCGGTGTAACAGGTCGCTTGACTCGGTTGACACCGCCCCCCCGCCCGCATTGCTTTGCTCTAACTTGTGGTCTCCTATGGTTTGGTACATGGTCTTTGACCCCCCGCATGCGCCCTTCCGCTCCTCCTTCTCTCCCCCCCATTCCTCCCTTCCTTCTCCTCCTGCCGCCGCCGCGCCAGGCCAACGCACTGGGTACATTCTGATGAACGAGACGCAGGAGGCGCGCAGGCTGGGCATGCACCACCCGCTGCGCTTCAGCACCTCGCCCGACCGCCGCCGCCGACTGGCCGCAGAGGCAGCAGCTGCTGCTGCGGACCGGGGTGAGGATGCGGATACCGCATATGAGGACGACGGCAATGGTGCGGATTCAGGACAGGGCCTGGAGCAGGGCGTAAAGCAACAAGGGCAGCAACAGCAGGGGGGCGGTCAGCAGCCGTATTACCAGCAGCAGCCTCAGCAGCAGCCGGGAGTGGTGGGTGTGCACATGGACATGGTGGAGGCGGGTCTGCTGGAGCTGCTGCATGGGGAGGGTGAGTGGGGGCGGGAGGAGGGCAGGGAGCGGGGGCGGAGGGGGGAGGAGGGGGTAAAGAGGATTGTAAGGAGGAGCGTCACCTACCATGTGACATGTAGGCTCCATGGTGGATGGGAAAGGAGGACGGGGATGGTGGAGAGGGGTGCTTTTTGGTGGGGGCATTTGGATTGGTTTGAGGTGGTGAGTGGGGTGGAGGTGAGCTCCGATGGGAGGGATGGAGGGTTGCCCGGGACGCAAAGGCGCAGAGCGGTCGGCAACCCGCAACCCGCAACTGCCACAACCACTCCCCACCCCACCACCGCCCCACTTGTCACCTCTCCCTCCCTCACTCCCGTCCTCCTCCCCCCCCCCCACCACCACCACACCCCTCCGGTGCAGGTAAGCAGCTGTTTGCCTGGACCATCAACCGCCCCGAGGTGCTGCGTCGGGTGCTGGATGTGGGGGTGGATGCGGTGGTGACCAACCACCCCGCAACCGCCCTGGAAGCCATTGAAACAAGGTTGGCGAGGTGCGGCAGCGGCGGCGGAAGCAGCAGCAGGGGAGGAGGAGGAGGAGGAGAGGGCGGAGAAGGGGAGGCGCCACTGATCAGAAGCCGAAGCAGCAGGGGGAAGGAACGAAGAAGTGGTGGCATCAGGAGGAGCAGCACTGGGGGAAGCGGTGGAGACTACCTGTGATGCGATGTTGTTGGTTGTGCCAGCCAGCTAAAACAAAACACAACCTGTCGCGCAACCTGCTCCTCCCAGGCATCTCAGCAGCAGCAGACAACGAGCAACAACAACAACAACAACAACAGCTCCAACAACACTCCTAGCAGCAGCAGCGAACAGCCGCGAGCAGGCTCTTCAGTCCATTTGCAGGGCCCATGCCGCCTCACTTCCCGGATGCTTTTGCTTCTTCTTCACGCACAGCAGCCCCCCCAAGGCAGCCGCCCCTCTCACACCACCCCTCCCGCATGCGGGTCACTGCCCCGCTGCTGCTCGTCACCGCTGCTCCCCTCCGCTTGCAGCAGCCCCCAGACGTAAATACTGAACCCAAACAACTACCCTGCTGCAACCCTGCTGCTGCTGCAACCCTGCTGCAACCCTGCTGCAACCCTGCTGCAACCCTGCTGCTGCTGCTGCTGCGCTGCCACACCTGCCACCCGGTGGGCCTGCTTGCAGCCAGCCCCCGTGCAGCCAGCCTGAGCACCCATGCACCCCCTACCTACCCGTACCTACCTACCCGTACCTTCGGGTACATACACACGAGGTAGCCCACCTAACAGTCCAGTACGTTCCTCCTCGCGGCCAGTGTTTCTGAACACACACGCCAGCCCCCCCCCCACACACACACCAGCTACCACGCTGCAACGACGACGGTGACAGGCAGGGGAAACCGTACACCCACCGGTACCACATTCCGTTGGTGTCGGGTCCATTGCACCCCCTAGCAGCTCGGACGCATGCCATGCGGAGGCGGGTAGCGGGGTAGTAGCAGCAGCATATGGTAGCAGCAGCAGCTGCGGCGGAGGCGGCGGCAGCAGCTGCGGCGGCGGAGGCGGCGGCAGCAGCTGCGGCGGCGGAGGCGGCGGCAGCAGCTGCGGCGGCGGAGGCGGCGGCAGCAGCTGCGGCGGCGGAGGCGGCAGCAGCTGCGGCGGAGGCGGCGGCGGATGCAGCAGTTGTGGAAGCCGCTGCGGTGCAGTCCACCCCGGCCAATCACCGTTAGGGGCCAGAGGAGGTCCGCTGCGTTGGGGTTCCGCTCCTCATCCCTCCCTCCTGCTGACACTGCAGCAGCAGCGGCTGCTGCTCCTGCTGCAGCTGCTTCCGGTGTCCCATGCCCCGCCCATGCAGCCCATGCGCTGTAGGTGGCAGCGGGGAGCAGCAGGAGGTGCGACGGACGCCGTTCCGTGGACTGCACGTACGCGTGTCCCCCCCCCCCGATTGAAACGCTCCGCCGGCAGGGCTTTAGCCCGTCATGTCATGTCATGTCATGTCACGCACCCATGCCATTACTCGGCCTCCTCCACGTACCCTCCCCACCGCCGGGCCCAATCGAATGGCCGGCCTCCGGGCCTCTGAAGCCTTCTGCCCCGGTAGTGAATCATAGTTGTATTCTGGGTCCGCAGGCATGTAGTGTTATCATGGTATGGAGCGTGTCTGACAGTACGGAAATACGGCAGTACTGTAGTTAGGTAGTATGGTAGTGCTGCCCTTCTTCAACTTTGTACTTATGATTGCTTGTTGCTGTTGTAGCGCACGCCACGCATATGTTGAGGTGATGTGGCACCTAACAACGCATGTGTGTGGAAAACGCCTAAAGCTTGCGCGCCGTAATTCTTACATGAGGAGAGGCGGTAGAAGTTGTCACTTTGGCCATAACACTGGTAGCAGTAGCACATTAGCAATGGTGCTTGTTGGGCGCATGTACTGTACCGTATACTGTGGCTCTGTGAGACATACGGGTTGCCGGTACTAGGTTGCTGATGGGTGGCCGGAATTCGGGCGGGTGACCGGGACTCCGATGGGCGGTGGGCGGCTTTCCCGCTGCTCTTCCAATACTCGCATGGCATGTTACAGGGCTCCCAGCCGCGCTCGATGCTTCCTCAGTTCTCACCAGCAGTTGTGACACTTCTCATTGCCAGCAGCCAGTTGATTCCCGTTCTATACCCCCCTCCAGCGCCATCATGCCAACCCGGGAGCTCACTCTGCATGTTGCCGTCGCTCCACCCGCGTTGTGTAGCCAGTCCCTATCGATACACTCCGTTGCGTCCTTCCGCAAGCGTGCATCTGTCCCTGTCGATACTCCAACCCCATCAGTAACACCGCTCCGCGGGGTGGCAGCTGCCCACCAACCCAACATGGTGATGATGCAACGGTAGTGCCACCCGCATACCCCAGACAATCACACAGTACATCCTGCCCTGCCTTACCCCAAAGGTTTTATAATACCTCCTAAGCCCGCATGCCCCCACATGCGCCCTCCTCAACAACACCTCAGTCCATTTAATGCAGCCAAGTAAGCGGTGCACCACACCACCACCACACCATTACATACGCCCGGTCTCGTCTCCCCCTGCCCTAATACCCACCGACCTACATACCCACCGTTTTAATACCCCTCACCCGCCATCAACCGCCCCCCACCGCGCCCTTCCCCCCCGGCGGCACCCCCTGCATCCTCCAACTGCCCCCGAACAGGTGCTGCACGCGAGCCTGCGGATCCCACACCGGACCTGCACCCATGTGGCCCACCCCGGGGCTGAAAGCAGTGATGGGAAGCAGGAGCAGGTCGTCCACGAGTGACCCGTGGGTCAGTCCCTGGAACTCGTGCCAGTCTCGGCCCTGCGAGATTGGTTACGCGTGTTGTTGTTGTTGGGTTGCGAATGGGTGTGGGGTGAACAAAGTATATGTATGGTGGGTGACGAAATAAACATGGAGTGTGTAGAGGCGGCGATATAACATGTGGAGCTCCTTGTTGTCGATGTTGGCGATGTTTATTTGTGCAAGGATGGACCCCAGGGATGAGAGACAAGGTATGAAGTGTACGACACTCAAAACTCAACCTGTCGTACTGTGGTACCTTGGATCTCAGGTAGTCGTACACCGCATCTGTCATGACGGAGGGCCCGGTGATGTGGATGACGTCATCCACTGTGAGCTGCTCGGGGGGCTGCCGCTCCAGCAGCTGGGAGATCCTGGAGGGTTGTTTGAGAGGGGTAAAGAGGAAACAACTAACTGACTGAGGGATAAGGCGTCAACCTGGGTTGCAACATGTGAGCCAGCCCGACCATAGGACGATAGGAAACCACAGGTTAGGGTTGTTATGGGGGGGGCGGGGGTAAAGAGGGGCTTTCCGACGTGGCGTTTTACCATGGGTTGCATGGCGGGGGGGGGGTAGGATGTTAGGGAAGGACAGGGACGGAGAGTACTCTAGTAAAGGCGAAGACGAGGGGTAGACAGGGACATCAGCTCCACCACCTAACCCTGCCCGCCGAACACCCCTCCCAACTCCTACTTTAGCACTGTCACACCACACATTGGATTATCTTCTTTTCCCAACCCCTACCAGGGGCTACCAACAACAGTTACCACCATCGACCACAGCATGCTGAATTTCTCTCTCTCTCTCTCTTTTTCCCCCTACCCAACCCCTCCCCCCCGCCCACCTAAACACCGTCTGTGCCAGCAGCGGGTGCGCCGGCTCCGCTGCGAAGGTCCACTGGCACATCTGCAGCTGCCGGCCCCAGTGCCGCCACCACTGAGGGATGGAGCCCGCGTCCGCCTCGATACCAATGATGGCGCTCACGTTACCTCCCGACTGCGGAAGCAGCGGAGGGGGGGAGGGGGGCGGGAGGCGGTGGGGGGTGAAAACATGGAGTGAGGAAGTGAAGGGCACCCCCCCCCCCGCGCACATGCCCAACCGCACCACCACCGTCCCCTACTGCTGCAAGCCACCACCATCCTCTCACCACCCTCTTCAACACCACCGCCACCACCCTCTCACCACCAGTACCGCCGTACTCACCACCCCCTCCGTCCAGCTGTCCACGGGTTTGAGGCACAGCGTGTCGGTGTCCGCATACACACCTCCGAATGCAAACACAACCAGGTAGCGGGCCAGGTCGGCGCGCAGCACGGGCAGCCGCCGGAAGGACCTGAGGGGGGGGCGAGGTGGGGTGGATGGGGGAGGTAGGGAAGGTGGGGGAGGTGGAGTAACCGGGGAAGGAGGGGACGAAGGAAAGAGGGAAAGAGGGAAGGAGGGAACGAAGGAAAGAGGGAAAGAGGGAAAGAGGGAAGGCAGGAAAGAGGGAAAGAGGGAACGACCAACCGTGTGTGTGTGGCATGCATGCCGGCTCCACCGAGGGGCGCACCACAGTAGCAGGCAGGGTGGGTTGCATGGGGTGCCTGGGCTGCAGAGGTGAGGGGGGCTGAAGCGTGCAACCCAGAGCTCAGCTTGACCTTGGAAGAGGGGCAGGTAAGCTGCCACCCACCCACTACCACCCCTTGCAACAAGCCCTTCAAGCCCCACAACCCACCACCACCCCACCACCACCACCACCCCACTACCACCATCACCCCACCCCAACACCACCCCACCTGAACGCGGGTGCGAAGGCGGGGAACATGCTGTCCACCAGCTCCTCCACGTCCGCCGCCCCCCACATCACGTGCGTGTACCCCGGGTTGCGCTGCCGCCAGGAGGCCACGGAGGCGGCGGGGCCGCTGTTGCTGCTGGATTGAAGCAGGTGGCGGCCGGAGGGGGAGGGAGAGGCGGAGGAGGGAGAGGTGGAGGTGGGAGAGGAGGAGGGAGAAGGAGGGGAGCTGAAGGAGTGGGTGCGGTGCCGGCTGCCGCTGTTGGTGTTGGTGTTGGTGTTGGGCTGGTTGGCTTCGTTGAAGAGTCCGTACATCTGCGTAGGGAAGGGAAGGGAGGGCGAGGGCGAGGGAGGGCGGGAGGGTGTGGGAGGAGGGAGCACGAAGGGTGAGGGGAGAAGGTGTGCTGTTCCGGGGTCAGCTGCAGGTATGGGAAGGGGCGTTGTCCAGGTGATTAAAAAGGACTGAACGATTGATTGAACCGCTAGGACCGTTTTGCCCTGCACATATCGGGTATATCCCCATCAATTCCCAACTATCATTTGAGTACCGTGCGTCACCGTGGCGTGAGTGACCCACGGGTCAGTAAGCCACCACATGTGCCGGGCACACGGCCCAAACCGCCCGTAACGCCAGCGCGCCCACCAAAACAACACGCACCAACCACAACGAACACAGCCCACACACACCGCTGACACTACCAACTACACTGGCAGCCGGAAGCTGCTGCTGTTGAAGTGATGATTGCAAGAGGCTAACACCCGCAGGCGGCCCCGGGCAGCCTGGGCTGTTATCCCCTGGCAGAGCAGCCCCGACCCCACTGCTGAGGCCTCGCCTCACCCCACCCCAGCCGACCCCACCTGGTGTATAATCTTGGGTATGCCGCCCCCCGTGTGACGAGCCAGGGCCTCACGAGCCGCCCGCATAGCAGGGGAACGGGGCAGCGGGAAGTGCCCAGAGGAGGAAACGGCAGGGGGGTTTGTGGCGGGCGGCTCTGTTGCTGTTGTCAAGATGACATCGCCGCTGCTGTTGCTGTCGCTGTCGCTGTTGCTGCTGCCCCTATTGCTGGAGAAGACATGGGTCAGAAAGATCTGACTCTTCTTTGCCGAGCTGGTGCCGTTGCTGCTGCTGCTGCTGTTGTTGTTGTTTTTGGCGACACCACCGGTGCCAGATCTGTTGGCCATGACGACGGGGGCGGTGGCGGCAACAGCGTCGTCAGCTGCTTTGCCGCCGCCGCCATTGCTGCGGCTACTGACATTAGCGGCACCGCCGCCGCCGCCGCCGCTGGCCCCAGCGTTAGCGGCAGCGGCAGCGGCTCCACTGTCCCCAGCGGCGGCGCTGCCAGCTGCACCCCGCGTGGCGACAGCAGTGCCGTTGCGGGCGATGGCGGCATCTCCTCCGCCACCGGCGGCGCCTCTGGCTGCCACCCCTTTATCTACTACTGGCCGCTGCTGCTGCTGCTGATGGCCCTTCTGCTCCTCTGCCTGTATGCCTTCAGGTGGTAGGGTGGGCGGCTTGCCAACTGCCCCGCCCCCGCGCCCCCGGCCTCCTCCCACTCCTCCTCCTTCCACCTCAACCGCCGCGCTATCCGTCCCACCTCCAACCCCCGCCCCATCACCCCCAGCAGCCTCCTGCCCCCGGCCTGCACTGGCGTCTACACCCCCGCCGCCGCCGCCGCCACCATCCTTACCCACGCCATCCTTACGCGCCGTCGCTGTTAGGTTGATGCTGCCCCCTGCCGCAGCAACCCCTGCCGCCGCCGCCCCTGCTGAGCCCCCCGCGGAAGTCCATCCGCTTCCTCCTCCTCCTCCTCCTTCTCCTCCCCCTCTTGCTGCTCTTCTAGCAGCATCCCCACCAGCATCAGAAGCACCGGGACCTTGAACCCTAATAGCATCCCCAGCAGCAGCAGCGGCAGCAGCAGATGCCGTACCGTCGTACAATCGCAGCGAGGCCGGCGGCGGCGGTCGGGCCACAAGCAACATGGAGAGCGACACCATGGCGAGCAGTACGGCAGCAGCTGCCACTAGCGATCCCCGTCGGCGGGTGGGAGGGAGGTGGTGGGGTCCGCCCTGGGTTGGTGGTGGTGAGGAGGAGGAGGCGGGTGAGGAGGCGGAGAGGAGACCGCGACGTGCATGGCTGGCTTGGAGGGGAGGAATGGATCCGGATCCCGCGCCTCCGAAACCGTGTCCGGGTCCTAGGGGTGGTGGTGGGAAACCTAGGGAGCTTTTCGTGCTGTTGATTGGGCTGTTGTAGTAACTGCTGTTGCTGCTGTTGCCGCCTCTGCTGGTCGTGTATGTGCTGTTGCTGCTGGTCCTGGTATTGTTGTTCGAGCCCGGAATGCTGCTGCCTCCGTAGTAGTAGTTGTAAGCGCCAGGATTGCGGTTGGCGACTGGGGTGCGTTCGTCGGGGTTGACTGGACTGCCATCGCTGCTGCTGTTGCCATTGTTGTTGCCGTTGTTACGTCCTCGAGGTTGGGTGATGCCAATGCGTTGTTGCGTTTGCTGTTGTTCTAGGGAAGACGCTCGGTACAAGGGAATAGGCGGAGGAGAAGGCGGAGCTGCTGTGGAGGAGGGATGGGAAGGAGGAGTAGAGAAGCGCCAGGAAGCGCCACGCATGTTGCTTGTATATATGTTGCGTGCTGCGACCTGCTCTTGCTGCTCCTTCTTCTCGCTGCTGCTGATGTGGTCGCGCTCAACGCAACTGAGAGATGACGACAAACGCTGGCCCACCAAGCAAGGCTATTTGCTATCCTCTTGTTATTAAAGGTAAAAGGCTACCACGTCTAGCTTGGAAAAGGTGTGCTAGTAGCGAATTTTTGCTTTGGAGTGACCCACGGGAACGCTCATACCAAAATCGATTGCCAGCATTCTAATTTAAAATGAACACGCTGCTATGTGTCATTCAGACATGGAAGCATTTTGTCGTATTACTGCGTTCATCGAAGTTCCCGAACCGGACGTAATCGATCACGTGCCGCGGCTTCCGGCTCCGAATCCCTCCCCGCGCAGCCAACCGACGACCCCACCAAGAAACGAACAACATACGAAAGCAGAATCCAAGGGAACGTTTCAGTAAAGAAATGGCCAGGAATTTTGCGGCTGCACCTGACAAAGCACGCCCGGTCCCGCTTCTGCGGGATCCTTCCCTTAGCAACGAGGCTCGCAAAAAACGTAACACGGCGCTTACAAGGCGTGGTCCCTTCACCAGCTGGCACCTTGCTACTCCCTCGTCTGTTCCTTTGCCGGCCGCTTTGCTAAATTGCCCTTTGAGAAGATCTTCTCCACATCCTCCGTTGCTACGTTGGCTCTGCGACGTGGGAAGCAGCAACAGCGGCCACAGCGGCGGCTCCCGTCAGCTTACTCATCTTGGCAACAAGACCCGGGAAGCAAGTCGATATCAAAAGCCAAAGCTGCCAATGAAGACGCAAAGCTCTCCTAGTACCCAACGGCCGCTGTTCCCGTCTTCAGATGGACCATTGCCCTCATGGCAACGCGTGTCCCGGCAACTTGACCTGCTGCGTAAACACACCCTACCGTGTCCCCATCCAAAGGACTCCAGGCGCGCCTGCACCCACCTGCCATTCCGCAGCTGTGGCGGCACCAGCATCGCGCCCTTGAAAGCGGGTTTGGGGCCGGTTGGGGAGGAGGCGGTGCGGGAGGCCTTGGGCGGGGCGGCCTGCAGCGGTCCGCTGCCGGTGACCTGCGTGAAGCCGCGCTTGGGGCCGCTCCCGCCGCTGCCTGAGGGGGAGGCGCTGCGGGTTGTGGGGTGGGAGGTGCGTGGGGGAGGGGAAGGGGAAAGGCAGGGGGGGTGAAAACAAATCTTAATGTGTGGTATGATAGTGGTAAAACAAGCTGACAAGCCCGGATGAAAAAACCGTGTTGTTGGGAAGCGGGTAAAAGGGGAACGGCAGAAGGGTGCGGCATCGCAACGAGGCTGCCGGCGGGTTAGGCAGGCTGAAAGCTGGGTTCTTCAAAGCAAAGGAGCTCTCGCAAGACGAACAAAAAGCCGATGTATGTGTAAGGAGGAAAGGAAGGATGCGTTGGAGGTGTCGGGTGCTAGGGTTTGGCACGCTATCCGTTGACTAACGGTCTTGGTTCCAAAGCTGGACCTACGTTGAATGTGACGCAGGCCGTTCTGTATCCATGTCTGATGCAAATGGGTTGAATAGCGCCGCGGGCTTGTCTGGCTCCGGATCGGGGGCTGCGTTTCGTAACTGTGCAGGAGCGACGAGCGGTTGTGATGTCGATGGGCCTGGCCTGGACTCCTCTCTAACGTCGCCTTGATCCTCAGCATCCGAGTCACTATAAGCTCCTAAGAGATCCATGCTTGGCTTGGCTTCAACAACAGCTTTTCACCCGGGATCGGGAAAAGAATGTTTTCTTCCCTATCAGCAACTCCTAATTGTAAAGAGAAGTTAATGGCGTCCAGGAATAATCCAGCCGTGTAAAACGAGGTGAGCTTGGCCAAGGCGAATCCATGGCTGTACTTTTGTTGTACTCATACGCCATAAGGCAACCGCAAGTTAGCAGTGGAAAGAGACGCGACAAGGGAGCTGCTGCGCTATAACCAAAAACCAAATATGCTTAAGCTTGGCCCCGCATCCACGCGTTGCTGTCACGCCTTCGCATCCATGGCTTGCATCCCTGCCTCGGCGCGCCTAAGCAGCGCCGCGTCAATTCCACGCACCTCCTACATTCCGCACCGTGTAATTCAGACGCAGCGACCGTCACACCGCTTCTCGCAGTTTCGGCGACAGCAGCGTCCATTGGACTACTCGTTCTCCCGGGGGTTCGCTGCCGCCGCAGCTGCAGCAAGCGATGGCGCCGCTGCGGCGACGTTGGTGGACCGCATCAAAGCGGACATGAAAACCGCCATGAAAGCAAAAGACCAGGTCAGCGCTTCGCGTGCCGTACACTTGTCGTATCTTGCGCCTCTTCTTGACGATGGAGTGGCTAACAAGTTTGACAGGAGTGCACATCCAGACCAACAAGCACAACACGCACTGCACAAATGCATACACATCCAGCCATCACAGCCACTTCTTGGCAGTGGTATCTGCTACAATCGAACTACCTTTCCCTTCCTCCTCTCCCTTCCCTTCTCAGCCCCGTCTAGAGGCCATTCGCTTCCTGAACGCGGCCATCAAGCAACGAGAGATTGAGCTGCGTGAGGGCGGCGGGGCGGTCACCGACCAAGAGGTGGTCAAGGTGGGTTATGAGACTATGAGATTATGAGACTATGACCGAATGCTGGGTAGGACGGCCTGATGTCGGCATTACCCCTCCCCAACCCTCGCCATCCCCCTCCCATGCCCCCCCGCTGCTCCTCCCCTCCCCGCACCCCCCTCCACCTCAGGTTATTCAGAAGCTGGTGAAACAGCGGCGGGACTCCATCGAGTCCTACCGCTCCGGCGGGCGGGAGGACCTGGTGGCCAAGGAGCAGGTGGGGGGCCGGGGCAGGGAGGAGGAGGGAGGGAGGGCAAGGGATGGAGAGGAAAGCTGGCCACGTACTATCGATGTATTAATGCATCGTGGGTGCCAACCCTCTTCATTACCGGTATTCCGACCCGTGTGTGGGGAGTCCTTTCCGAGGGGTAAAAATAAAGAAACACTGACAAACTGAATGACGAGGGGAGGGGAAGGAAGGAAAGGGGTTTTGTACGGTACCTTGTAATGGCTAGGCATCGTGAAGTGTAGCCTCTCTCTCGCCTTCTCCCTCCCTTAACCCACACCTCAGCCTCTACTCCCCCACTCCTCTCCCCCCCCGCCCCCCCTCTCAAGAGCGAGTTGTCGCTGCTGGAGGGCTACCTGCCAGCCATGATGGGCGCCGCGGAGGTGGAGCAGCTTGTGGAGCAGGTGGGTGGGGGGATAACAAATGAGGAGTGCGGGAGAGGAGGGGAGGAGGGTAATCCAGGGGTTTGGAACTGGTGGGGGTGGGGTTGGGAAGAAACGAGAGGTGGGATGACGGTAGTGCCTGGGTCGCTGCAGCTGTCTGCTCACACGCCCCCCGCCACCCCTCGCCACCCCTTCACCTCCCGTTGTCCCTGGTTGCATGCCTGCTCAGGTGATTGCTGAGCTGGGGCTGTCGGGGCCCAAGGCCATGGGCCCGGTGATGAAGGCGGTGATGGCGCGAGCGGGCGGGAGGGCGGACAGCAAGACGGTGTCGGATGCGGCCAAGGCCAGGCTGGCTGGCGGGGGGAAGTGAGGGGGAAAAGAAAAATAGGAGAGGCAGAGCGGAAAGGCTGGAGGGCGTACCCACTGACCTCGAGACCAGGCACGTTTTGTTTTTTCTGGTGCTCATGGTGTTTGACATAGCTGCTGGTGGTGGTGGTTTTGCTGCATGCCAATCGGAGGGGTGTTTTTTGACGTGATGTTGCGTTCGGGGCCATCAGAGACATGGTGATGGATGCGGCGCGGCGTGGGGAGCCGGGAAGAAGGTTGCCTTGAGGGTTAGTCTGCTCCGCCGTACAACAGTACCTTGCCGTATCTGAGACGATTCCACTGACCGTTCAAGGAAACTGGGCGGAAGTTTCTGTCCAAATAGCGCAGCCGAAAACATAAAGCTAGGTTGTTATGGGTGCTGCAGCCTGTTAGCCTGCTTGACAAGTTGTTCATCGATTTGTCCTTGCCTAGTTAAACGCTGTCTTTTAGGTACTAGTTGTGGTAAACCTGTCATAGATTGCTTTTATTAGCAAGGACCAAAATAAGGGAAAGTCAGTAGGACGTAATGGAGCGCGTTGCGGACGTCCCTGCCCATAATGAGCCCAACAGAGACCCGTCAGACTTCGCCTTAACAAATAAGAACCTAGTGTGCTGCTATGTTTGTCGATTAATCAAGTCGCGCAACCAGGTTTGTCACTCCCGCCGATTATCTTACTGAGCAGCTGGAGCGGCAACGAGAAACGCCGATTCTTTCTGCGCAGTTCCATGAAATGGGATGTGACAACTGCAAGAACATCTTCGGACCTAGCATATCTTTCGAGGACTTCACAACGCCAAACTTCTCTGGGTAGGCAGCGGGTGTCAAAGCCGAAGCTGCGTTAAGCTTCCCATGAATGTACGTTTTCCTTGCGCAGAATGATCTCGATCATGGACCCCAAGGCAAGCTGGGCGTGCAAATGGCTACATCTCGGTAAGGGCCCATGGGCCAGCTTTTTCCAAAAATGTGCACCGCACGCTATGAACGAAAAGCCAGCAGCGCCCTTCCACCAATAACAAGCCTACTATAAGCTTGTAGGAATCAGCGTTGTTTGGTTACGGTGCTGCTTACGATCCTATGTTGCTGCTTGCTGTTAACAGGCAAGTACGTGCCAGGATGCTATGCCATGGCAGTCAACGACGATGTCCCAGAAGACTTGCAGGTGGGCCGCTGGGAGGGGGCGGGAATGGGGCAGGATGGAAGGGTGGTGGGTTAGCGATCGGAACAAAGGGATTGCCGGGAGACTTCTGCGTCGGGGCTGGACCTGGGTCGGTGCCACCTACCGGTATAGCCCTCAGCTGGCAAAGCGACGTGGATTTAGTTTATCAAGCCTTGGACAACAATGTTGCTAAACGTCTGGAGACTCTTAATGGGTTGCGTCAACTCAAGTAGCCATGCTTAAGCAAAGCCCACCCCCCGGCGCGCCTTCCATTCACAGGACATTCTGGAGAACAAGGGCATCAAGGTCAGACATGGGTGACACCACAGCTATGCAAAGTGCAGCGGCCATAGCAAGAGGGGTAGGGGCTGCCTGGAAGGCATGCTGGTGGCCCGGGCCCAAAATGAGTTGTGCTATGGATGGATCGTGGACGCAACAGCAGCAGCAGCTTTTGGGTGAGGTTGAGGGCGAACTTGGGAGTGCGTCGGCGTTTAGGTTTGCGTTAGGGAGTCGTACAAGAGGAGTTAGGAAGTCGTATAAGAATAGGGGCACGGGGGGTGTTAAGGAGGCATGCATGCATGCTGTGAGGTTATGGATATCACAAGGCGGATTACGATTGTGGCTCCCCGCTTCACCCAGGAGTTGCTGCTGTGTCTGCTGATCCCTTTTGATGTTCGCGGCATGAAGCCGTAAGATACAATACACTTGACACGTCGACAGCATGTGAATACTTGACGGCAATGGCGGGGTGTGCGCTTCCATTTGTACGGCGGCGAAACCCTTATTAACCCTATGTTGCACGAGTGAGTGTGAGGTTGGTTTGGTACCTGCCGCGGCGCTTGCCCTTGCATGGGGCACGTCCTCAGGCGCGGTGTGTTAAAATAACTGGCCGCGAGGCGAAACCGCGAGGCGCGGTGTGTGTTAAAATAACTGGCCGCGAGGCGAAACGTACTATGTTAAAATAACTGGCCGCGAGTAGGAACATACTGGGATGTCGGAAGATCACACACGTACTGTGTGTGTGTCAAGAAAACTGGCCGTATGTGTGTGCGCTGGCTGAAGGAGGTCTCCCTTGGGATGCTTCGGTGTGGTGGATCAAGCTGTTCCTTGCAGTTGTGCAGGGACATGCAAATGCAGGGAGGCGAGAAGGGATGGCACTTCATATGTTTATCAGGCTTTGCCTCCCTGCGCAGTGGCGTTCAGTTAGATACGGTGTGGGAGGAGGAGTTCTAGGGTTAGCCCACCTGTCGCCTGCAGCTGCAATATCGGTAATTACGAGCCCCATGGTTGGCCTTGCCGCATGCCTTGATGATCTGTGCATCAGATGTGCAGTACTGCCTGGTGTACGGTAATAATGATCCGGCTATGCCATGGCTGTGCGGTACAGGCTGTGCCGTACAGGTTCACCTATCTCGTGGGTCCATTAAGGAACGCAGAGCTCACAGTTCTCGTGGCCTCCCTCAGCAGCCCAGCGCAAGAAGATCAGCAAGTGAGAGGGTGACGTTGCTTTATTAGACAGTTCCAGGTGCGGTGCTAATTAAGCCCCATGTTGCAACTTGCAAGCAGCATGATATCTGAAATAAGCGGCGGGGAATGCCAGGCTACAAGTGTTTTTGCCTTACAATATCGGTAGCCGCAAATGCCACACCTACAAATGCTACCCCCAGCACGAGTCCCAGACATGAACAGCAGGCAGACGCGGTAGCTGTGTTGCCAACTGGCAAGACCAATGCACGTATTCCAATCTTCCAAAGGTTCCCAACCCAACAAAGCCACAACAGGTACCCTACGTATACGCTATAAGCTATAACTCAATTTCCCACGCTGGCAGTTCAGATTGAACACCATAGCCCGAGCTCTCAACGGGGTTCAACGTCTCAGACAACATGCAGTTTGTCGCCGCAATTCCTTAACCCGCGACGTGTGACAAGAACATGCGGGTTTCTTGTCACTGTGCCGTACATGCCTCCTCTCCACACGCCCTATATAAGCATTTGAAACGCCTGCCTTCCGAGTAAGAAGCGTTTCGTACGACAGCTTCATTAAACATTGAGGTATTGGAATTGAAATGCGCCAAGGAAGTAACAAACATATCAAAATTGCAGATGCCAAACACGTACGGTACCCTCCATTGCTTGCTGTGTAGCAATGTGGGCCGGCGCATTCATCCTCCAACTGTCACACCGACGTGCCACTCCAAAACCATCTTTACCACACAACGCCGTACCACGTAACGCCGTAAACAGAGAACTAGCGGCCATGTGAAAGTTTAAGGCCGACGTTGCGCCACTTGGGCCAATTGCTAACCTGACGTAGCCCCGTACAGCCCAAACCAGCCAACCATAATCCGCCAAAGGAAACCATTGCTTCAGTTGTAGGGCCTTGACCCTTGACCCTTGACCCTTGACCCTTGACACGCAGCATGGTCGGTTGTAGGACAGAGCCCTCTACCTGCCCTCAACACACGCCGACATGTTTATGACAAACACGCACACCCCTTTCATAGCCACCATGCAAACTGCGCGCCACAAGTTACACAACCTTCGTCTCAATCTCAAATCCTCAAATTGCACTCCCGTCCAGCGTTTTCACTCAACCAAACGGCGTTGCATGACCGCGCCACAGCTGATGGCGTTGGTTTCCCACTGTATCCTCATCACGAGCAGGCGCGGGGAACCTGCCAGTGTCTCCAAAGTGTGACCCCGATAACGGTGATGGGGCCGCAGCAGCATACCTTCAGGCGAACGGACGGTCTACCTACCACCGGACAGGACTGCAGCACGTCTGTGACCCATGGGTCACCTCCATTGGCCATAATAGAGAGGATTCAGGGGGCCGCCTGCCTCTATTATAAACCAAATATAAGATAACAGAAAAGCTCAGCCTGACAACAGTACGTGCCAACCCCCCTCTCTCCGTTTCTTCCCTCGTGCTCTCCTGTGGCTTATGCCAAGGCTATACCCTCGTCATCTGCGACCCTCTTGCTTCCTCTCATCATTCATCTCCTCCCCTAAACCGCAACTCCGCTCTGGCCCGCGTCTCTTGTAAGTCCAGCTCACTTTGGCTTTCACACCCCTCTTCGTCTCCGCTTCTCCTCGTCTTTCTCGCTATAACAATGAAAGGCCCTCATCCTCTCTCATCACCCTCTCCGCCCCCACACCCGATAATGCGGTATTTCCAGCCCCTATTACCCATCACCGACGAAACACGCCTAGAAGGTCGAACACCTTCTCCTTCGCTGACACCCCTCCCTGCCGCTGCTGCTCCTGCTCCTCCCCGACCACACCATCATACCCCTCCTCGCCTCCATCGTCACCCCCGTCATAGCTGGAGAAGCTCCTGCTAATAGCCTTCGCAAAACCGTTGCCGTTAGCAGCAGCAGCAGCAGGTACAGCGCCAGGCGTCGAGCCCTTCCCGCGGCCGACGACGCCATTGCCATTGCCATTGCCGTTGCCGTTGGAGGCAGCGGCATACTTACCGTTACCGTTGGATGCAACCGCCTTGCCGTTTCCGTTGGCGCCGTTACCGTTACCATTGTTGTTGTTGGCGGGGGCGGCGTTGTAACCGCCAGAGCCCGGGGCCCTCTTCGCAGCGGCGACGCCTCCCAGAATCATGGGCACCTGCGAGGGGGAGGGGTTCGGGGTTGTTCAAGGTATGGGTGTACCAAAAAGGATGACACGATGGCGTGCAGGGGATACCTACCAGGAGAGGCACAGGAGGGCAACCGAATCACTCTCGTAAACCCCCCCGGCCGATAGTACACGACCTACCTCCCTTACGTCCCTCTTCCCGCGCCCCTCACACCTTCAGTTTCATCTTTCCACTCCCACTCGAAGCAGCTGCAGCAGCCGCCACCGCAGCACCCGCAGCCGCCGCTCCCTCGCCTGAGCCCCACTTGCCGCCGCCTGCTTTTCCGCTGCCGCCGCCTGCTGCTCCCGCACCTCCTCCGCCCCCTCCCTGCCGTACCCCCCGTACGCTGTTGACCGCACTGCTCACCTGTACGGCAACAGCAGCGGTACAAGCACCGTACAAAGTACGACGTCACGCGGGGAGCAGGGATCCATGTCATACCGACCATCATTCATGACCATGACAAGAAACCCCGTCCTGGCATAAACGTGAACCCCCCCCCACACCTGCTGCCTCAGCCTCTCCCGCCTCTCCACCAGCCGGGCCCGCAGCTCCCCCTGCCGCTGCTGCCACCAGGCGATGGTCTGACTGCCCTCTCGGGGCGCCAGGGGGGCGGGCTCCTGCAGGCCAAGCTCCTGGGGGGGAGCGGCGGGGGGTTGGGTGGGTGTCGGGTGGGGCGTGAGTGTGTTTCTTCTGTCGGGATCCAGGGATCGAGAAGCGGAGGGGTTTGCCCCTGGGGAAGCTGAGGGGCTTCCCCGCGTTGCCACGCTACCGTATCACCCACTCCGGCGGCGGCGGCGATGGTTCGACAGCGGCGAATACAGCGACGTCAGCTTCAGCCCCACCCACCCGCCCGCCCTCCACCTCCCTCCACCTCCCACCACCCCACCCTCGCTCCCACCTCCAGCAGCTGAGCCTCAGTGAGCGCCCCCTGCTGCGTCTTCAGGATGGCTTCCGTCTGATACACACAGCGCAGGAGGGTGGCAGTTGGGTGTTTAGGAAAGGGCATGGGGTGGCGCAGGTCAGGATGTTTAAAAGGGGGCATGCTATGCCTTGTGGAGAGGGAAGTCATTGGATTGCCACGCGAGTTTGTTCATCGACAGGCAGCAAACAGACAGAACGAGACGAACCAGTAGCCGTATGCACCCCCACTACACCCTGCATGCACCCCAACCCCACCTCCCGCCCCCCACCCCCTCACCATGTTCGCCACCTCCGCCGCCCTCCCCAGGCTCCTCCCCGCGTTGCTGAGCGCCGCGCTGGTGGCTGCGGCCGCCGACCCCACCGCCGCCTCCGCAGCCGCGGTGAGGGAGCCCTGGCGGGAGGCGGCGCGGCCGGGCGCGGAGGAGAGCCAGGGGTGGGCCAGCGCCTCGGCAGCGGAGGGCCTGCATGCATGCATGCAGGAAGGGTGTGTGTGTGTGTCAAGGACCATACCGAACCACAGGAAAGCACAGGGGGGAGCAAGAGGTGAGGCAAGTTTGTGTGTGTGTGGGTTACGGTGCTATCTACCGGATGGTTTTATAATAAATTAATAACCACAGCAGCTGCCGCGTACGTCGTGCCCCACCACCACCACCACCGCACCTGTCCGCCGGTGTGTACGCCATGAGCCTGCTCAGCAGGTCCCAGCCCGCGCCTCCCTCCGCATCCAGGGCTGCGAAGCCCGTTGCCAGGCTGTCCCCTTGCTGCCCCTTGGCGGCGCCCGAGGCTAGGCGGGCGGCCTCCTCGCGGCGCCAGGCGGCAAGGTCCCACTTGAGGTCCTGCGGGGGGAGGTGTGCGGGGGGGGGGGGTGCGGAAGAAACACCAAACCAGAAGGTGAGGACAAGACAAGACAAAAGAGATGCGAGGTGGCGGGCTCTTTGTGTCGCCTTTCGTTGACGCCTTCATCGCCCATGCCGCAACATCCTACCGCGCAGTCGGTTGAGCCCTGCACCCCCTGTGCGTGGTATCCATCCCCCATCAAATCCCCTCCCTGTACGCTGTATCCCCCACCATCCCCCCTTCAATCCACTGCTCCCAGCTACCTGCAGCCGCTTGTTAAAGGCGCACAGCGTGTTATCGTTGCGCAGGTGTGGGAACACCAGCTGCAGCATGGTGACGCCGCAGCTGTACATGTCGAACCGGTCGGGTCGCTCCATGGCCCACAGCACGGGGGAGAGGAAGGCGGCGACGGGCTTGGGGGGCGGGTGCGGGGTCTGCATGGGGGGCATGGAGGTGAGGTGGGGGGGAGGGGGGAGGTGAGGAAGGAGGAGTTGAGGAGGTGTGGCGGGGGGGCATGGCGGGCAGGCAGGTGCTGTGGGAAGGGTAAGGTGCGCCGGCGTCCTAAGACCTAAAACACACACACATACACACACGCTTCGCTTCGCTTCGCGTTTCGCCTCGCGGCCAGTTATTTTAACACACACGCTTCCCCCCTCTTTACCCCTCCTTCCCGCCCCCATGCACTCACTGCATGCGTCGGGATATGGGATCGGGACTCTAGTTGTTTGCACTTATTATATGTTCCACCCGCCTCCTCCGCCCACCTGTGTGCTCATGATGTACTGCTGCGGCGGCGCGTACCGCGGATCCAGCAGGTAACTATTGCGTGTCACCCATACACCCAAAAACACACACACGTTTCCCCTCACTTTACCCCTCCCTCCTCCCCGCCCACCTGTGTGCTCATGATGTACTGCTGCGGCGGCGCGTACCGCGGGTCCAGCAGGTACTCATTGGGCACGTAGTTGATGCCGATGCGCAGGTCGGCAGCCGCTCCCAGGTCGATCAGTTTGAGTTTGCGATCGCGGCTGGAGATGATGGCGTTGGCGGGCTTGATGTCTCGATGTACGATGCCTGCAGCGGTTTGGGAAGGGGTGCGTTGAGGGGACGTTTGCCTACGAGTCTTGCTGCTGCTACAAGCTGGCTACAACAACGACACTGTTATTACAGACGCCCTCCCTTGCTCCCCCCTTTCTTTCTCCCTCTTTCTCCTTCTCCCTCGCCTGCCCTCGCCACCCTTGATATTGCACTCCGCCACTGTCGCCCCAACAGACCTCGCTTGTGCCCTTTCCCCTTCTGCATTATCCCCCTTCCTTCCCCTCCCTCCAGCCTAATATCCAGCCCAATGCAGGATATGTAACCCTACTAACCCCTCCCCTCCCCTCACCATTCGCATGACACGCCGCCACCGCTGCCAGCAGCTGCCGCATCGCCTCCTTCACCGTCACCGCCTCCCTCGCCGGACCCCGGGGTGCACGCAGCTCCCGACCAAACAGCAGCGGCTCCAGGTTGTACGGAAACTCGCGGCGCTGCAGGTGTGGGTGGGTGTGGGTGGGTGGGGGGGAGATATACCGGAACCACAGGTTAGGGCAAAGCAATGGGGATATAGTGAAGCAATTGTGTGGGGAGGCTTGGAGATAGAGAGGGGAGGAGAGCAAGGGGAGGAGAGGGAGGGGAGGAGATGGAGGGTAACGGGGGTCTGTGCTGTGCGGCAGGGAGGGGCACCCACCAGCATACCACCTCACTTGGGAGAATGCAGGATGCCGCGAAGGAAGGGGAGGAGGAAGGGTGCCGCTGCGTCTCATGAGCCCATGGGCGGCGTAAGCGTGTCGCGCCCCTGCTCCTCCCTTCAATCCTTCCTTCCCTAACCTTTCCCCCGCAATCTCCCCCGTGTAGCAACCTACCCTCTCGTGCACCCCCCCCCCTTCTCCCCTTGCCCACCCCTCTCCTCCTGAGTCCCCCCCTTAGCTCCGGCTTCCCTTACTCTTTTACTTCCCCCCCCCCCTCCCCCCCATCTCCACCCCCTGCACCCACCTCCATCAGCGACATCAGGGTGTTGTCCCCCTCGTAGTACCAAACCAGCCAGATAGCCCCACCATCCAGACCTCCTGCTCCCGCCCCTGCACCTGCTGCCGCCCCCGCACGGTTTCCTGCTGCTGCCCCCGCTCCCGCTGCTCCTCCTCCTGCCCCCGCTGCTCCCCCCGCTGCTGATGATGAGGGTGGTGGTGGCGAAGTTGCGGAGAGGGATTCGTCGAATGCGGTCACGAACTCCGCGGTGTGGTTGCCCGGCACGCGGCTCATGCGCTCGTTCATCCACACCTCCGCCTCGCCGAACTCCTTGGCCTGTGCGTGTGTGTGTGCGTGTTTGCGGGGGTGTGCGGGGGGGGGGGTCAGGGTGGTTAGGGTGGGTGGTGGCGATGGGGTTGATGAGGAGTTGGAAGAGAACAGGAGGTAGAGAGGGGGGAAAAATTATATAAGAAATGCAAACAGAGAAGGGGGGGGGTTGGTAGGGGCTTGAGGTTTCTGAGGTGGTGTTTTGCAAGGGGGAGAGGGGGTCGGGTGGAAGCGAGGCAGGGCCGGGGGAGGAGACTGGGACACATACGGTACACAGGTCGTGCTGGTTGCAGTAGGTAAAGCGTAAGGCTAAGCGTGCGTGCACGTTAGGTGGCGGCATCAATGTTTACAACCCCTCCTGACCCGCAACGAACCGTCACATGGGTTAAGATTCCCCCCTTCATGTCATGCAGCTATTTAACTTACCTTTTTAATGATGATGGGTGTACGGCCGCCTCCCTCCTCCTTGAGTTCCCCTTTATACACGGTGCCGAAGCCGCCAGTGCCCAGCCGCTTCCCGAGAATAATGTCATTCTGATACGTGTTACGTGTACATGGGAAATGAACAGCGCGGGGTGGATTAAAAAGGGATAGAAGACAATGGCAGCATGGCGAATGCTCAAGGTTGCAAGGTGTAGGAGGTTCCCAAGGGACCGGTCGCTTTGTATGCAAGTGGTGCTCACCTTGTCGATGACTCTCGACTCTCTGCGTTTCAGCGGTGCTTTAATGTAGTAGTCGAATGCGCCAGGCAGCACACCTACGTAATAGCCAGCGCTATGTTAGGCGCTATGCCCTAAACCAAGCACAAGGCCTTGCACCCGAGGGTAAATGTCATTATTGAGACACCCAACGACGAGCCAAAGCCGATGCTGACCTGGCGGTAAGAACAAGTATCCAAGCACCGTCGCCAGCAACGTTGCGGTGCGCCAGTCAAAGCCTCCAGTTTTGTAATGTGCAGGGTCCAAAGTGCTGCAGGTCGCGCACAAGTGACAAAAGTGAACCACAACTCAACCCAACAACCTAATCGCCGGCCGCGTACCTGCGATAAACGATATCTCCACACTTCATAACCTGGCAAGGCGCTGCTATCTGCTCCAGAGGCAGGTGCACCGCGAGCTGGGAAAGCGCGTCAACAAGCTCAGGTGATGCGCGAACCCGTCGTCGCTGCGCCCGGCCCCTTGGTCGCTGGACAGGCGGCCATAGCGCTGCGGGCACGCTCTGTGACGTAGATGCTCCTGCAGACCTCTCAATGCGACTCAGCGCTGAACGCTGCAACATGCTTAGCGACTAAATGCCAAATGTTGTTGGTGTTAGCTTAAACACGTGCACAGCTAACTATCCTTGATGTTCTTTGCTAGCTAATTTTCCTTGCATAACGTTGTAAGGACTGAGGAGAAACAATGAGGAGTATCCCAACGGTCTTGGGGGTTGCGTACGGCAAGCATGAGACATGTAGGCAGGCAAGCCCCGGCATGACGACACCATCTGGCGTCATCTCGCCTATCATCCCCTCGTTCCTTTCATCAAGAACCCCATCATCTAGTTTCTCCTATGCTCCCAACAAGACTGCGCTAATGCTAGCAAGCAGCTGTGGCAACCACCTTGCCACCTTTCCACCCCAGGCTTTTCTTCCCGCTCCCACTCGAACCGAACCATCCCGCAAGTTGAGACACTTCTCTACATCAGTCCCCGCTGTTATCAAGTACCGCGCATCTAATATGCGATGCCCTGTCTCTTCCTGTTCCTAAACTCCTTCGAGACGCTCGACTTACCAAGCAAGTGGCTCCTCTTTTCTTCTCGCTGCGTGGGAGGGCGAGTGGGAGGGGCGCCGCGTGAGGGAGGGGCCCCTAGGGTTGTCCCCAGCTGGACCGGGCAGGGACGATGTCATCGTACGGCATGTGCGCTGATGTGTGCGTGATGTTTCAACACTGCAGCCGTGTGCCTCTTATGGTGCCGGGGCCGACCATAGCGGCGCTAGGGAGGAGCACAGGCCGCATAGCGGCGCCACTGCAGCAGCATTACAGCTTTACAGGATACGCCATGCCGCTTCAAGCAACACTACCGGTACCACGTAATGTACGAGGCAAAACACGCCAGACGCAGCCTGCTGTCATACGACAGCAGACCTGCGCAGTACCTATAAAGCAACGCCCCAATCCTGTACGGTGGAAAACCTTTTCCGCACACTTCACCTTCAATACACATCAAGGAGTATAACACTCCTAATCCTCACCTTCCCGAGTGCGCAATGACGGGGAGTAACCGTGCAATTGCCAGGTAAGAACTCATGAGACAGGAAACCGCAACCCGCACGGGCCCACGGGTCGGTCCCCTCCCATGAACCCACCACAGCTCCTTCAGCGACCCCGGGCCCGACAGCCTCTGCTGCCGGCATATTTACCCGGTGGCCGCGTCATATGCTTGCACGCCCCACGTACCGACACACACAGCCGGTAACACGCCATTGCACAAGCGGGAACAGGTGTGCCGACCAGCCCACTAACCAACTAAACAACCAACTACACGAAACCAGCTGTAAGGCTAGTATAGATACCTACATACGAGACATTGATAGTAACATGGACGCAATGTAGCGAGCGATTGGCAACAAGTGCGACTGCTTGCCGGAGCCTATTCCGCTTTCTTCAAGCTCTCCACAATCTCCTCCGCCAGCGCCTCAATATCCAAGGCCTTTAGCTTTGTGAAGGGCCGCGGCATGTCCTGCAGTACGGCAAGTGGGTACGGAGATGTGGATACGGCAGTGTTCAAGGGAGGTCGTTAGGACAGGTTGGAAGGAAAGAACGGACGGCGTCATGGATTGGCGATGTTCCCATCAATGTGTCATTTGGAGCGGGACGCAGTGCTCGTGCAGAGCATGGCCCGCTGCTGTCGATTGCTGTGAACCCAAGGTACCAAGCCAAGTGGTGCAAAGTACGGAAGGACAACAGCTCTAACAGGTAATAACCAGCCGCTCATTAACCGGTAGGAACGAAGCATTCGCCCCTAGTTCCAACACATGCCGTACACAACAACACCCGCCCGCCTAGCCAGGCTGCTGACGACTAAACTCTCAAACGCAAACCGCCTCTCTTACTCTTACCAGCAGCGAAACAAACACTTTGCCGTCGGGGCCGCGCACTTCAAAGCAGCCCTTGCGCGGCTTGTCAGGGTTGATGCTGACCTCGGTGCCCGGCACCCCCTCCTTTAGCAACTTCTCTAGTTTAGTGGCCCTGCAGCAGCGCAGGGGAGTCGGTACAGAAGGGCGGTGAGGACGTTAGAAGTGTTTGTGGTAGGGAATTGAGGTGGGGCTAGACCCAAGGACAGAATGTCGGGCAAGGGTAACGTGTGGTGGTGGGAAACAGGCAATTGTCAAGTGAATGGACAGCAACCGCGTTCCAAGACAATTCTTACCGTGTCTTGAATGCGCCTCAGCTCTTGCTGCAAGGTTAGGATAGAGGATTTCGTCATTATGCAAGGAAACACCAATACCAAGACGGTAACCGGAAACGTCAGCGAGAGAGCACAACGCACCATGCCTCTATGACGATGGCGTTGCCCGGTGCAGCAGGCACAGCATCTGCAGGGCTTGGCTCGGCCTTCTTCGCTTTCTTTGCCTGAGCCTTTCCTGCCGCAGCCTCTCCACCAGCCTTACGCTTTGGAGCCATGTCCACAAGTAAAAATTTATGCTCTATGTTTTCTCTGCAGCCCTTACCGCCCTTATCCCTTATGCGAATGCCAGGTTGGATGTCCATCCCGTACGGCCTTTCATTTAAAATCTCGCATCGCCCACGCAACCCGAGCTAGTGGCTACCTTCTTGCATAGTCCGGTGGCTGTCGGGCATTATAACGTTGACTACTAGGCGTATCGTGCTCCGGCCGCGAGCCTGCCCAATGCTTCGTTCGGTTACCCACATCTCGTGACTCTGATACTGACCCAAATTGCAAGGTTACGGTCATCCTCCTGGCTCCATTTAACATTACCTGCTTAGCTATGGGCACGTATAAAGCTCGGTGTGCCAAGGTTCCGACAGGTGCAGCAGGCTGCCTTCCGTCTCTACCTGCACTCCCGACTCTAGCGCAGTATGGCATACTTGTTCATTGCACCTCATCAGATCTAGCAGCTCTCCGTACGGTCTCACGCGACCATCGGCAGTTAGTTGACGACGCGGTCACGAGGCTCTTTCCATGGATCGTCGCCTCTCCAGCAGCACCTGCACCGTCCGCAACGACAGTTGCCCAGATTGGTACATCCACTGGAAGGGCTGGTCTACCAGTAGAAAACAGTCGTGGTGGCCTGTGTCGTTCGGATGACAGTGGACAAACACCGAATCTGTATTCGACTCGCCAAACTCTTACCACCGATGCATCAGTACAACTTAATTTCACTACGAGTGCACCAATCTTTAAAAGCGGCACCAACAACTCCAGCAGCAACACAGCCAATACCAGCGATCCCTACTCATCCCTGTGCGAGCTCATTCTTCGCCACCATCCCCACCTCGACCACGCTCTCGACCCTTCCACCGCCGCCTTCGAAGGCGATGGAGGCCAGCTCAACCACGGCGGCGGCTTCGGTCCTCCTCACCAACCCATGCATATGCCATGCCGACTCCGCCATGGCATGTCGGACCTCGCCTCCATGCCCGAGCTGACCTCCCTTAACGCAAACATGCTCTGCCTCGTGGACGCCGCAGCAGCACGTGAAGCCGCGCGCCGTGACCTGGATCAACCTGCGCATCAGGCCACAGCCTGGCGCTGTGCGGGTGTGACATTGCGGGAGCCGCTGTCACCGCAGCCACCACTGCGCCGTACAGCACCAGGAGCCGCTACCGGTGCTGCCGATGCTGCTGCTGATGCTGCGGGTGGAGCTGCTCCTGCTAGTAACAACAGTCCTCCTGCCGCGGCGGCAGCATCGTCGGCGACGTGCGATGGCAGCAACATGAGCGATTTGGACTGCGGTGATGATTGCGAGGATGGTGCAGGCAGCGGTGGCGCAGGTGGCGGAAGCCGTGCTGCCGCGCAGGCCGCCCAGCTCTACCGCGCTAGGCTGGCTTGGGTGAAGGAAATGAACGCGCTGAGACTGTACCACTACCGCCAGATGCAGCTTGTACGGCTGCGGGATGTACGGCTGGAGGAGCAGATCGCTGCTGCCGTACAGCGTCTGCCGCTGCTGCTAGCGCCGCGTCTGACGCAGCTCACCCTCACCGAGGTTCCCTTTAGCACGGATACCTTTTCAGCGGTTGCGGCTTGCGGCGGCTTGACACGATTGGTGCTGTCGGCCCGCACTGACGGCGGCCGCGGCGCCGCTGCTGGCGGTGGCATCTCCTGGTCCCCTTCCAACGCCGCCGGCGGCGCCGCCGCCGCCGCCGCTGCAACCGCCGCCAACCGCCGCGCCGGCGAGCTCTCCTCCGAGCACTTGACCTGTCTCGCGGCCGGTTTGAAGCAGCTCCGGCACCTAGACCTACACGCAAAGAGCTTCGCACCCGATGCCAACTTCAGCCCGCTAGCGGCGCTGACCCGACTGTCGTACGTACGACTGAATCAATCTGCGTCGTACGACATCAAGTACGGCGGTCGGTTTGAACGCGTGCCTGCGGATTACTGTCGCCAGGCGCTACTGGGGCCGCTGGAGGGGTTGGAGGGGCTGGCGGGGCTGCCGCAGCTGCACTCGCTGGGGCTTACAGGTGAGGGGGGGTCAAACACAACACCATACCACACCGTACCATACGGTACCATAGGAAGCCCCAGGTTAGGGTAAAGCAAAGGGGATAGGAGGCAGGAGACAGGTGAGGGGAGGGCGAGGAGGGGGTCAGAGATTAAGGGGAAGGAGAGTGTGGGGTAGGAAGGGGGAATAGAGATCGGGAGGTGAAAGGGCATGCAGGTGTAGTCTTCAGATGTTTCAGAAAGCGAAAAAGGGTTCGGAGAGGGGAAGTTAAGGGGCCGTACCGTATGTTTCGCAACTGACGTTGCTGCGTGTTTGTCCACGTCCGCATGTTTGTTAGGTCTGGACTGTCCACCGAAGGCGCTGCTGGAGGCGTTTCCGTACGGCGGAGGGCCGTTGCGACAGTTGGCGTTACGTAAGGTGTACCGCATAACCGGCGGTCAGTTAGAGGCGGTTGGGCGGTTGACGGCGCTCACTGAGTTGCAACTGTCAGCCGACTGGTGAGTATCGCGTGACAGAGTGTTAGTGGGTCGCGCCCTTGCATACCCCACCCAACACTCTGTATCGTGGCACCCTGCCGCTCCTATCCCCTTAGGCTGGCCTTAACCTGTGGCCTCCTATGGTCTGGCATGCTCGTTGACCCCTCCCCACCCCCACCCCCCTCACGGATTTTCCATCAGGGCTTATCAGCTAGTTTACCACCTTCACACCACACATGGGAATTTCTTCCCCCCCGCCCTGCCCTCGCTCCATGCAGGTGCCTTCATCCCGGCAGCGACTCGCCGGCCCCCCTGCAGCCGCCCGACCTCCTGGCGGCAGTGGGGGACCCCTTGGTGGCGGGCATGCTGCCGGACCTGATGGATGACGTGGAGGTGCAGGGGGAGGAGGACATGCAGGGGGAGGAAGGGCTGGGGGAGGGGCAGCAGCAGCAGCAGGGGGAGGAAGGGCAGGAGCAGCAGCAGGGGGAGCAGCAGCAGGGGGCGGGGGCAGGTGGTGGTGCGCTGGCGGGCGCAGGCGAGGGGGCACCGGAGGCAATGGCGGTGGGAGAGGGGGAGGGCGAGGGCGAGGATGCCGGGGACATGTTGGGCGGGGGCGGCGGGAATGGTGATAGCGGTAGTGATGAGGATGACGAGGATGATGATGACAACTGGCCTCCGCCTCCGCCCCTGCAACCACAACAGCAGCACCAGCAGCAAGGGCCGCCGCTGCCAATGCTTCCACTGCCGGTGGGGCCATTACTAGCGGACGTGTTGTGGATATTGCCGGGTCCCCCCGGGGCTGCGGCTGCGGCGCCTCTGGGCGGTGGTGGGGCGGGTGGGGGTGCCATGTGGGTGGGGTGGATAGCAGGCGGGGGAGCAGGGGGAGGGGCAGGTGGGGGGGCGAGGCGGGGGGCGGCGGAGCGGGATGAGCGGTTGGCGCCGTTGAGGCAGTTGAAGAAGCTGGAGGTGAGGGGTAATGGGAGGAGGAGGATGGGGAGGGGTTGGGGGTGGGTGGAGAATTCCCAAAGTGTTGGATGTGAATGCAAACACTGCGGGGTGGGCTGCGGGGTGTTGGGGGGTGTTTGGGTTTTCCGGGCTAGCAAAGGGCAAGGGGCGGTCAGGGACACTGCAGCGCCTCAGGAACAACACACATTCCTCTCCCCTGCCTTCCAATCCCTCCTTTCCCTGCGCCTGCTGCTCCTCTCCCCCCAGTTTATCGTCTCCATTCTGCCATTCTCATTCAACACGCTGGGTAATCTTCTTCTTCTTCTTCCCCCCCCCCCAGGTGCTGCACCTGGGCATGGGCCGCATCTTCGGCGAGGTCAACCTGGGTCCACAGCTGCTCACCCACCTGGCTCCGCTCACCGCCCTCACACGGCTCACACTGAGGTGGGGGGCTGGGGAGGGGGAGGGGAGGGGCGGGGCGCGAGGAGGAACGCACCGTGTGCTGAGGAAACTGGCTACGACCACGTACTGTGTGTTAAAATAACTGGCCGCGAGGCGAAACGTACTGTGTGTCTGTGGTGGTGTGGGGGGCTGGGGACATGGGACAAGGCAGGGAGCAGGGCAGCTCGTTCCTCACCTCCCCCCTCCTCCCCCCCCTCCCCCCCCCTCCTCCCCCCTCCCCCCTCCTCCCCCCCCCCTCCCCCCTCCTCCCCCCCAGGTGCATCACGGTGGACTGGGCGCTGCTGGGCTGCCTGGCCCCGCTGCCGCGCCTGCGACACATCAGCATGCACTACTACGAGGGCAGGGGCAACAACGGAACCAAGGTAGGGGGCTGGGGGGGGTGGAGAGGGGAGGAAGACAAAGGTAGGGGGTAGGGCGGGCATGAGTCGGATACCGGTGCGCCGCATGGAGCAGAAATAGGAACTGTCCTGCTCCTACTGGTACCACATCTTTGCCCGCTGACGGGCAACGCGCTGACGGACTTATTAACGTGCTGCGGTGTGTGTTTGCGCCGCTCGTTTGTGGGAGCAGTGTGGGAGGGTGTTCACAGCGTTGTGTGTGATACCGGTAGTGAAGTGAGTTGCTGTAAGAGGCGTGTTGTGAATTTGGTGTCATGTCGTACACATGCACGCAGATCGCGTCTGACCTGCTGACGTGGCGCAACCTGTCCGCCGTCACCACCCTCAACTTGGGCGCGTTTGAGGTGAGGGGTTGTGGGAAGGGAGGAGAGCAGAGGGGGGAAGGGAAGGGAGGGGCGGGGAGGCGAGGAGGGAAAAAGAAAAATACCCAATGTGTCGAATGAGGAGGCGGTGGCGGGCAGCTGGTTGCGATTGCTGGGTGCGGTGGCAGCACAGCGTTGGGCAGTCGGGTGGCTGGAATAGCCAGGGTTCCGTGGATGTGCGCGAGTAAGGGGTTATGTTGTTTTAACATAACTTGTGTTGCGGACCTGGGTTTGCCACGCAGAGGGCGGACGCTTGAGGCCCCTTTCCCGTCCTCCACTCTTCGCGGCTCCATTCCACTCCTCTTCCCGCTGCCTCCCTGCCCTCTTCCCTTCCTCATCACTAACGTTCCACGCATTGCTCCCCTCCCCGCAATCCTAAATTCCAGCTTAATGCGGAATCTTCCAACCATATTACCCCCCTCCCCCCCGCACCTCAGGCCTGCCAGGACGCCGACATCCTGACTCGCGTGCTGCCCCTCACGCGGGTGGCTGCAGCTGCCGTGTTCGGACTGCGCAACTGCCGACCCGCGTACGACGTGTGCGGGGCGCTGGCGGCAGCAACCTGCCTCACAGCGCTAACACTGCAGGTAGCGGGCGGGGAGGGGGGAGGGAAGGCATAGCTTAAAGAGGGCCAAGTTGTGAAGGATAGCGGCGGGCGGGCTGGGGTTAAGGTTGGGTTAGTGTGCGTTAGTCTGTGGTGTTCAATGGTAGCAAACTATGGTGCATGGTGTGGTCAAGGTGTACCGGTATACTAACATGGCAATGGGCTGGAAGTTGCCACCTGTAGTTGAGCCCGCACATGATGCCCCCTCATCGGCCATCCACTGCCCACTCCTTCCCTTCCTCGATCAGGGAGATTGGATGCTCCCACGTGCCGCTCGTGGACGAGGTGGCGGAGGTGCTGCCGTACATGCCGCCGCCGGCCCAGGCGGCCCTGCCGTACATGCCGCTCCCGCCGCCGCCGCTTCTGCCGCCGAGCCGCCACAGTCGCTGTCGGCTCTGAGGCACCTGCCGCTGTTGCGCAGCCTTACCTTGGATCCCGCAGTCAACGGCAACGGAGGCACCGACGGCGGCGGCGGCGGCGTCCCGTTGCCGGATGTGCTTTGGCTGCCGCATCCGCCGCCGGCGGCAGCGGCGGAGCCGCCGGGAATGTTTGTAGACATGCCGCCGCTGCCGCCGCCGCCGCCGTTGGCGGCTGAGCTGCCGCCGCTGGCGCTGGCGCAACCCGCCGCTGCTGCCGCCGCCGCTCCTGCACCGCCGCCACCGCAAGCAGCGCCCCTGGCGCCACAGCAGCAACCCACACTCAGTTCCGATAGCGATTCTGATGAATCGGACGGTGCTCGCTTCTACCGCAGGCGACGGCAGCAGTGGCGACGGCAGCGGCAGGAGTATACCGGCGGTCAGGATGCGGCTGCCTCCGCTGCTGCATTGCAAGACGCTGCGGATGGGTCGGAGCGCCGCGGCGAGTGCGGCGACGACGGCGACGGAGGCGGCGATGGCGCGGGTCCTTCAAGCAGCGGCGCCGTTGCTACTCCGATTGCTGCTGCTGCTGGTACGGCGTCGGCGTCAGTACCGTTAGCCGCGGGAAGTGCGGCAGCGTCACCGACGGAAGCTGCCGTACGCCTCCAGTCACCGCCGCCGCCGTCGCCATCCCCGCTGCAGCAGCGGGTGCCGCAAGGAGAGCCGCCGCTGGGCCCATCACCTCCCTCAGCTGCTCCCTCAGCCGCCACCACGTCTCCACCGCCACTCGTCTTCCAAGATGTCCCTGTAATGCTGCAAGCAAGCAGCGACGATGAAGGAGACGAAGACGGTGATGGTGGTGGTGGTGGCGGCGACGTCGGCAACCGCCGCCCTGTCGTACCGCAGCACGAGGGACCGGCGGCGGTGACAACTGCTGCTGCCGTACAAACGCCTCCGCTGCCGCCGTACATTCATCAACTTCCTAGCCTGGAAAGCCTAGAATCTCTGCCTACGTCGCAACACCATCTCCCAACACGCAACACCGCCTGCGCCCATGCCGACGTCGACGGCAGCGCCGATCCGCAGGCAGCAACCACCGCCGCCGCCTCGGCGGCGGCAGTGGCGGCGGCGGCGGCACCACCGCCTCCGCTGACGCCCGCCTGCACGTGGCTGATGCAGGTTTCGGAGCTGACTCAACTGACCAGCTTGCGACTGGAGCGGTGGGGTGTCGTACCGCCTGCCGCGGTGGCGCCGCTGCGGGGGCTGCGGCGGCTGCAGCTGACAGGCCTGAGGCGACTGGAGGGGGGGCTGGTGGAGGTGAGGCGGTCCTGCTGCTGCTCCTCCTCCTGTTTGTGTGATACTATATTTACACACTTCCTGTATACAGTACCATACTCCCCGAAATGCAAGCTGCGAGAACTTGAAATTATTACCCGCGTCCCTAGCCTTAGCAACTTGCCAGGACACGCACTACACTAATTGCTCCTCATCCCGACCTACACATCCTTCCTCACCCCCCTCTCCTCCCCGCCGCAGGCTCTCTCCCACCTGCCCTCCCTGGAGTACCTCACCCTGGAGGGCCGCGCCTGCAGCCACCTGGGCAGTCCCGCCTTCGCCTCCCTGGCCCGCATGCCGTACATCTCACCCCCCGCCCTGGCCGCCCTAGGGGACCTCACCCGCCTGCGCCTGCTCTACCTGGCTGGTTTCTCCCTGCTAGGGCCACCGCCACCGCCACCGCCGCCGCCACAGCGGCAGGCTGAGCAGCAGCGGCAGGGGGAGTGGCAGGGGGAGCGTACGGGAGGCCGAAGGCGACGTGCCGAGGGGTCCGAGTACGATGTCGCAGGAGAGGCGATGCCGCTGTGGCCGTGGCCGCGAGCAGCGCCGCCACCACCGCCGCTTCCGCCACCGCCGCCACTGCAGCCCTCTGCTGGTGTTGTTGTTGGAGGAGGAGGAGCCGGAGGAGGGGGCATGAGGAGGGAGAGGGAGGCGGGGGCTGCTGAGGAGGCGGTGGGGTCGCTGCTGGGGTCGCTGGGGCGGCTGCGGGGGCTGAGGTACCTGGGGCTCTGTCTGGCGGAGGGAATGCAGGTGAGAAGACCCATGGGTCAGCGGGACGGGGCGGGGCGGCTTAGGGTGCGCCCCCCACCGTGATGCGCAGCCCCGAACTCTTCATCTGTCTACAGCCCTTTCCGCCATCTGCGAACGGCGCCCACCTGTATGCGCCATTCAGCACATGTCAGCTGTCGTCGATCACCGCGCATGAAGCGAACTCACGTGGCCAACCTCTCCTAGCACAACCTTCGTACCTTCCCCTTCCTCTCACTCGCCCTCTCCGTCCCTCCTTTCCTGCCACTCCCCTTGCTCTCCCTGCCCCCCACCCCCAGGCGCCTCACGTCACCCGTCTGTGCTCGTTGCTGCCCGGGCTGCGCATGCTGGGGCTACCAGCGGACGCCGCCAACCGCCGGGGGGGCTCGCCGCACGGCAGCAGCGCGGCGGCAGCAGCCGCTGCGGTGGCGGCGGCTGCAGGCGCCGCGGCTGCAGCGGCAGCGGAGGGGGCTGCTGCTGGGGCTGCTGGGGGCAGTGGGGGCAGCAGCAGGAGACGTAGAAACAGCGGCGGTGACGGTAGCGGTGATGGTGGTGGTGGAGATGGAGGCGGTGGAGATGGAGGTGGGAGTGGGGCCGATGGGGCAGGCGGGAGCAGGGGAGGTTACGTGCATGGACATGGCAGCGGTGGTGGTGATGGTGCTGCTGCTGCTGCTGCAAATGTAGATGCTGTTGTGGGGGGCGGTAGCGGGAGCGGTGGCGGCGGTGTGGTGGGGTTGCGGTCGTTTGTTGAGGAGCTGGAGGGGTTGCATGTGGCTGTGTATGGGGGGCTGAGCGAGGGGGACTTCTGCCGGGTGGTGGGGGGGTTGGATGAGGAGATCCGGGGGGAGGGGGCGCTGGTGGGGGGGTTCGGGGAGCAGGCCTAAGGAGGAGGCGAAAGAGGAGGAAGAGCAGGAGGAGGAGGAGTAACTGCTTGTGACGGAGTGAGGGTTTGTAGATTGTACATAAGGGCGGTAGAAAGGAGTAGGGCAGTTGGTTATATGTGCAGCTGGATGGGGCTGGCGAGGTTGGCAGTGTTAGATGGCTCGTTACATATTGCAGGTTGGCGTTTAGCGGATAACGAACTACCGGTAGCAGCTGGTACAGATGCGGGTGTTGGTCGAGAGGGTGTGCAATCCCGCTTTCAGAGAGACTGTGGCTGTAATCGCGTTGCGTTGTTGGTCGTGTTGTTGGGCGGAGGGCCTGGAGACCCCTGCGTGCCCCATGCGGGTAGGACTGTGTTACTGCTCTTGCTCGCGGTTGTACAGTAACCCTGATAGGCCGATGTTGATGTGTGTGTGTGTGTACGGCATGCGGCTTTATGTGTTGGGTAGCAGGAGCTGTTGGGCGTTCGCTGAAAGAAACCGCGGACCGGGGCTGGGGCCGCCCATTGTCGAGGGCATATGAGAGTTGCGTTGCGTTCATTGCTTGAACAGCAAGTCCGGTAAGAACGAAAAACAAGGCGTTGGTTGTGCCTAGACAAGAAGCTGGACACCCTTCGAGCGCCAGCACAAGGCCTGACGTCTGCCCAGGGCGTGGCGAAGGAGATGAACGGGCAACGGGTTCGTCGTCCGTGTAACGGGCAGGGCCGAAAAATTCTGTTGAAGCTCGCGCCCAATGAAGCCATCGGCACCTTTTCGGTCCCCAAGGCAGAGATTGGACAGCTAAACGTTTACACCAGGATAGCTCTGTGGACGATGGCTCGCGAATGCACTGCGCCGCTGTTCGTAGCCAAGGTACTGTAACCAAGAAGACTGGAGAATCTTTAAAGGCTTCTTAACGCTGTCATTGGCAGTGCTCTACGGCGAAGGTTGGTAGGCCTGGCCGAGCTTTTGGCAAGCCCGCTAGCAGGCAACATGCGGAGTCGCATTCCGGCACCGTACACGTGTTATGTCGCCGAGCATAGGAACGCGTTCGACATGCAATGGCCATCAGTCATTAGGGTTTATGCTAAAAGCGCTTTTGGCTTTGCAGAAAATGCAACTTTGCCGTACGACAACCCTACATGTCCTATTAAGCTATTATGAGTGCACAAGTTCCTGTCCTAGTTTATCCATTTTGACTAACGCATAATTATTCTGTCGTTGTTAGAAAAGACATATTTGCCGGCGGGCATGGGAAATGGTATGGAAAATGCACGGGACATTGTCGGACAACGTCCAGGACGACACATCCAGCAATTCCCCGGGTATATAGATCAACTTAAACATGCCTGCTTAAATAAAGAAGACAGACTAGCGCGCCGCATTGGTAAGCCCTTGTCGCCTAGGTTGAACGGTTCAGTAGCTCGAACGGCTTTGCTGCTGCCCACATATATGTGCTAAGATGGGCTGGCATAAACAATAATGTGTCAGTGATTTGGTCGAATTGCTTAGCGACAATAGTTCGTTCGGCTCCTTTGCCCGACCACGGGCGGGTATCGCCGAAGACTTACAAGGAATGTTCTTGCCCCAAACCTGTCCTTTTCGGTTGCCACAAAACAGGTGTCGCTAAAAATGGCCTTCATTGTTAACGGTGAGTTCTGCAAAGCTATCTTTACTTCCATGCATGGCAGTTTCACTTACCCAACGCGCGCGCACAATGCCCGACAGGCAGCCGAAGTATTCACGATACACACCGTGCACCTCCCGAAGCAGCAATGTGAGTGGCATTGGGTTGGAGGTGTCGCAGGCCGACAATGATGCGCGAACCGATGGTAACGGGCGACGCTCGCGATTATGGTGCCCTTTTTTCCGCTTGCAAAGTTCTTTACTAGATGTTATGACTAGCACCAAACGGTTATGGCGCCTCGAGGCTCACCGAGACTGCCCTTAAGCAAATGGCCGCACGTTGTACCCCACGAATGTCGCCTTCTTGAGCTCTGTATCAGCTTTACAAAAAGCTGGAGCCTTTTGCTGCATTGTTTCTTCTTTGGAAGAGCGGTGGTGGTTAGTTGTGTGCTGTTCTTGCCTTGTTTCCTTGACAATAGAGGAGGTTGTAGTGATCATTCCCATGTACCGCGCACTGCAAACTAATAGCGAGGGTGATTGGATTCGGGGTTATGGTTCGTTTCCAGGGTGTTTTTGAACCAGAATGCTTTTTCTTGTTGGGTTTCCCGGTATTTTATTGCAGCCTAGTTCCTAAGCACCCACGTCATGTGTTTCCCAAGGGGGGGATGAGGCCCAATCAACCTGTTGCATTTTACCGCCACGGTGTATATGGGGTGTGACATTTGATAGCCTATGCGAGTAGTCACGAGTTTGCAACATTAGGAAGCAAGCCGTCCGTACGGCTGGTTGAAACTTGTAGCAGCCTTTGGTTTGCGCTACTGGTTTCCTATTTGAGTGATGAATGGCGGGAGTGCCGCATACCGGTACGCATATGCACCGTGGACTAGCAGGATGGTATTATAAAGGGCTGTGCTGAACCTGGCTTGCGACGAATGCATGTGTTCCCGTGCGTCCCCTATTTGATCCATCCCCTTCCTTCGTTAGCAGTGGGTCGGCAATGGCCATTCCTAAGGTGCCGGGGAGGGGGTGTGTCGCACTTTTATCATGCCTAGCAGTGACGTCGTGGCGATGTTTTGGAGGCTTGGGGTAAGACCTTGCCGCCCCCAACCTTGCATGGTGGAGGTTTGCAGACGCGCGACGGCAATAATCGTGGGGGTCATGCATGTCCAGGAGCAACGTACAGCTAGGCAAAGTACGGGAACTGAGGCCATTCCCTGCGTCCTGTCCACACAACGTCTGCCCTATGTATCAAGTAAACGCATGTATTGCCATGTTTGAGGGGTCGTCTTTAGCCAAGCATGTTGAGTGATTATTACTCGATGGTGTTGACTCCAGATCGTGGTCTTCTTTAATCGGGGGAAGCATATTCATTCGCTTATGTGTGGTACGCAGTACCCCCTAGTGAATTCCAAACCTTCTTATATGCGTTCATACAATGATGACACTATGGGCTTTTGCCCAGTGCGTGTGTTTGGAGGAGTGTGTGGGAGGGTGTGGTAACTGTGTGGAGGATGTGTGTTGGAACGCATGTTTTTAAAGCTAGATGGACCATGCACCCATGCGGCCTTTCGCTGGTCCGCCGCTTTGCCCAGTTTGTGGCTGTTTGTTTGTTGCGTTATACGTGGTTACGATGGAATCGACTGCATGTCAGAAGAAGTGTCATCCTGACCCGTGGGTCACACCCTGATGTATGTCGTCTACTCGCCTTGCCTTGTCTGGTCCTGTGTTCTGAGGCCAAGCGCCTGTAGTGTCCTTTGTTGCACCGGTATTTCGTCGGTTAGTCACATCACGAGGGCTCCCGCTAACTGTAATCAAAGAACTACTCTCACACTAATTGACAGAGGCATTGTACGACACTGCACTACCTTTCTGCTACAGCTGCATGGGGTAATAGCCTTACTAGGCAAAAGGCAATACCTACTGGCTGGGTCACTACTTGCTCATTGGGAGGTTCCAGGTGTTGTACAACATCACGCTGACCTCGGTGAGGCGCCACGGCCAAGGAACACGTCAGAAGCAAGCTGCCGTTGGCTCTCTAGTCCACTTGGAGAAGCTTTACACGGGCTGTGTTACGCAGGAGCCCTTTCACCTGCACACGGTAGACAGCGCACTACCGTCACGCAAGCCGGGTCGCGTGCCGCTGCACCACGCGAAGCGTTTAGGAAGCAGGTAAACACATGCGGATCTGTTTAAATTAGTAAGGAACCTAAACCCGCTGACTGGGGGTTCATGTCGGTAATAACACCACCTACTAGCTAGCCAATGCGGATCACTTGTAAGCTCACGTCACCACCACCTAGCCATAGTGCCCCTCCTGCCCATACCGTGGAGGACAGTGTCCAATGGTTGGATCACAAATATGCAAGACCGTCCATGTGTTGTCAGCAAGCACCCCAACACTCTCGAACACTACCACTTCCAGAACACCAACCAGCCTCGCACCCCTGCCATCAAACGACATAGATAGCCAGTCAGCAACGCACACCTAAAACCTCAACCCAGCAACAGCACAAGAGCCCACACTCCTCCTAATTCGCCTAACGAGCATGCGTTATAGGATGTACGAGGAAGGCTTGCGTCCTGCCTGCCATCCAGGGATGCAGCCCACCTGCGCCCTTCCCACGCCTCCGGCCTGTCCCCATGACTCCTTTGCTGTAAGCACCGCCGTTCCATCTCTTTAACACACCCACGCCCAAGTCGCTGTGTAGTAGCCATGGTTACCTAAGCCAAGACTGCTGCTGCTGCGGTTGCTACCATGTGGTTGTGTGCTGATTATTGTTGCTGTTGTTGTTGTGGCTGGTCGGAGCGTAACACCAAGCTCACTGCTAGGCAGGAGTCCCGAGATGCCGAGGCAGCTAGGCAGCTCTTCTCCACCTGCATTTGGGATAAAGGAAGGTGGCTCAGTACAAGTATTGCCACGTAGGACCCACGGGTCACCACGAATGTCCCGATTACACAGACTCCGGGCACTCCTGTGCACTTTACAGCGTGCGCTGTCCACACCACCACCACCACCACCACCAACCCGCTCATCCCTTGCCCCTTGGCTCCCTCCCCTCACCTGCCGCACTGCGTGCGTGAAGGGGCTGGAACCCAGGAGCAGCTGGATGACGGTGTCCCTGCTCAGCACGCAGTGCTTCCCACGCACAATACCGCTCATCCAGGCGCACCTGTGCTCTCAGGAAAAGCAGCAGGGGGCGGCGAGGGTTGGGATGGGTGGTTGCCGGTACGTTGTATGGGACTGCCTTTGACGCCGCTGCACTACCCAACACCCCCTTTCTCGTGCTTTTCCCATCACGACACACGACCTCAGGCCCCAACAAGCCCCCCAACCCCACATCGTCCCGCCCTCCCACGCTCTCCCTCCACCCACCTTGCATCAGCCAGACACGTCTCCCGCCTCGGCTCCCGGCAGACCGTCAGAAACGCCTCATGCAGCGCCGCCGCATGGCACCGACCAAACCCCGCCGGCACCGTCGCCCCTGCTCCTCCTCCCGCTTCCCCTCCCGCTGCCGCCGCCGCCGCCGCCGCGTCACCCTCCATTCCCAGCCCATAATACCCCTTTAACAAGGCGTACAACTGCGCTGGCCGCATGCTGGCAGCGGCTACTCCTCCTCCCCCAGTAGAAGAAGAAGTAGTAGAAGAGGAAGAAGAAGAAGCCGGCAGGTCAGGCATGCAGCGGTCCTCGGGCAGCCCCCCTCCCTGTTGGCTCCCCACACCGCCTGCTACGCTGATGGGGCTCCGCGGGTAGAGCTTGCAGCCAAAGGAGCCGCAGGGGAGCGGGGAGTTGGCGACGGGGCGGCGACGCCAGCAGGCCGCGGTTTGAGGCGTGTAGAGGTCGTCTGCGGTGGGACGCGGCGGGATGAGGCGGGAGTGCGGCACATAGGGGCACTTTTTGGGGTTGTAAGAAGCGCACGACTCAGACACGCGCAACGGAAAAGGAGAAGACAGGAGACAAAGAAGAGGAAGGGAAGGGAAGGAGGGGGAATGCTAGAGGGAGACAGGAGACAACACAAACTGGTGCTCTGAAGTGTGCAGTTGTTCGTTACCTACCGTTGCAGGGCGCTATGGCCTGCGCAAAGTCCGAGTGGGGGTCGTGCGCGAGGAAGCACGCGCCCGTGGTATCGTCCCAGTCACAGTTGGCGTCAAGGTGGCATGTGGCGCGGTCGGTTGAAAGGCGACATGACATCGCTTCCAGTGCAAAGCGCTTCAGAGTCCTGGAGGTGACCGTTAAGGTGTACAGGTTATGGGGGTTTTCATGTCATGAATGACGTAAAGAAAAGGGGATTCAGGGTAGGATGGCAGGTTAAACTTACGGTAGGATGGCCGCGCAAACTCGCAAAACACTATGAAGTTAAATGCCCAGCACCAAGACTGCAAAACCCAAAGCTCCAAGATTAATTCATGATCTTACTTCTCAGCAGGCAGCTCCGGTACTGGGAAGGCGCCGCTTCCCAAGTTCATTGGGTTGAAGAGGCATTGGTTGCCATCGTAGACGCATGCCGACCCGGTGGGACCACCCGGCTGCTGCACCAAAGCCGCGTGCGCCTTTGCTGTAAGTGCGAACGTTGACTCGGCCCATCGCGTCAGGACCTCCGCTGCGTTGTATTGATGCGCCAGGTGCTGAACCCTGCTTCGCTCCGCATGGTCTGGCGAGAGTTCGGCTTCATTCACATCTGCTGGCGGCGGCGGAGGACTATAAATAATCCCAAGTAGATCACCATTCCAGAGTGAGCGCCTCTGGGCGTGACACTGGCTGCATGCGAGCGCCAAGACTGCAAGCAAGGCTCCGATTTGAATTGCAGAGCTTGAACTGCTTGTAAAGGACATATCAATTCGATAGTGTATGCCGAATAAACAGTTTATGAAGCCTTTAAAAGCAACCTACTGTATAGTGAACAGTGTTGAGCAGCGCTGACGACTAATACCCTTGCCAATGGCCGTTCCTTGCTTTGCCAGAGTCACTGCCAACTTATGCAATTATCCGGGCACGTTACGGTACGTTGCAAGTAGTCCCCAGGTGCTCCGGAACTACAATCCCTATATCCCGTTATTGAGGGGGGCGTAACCCCTGTAACCCCGTGGGTGTACGATGCCTGGAACCCCTAGGTCCTGCAGCAAAACGAATGCTAGGTGAAAGCATGCATAATATCAATGTTTTGGGCCATTTGGGGAGGGTTACGGAGAGCTTGGGCCGACGGGAACTTTAAGACGCAGAACATAAGCTAACCTTTAAGGAAAGTAGTTGTTTAGTTATTACTCTAATGGTAGATGCGTACATAATGCTGGAAGCTTTGGTTTATGGTCGACTCGTCGCCATTGCCATAGAAAAAAGCGCCCAAAAGGCAACGTTCCCTACGAAGCCCAATACGAATAACCTGTGCCTAAGTGCTGCTAAAGGTTAAGCATGGTAACAAGTATTAAGTTTTCTATGGTTGATGCCTATTGCATACAACAATTCCCGCGCGGTGCGAAGGCTGCTGGACGAGCCTTTACTTGCTAAGAACCGCCCATATGGCAATTGCACCTTACAATGCGCAGTAAATACATCGTAATTCATTAAATTAATACTGGGTGCCGAGGTCGCGCAGTGCGCAGATCCTCAGCCTTACAAAAATTAAGCCCTGCCGGACACCCGAAGGGCCGACCACGGAAGGCCCTCGCAAAGTGCAAGGCGAAGTCCAACCGTGTAACCGAGGCCAACTTGACCACCTCGAGAAACGGGCCAGGTAAGTATGATTATCAGCGAGGGCGTCTGGCTATAAGACGGAAGCGGGCAAACCGCCTGTACACATTGTGGTGATGGTGGGTCAGCAGAGAGACGCAAGGCCAAGAGCCTCCAGGCCAAAGCGAAGCATAAGGAAGGATGCTGTTTGTCTGCAAGCGTGTTTATGCAAGTGTTTGTGTGGTCTTTCTTTCTTTCTACATGCACAATCTATACCGTGCGTAATGTACGGCCAAACGTGAATGCTTTCGGTACAGCACCTTTGCCTGCTTCCTGCTATGTGAGGTATGTGCTTGTCATCGTGAACAAGGTGTTTCCTTCTGCGGTCACCGGTAAATGGCCTCTTGTGACCACTCAGGTTCTTGTTGGGGCAAAGCGTGCCTGGATGCAGACATTTTGGACACAAAGCATGTCCTAAGACTTGGTTCTGTAGGGACTGGGAATCCCCCTTCACTGTACGGCAGGTACGTACCGTTTGTATGTTACAATGAATTGCTGCATCCGGCGTTTTTGTCCGTGAGCACTCGGTTCGTCAGTTGGGTTACCAACATGCATAGCACAGTGAACCACACATGTTGTGGCAACAGATTGGAGTAAAAGTACGTCAGTAACTGTAAGCGCCAGACTGTGCACAGTACGACATATATATGAAAGCGGGATATGCATAGTCACCTATTGGGCAAGGGGTTACGCACCCGTGCTGACCCGTTGTAGAAAAAGTGGTGGTGAAGGAAAAGAAACACCTCCTGAGGAAACCAGCGAAGGGCTACCACTTAACAGCACCGTACATTCTTGCCTCCCAAACTTTCACGTCAAACCATGCTAACGTAATCCTTATCTTTTAACTACTTCTTACGGACATTACAAACACATGACTTTTCAAACGCTTCAGCATTATAATACAAAGCTACTAGAACTTACAGTATTGTACGACAAACTACTGAATGGCAAAACTTCTGTACGGCAAACACCCTCATAAAAAGGAGGAGTGCAACCCACAGCGCAACTCAAAACGTGCATTTCCCCCACCCTGCCTGCTTCGCGGGCTTGATAAATTGGGCGCTAGCTGCTGTGGAACTGCTGTCCTCCCCGCCCGCCCACGTCCGTCCGCCCTCAAAAGGGGGCATGACAGCAACTTCCAGTAAGCCTGATGCTGAGACCTGGATGGCCAGCATCTAGCCATCCAGGTCCCAGCACCATACCGAGCAGCAAAAGCATCCACAGCAACACCCCTGAAAAGCGTATGTAGGCCAAAAACCAAACGCGTGGTATGTGAGAATAATGTGACCGCCAGGAAGCGTTAATACTGTTGTACAAATGTGTCACGGCAGCTCTCGCACGCACGCCGACGTCGTCTCCAGCCGGCACACCGCCCAAACGCAAGGGATAAGCAGCAACAGCAGCAACGCAGCAGCATCGCTGCCGGCACGGTTAGAAGTTGACACATGCCGCCAGGGAAGCGGCTTCAGCGGTTACATACGTCACGCACCCAAATGTAAAAGGCCGCGAACTTGTTATGCATGGTTGGCATAAGGGCCGTATAGCTGCTCATCGCAGATTACCTTACCTACCGGTACACAACAACCTTATGGCTAAGCGTGCCTAGAGGAAAAACACATACCAGGCTTCCCTTCCCAGGCACTCCCTGCTACAGCCATCGTCACTTGACTAGGGCGGGGCCTTCCTCCACCCGCTCCTCCCGCCTCCTACCGCCTCAGCACCACCACTGAACCATCCACCCCCCTCTCGCCCTAGGCTCCTTTCTCTCGCACCTTCCCCCCACCCACCATCTCCATCTCACCGTCCTTACTAACCCACCACCATCTCCTCCTCCTCTCCCTCCCCTCCTCCTTCCTCACCCGCAGCAGCCCCCGCCTGCTCCCCCTCCTCCTCCTCCTCCTCCCTGCACCCGATCAATCGCCAGGCTCTCCTGCGGCTGGTAACTCCGCAGCAGCGAGGGCGTGTCCACGATGCTCACCAGCAGCCCCCACACCAGTGCGTCGTACACGCCCTCGTCCGTGGCGGCGGAGGTCTCGTGGTAGGCGCAGCCGTGCGCGCGGGCGAATGCGACACCCTCCTCGGGGGACACCGCACGGTCCTGGAGCTAGGGTTGGGGGTGAGTAGGGTTAGGGTTGGGGTTACAGGGTTTGCGGCGGGAGGGAAGGGAGACCGCTGCTGAGTGATGACAGGAACTGCACTTATTGCAGTTAGGTGTGGTGGTGCTCCTGTTCCGGCAGTTTGGAGTGCCAGGCTGTCAGCCCCCGCTGGTATTTTCATCTTTCACCCGGCCCGCCACCTATCTGTCACCCGGCCTTCCTGGGCCCTCATCCTCCTACTTTCCGCGCCTGGAGGGCGTAGCTGCAGATGTCAGGTGTCAGGAGCGCTGCATCACTCCCCCGCGGGGGCTCACTCCCACGCACCCTGTCTATCTTGTTTCCCAGCACCACCTTCACCGCGTCCGCATGCGTGCCGTGCCGCTCCACCTCGGGAAGCCAGTGGGAGCTGATGGCGTCCAGCGTGTCACGCCGGGTTACGTCGTACACTGGGAGGAGGGGTGGTGGTGGTTGGGGTTGGGGTTGAGGTTAGGGGTGGTTGGGTGGGGGAGCTTATGAAAGTTGGGGGGTGGCGCGTGGAGCGAGGAGGGAGACACCGAGTAGCGGCATGCAGCTCAATGGTAAGGGGGTAGGTGGTTTGTAAGGAGGTATTGGAGCAGCAGCAAGTGCGTGTGAGATGACACCGGTATGGCTCGATCGCCTTGGAAGGTGACGCAATGCCTTGGGTGCCCTGCTGCCCCTGGCTGCTTACCAAACACGACACCTTGCGCCCCACGGTAGTAGTTTGAGGTTATGGCTTGGAACTTCTCTGTACGGCAGTAGCGGCAACAGCGGCCCCGATCAGGATGACGGTATTAAAAGGGTGGTGTTGTAGGAACGCCGAGAGAGGAGCGAGGGGAAAAGGGAAGATGACCTAGGGGACTGAAGGGGCGGGCATGTCGGGTAACAGGATAAGCCAGCTAGGATGGCAGAGGGCATGTACGTCAACGTGCAAAACCCAGCACACGTGTTTTCAGTCAACAAAACCAAGTCAACCGTATACCCGCAGTAAGGAGGGATCCCGCAAGGAGTGGCATGGGTGCCCTGCCCCCTACGCTATGGCCCCCTCACGGGACCACTCACCCGCCCCTGCTGTGTCCCACAACGTCACGCCCACGCTCTTGTTGTCGAACTTGTAGCGCTTGAAGTAGAAGTCGCAGGCTGCGGGGGGAGGCCAGGGGGAGGCACGAGGCGGGCAGGAACGCAGGAGGGGAGGAACACAGGAACCGGGCACGGCTGAAGGGGGGGAGGGGGAGGACCAGGTATGCAGGGGGTACCGTGGCACCCATGGGTGCGGAAGGACGAGGGGCATTCTGGGCTTTCTAGGGCGCGGGAGGGAGCTCCTGCCGCTGTGGGCCTTCCTTGCTGGCAGCATGGGCAGGAGGGGTAACAAGGTGGCTGAAATGCGGAAGAGTGAAGGCAGGTAAGGGGAAAGCAGGGACGGAGGGGAATTGTAGCGATTGCCGTTCTCTGGGTGTGACAGCGACGCGTTGGGGGGATGCGAAGCCATTATGAGCCGGAACGGCAATTGGTTAGGTAAGCCGGCAGCTGCAATCAACCTAGGCAAGCTCTTAGGCGCAAACCCAGCAGTCCAAGGGGCCTTACAGCAAGACAGCGTTGTGGTCTGCAGCATACCCATGTTTCCCATGTTGCATCGCACAACGCACCGATAGTCGGCTGGGTTTCGGAGTCAAACTTGTCGCTGAATAACCTGCGTACTAAGCACGTCTTTCCGACCCCCTCACTGCCCACAAAGATGACTTTGACAAGGTGGTCATCCATCTCCATAGGAGGTGAGAACGAGGGTGAGGTATCGTTCATTCCAACTGGTTACAGTGGTGTTACGTACATATATATGTAGTACATATGATGGTGCTGTGGGAGACCCCTCATGCCCGCGGGATCGGGTGACTTTTGCGGAAAAGTCAGCCGTAAAAGTCATCTTCAAACACGGTGACTTTTACCCTTAGTAGCTTAACATCAGATTATTAGATATAGGCTAATAGTTGACTTTTAGGCTGCTTGTTTAGAGCTAATACGTTCACTTGTTCTTATGCAAGCGTTGCCATCCACCACAACAACAACCTACATACCTCCAGCCTTATTCCTGTTGCCTCCTTTAAGCTTTTTATACGCTCAGCGGCCACTCATATCTCAGGTGTCGATAGGAAAGCGCAGGCTCTTACCTCCCCATTACCTTGCCCGTGCGGCCGCCCTTCCACACGCGACGCCTGCCAACCCCTGGCTTTCCCCGTCGCGGCATCTGACTCTTCAGGCCTCTCCTCGTGCGGTGCCCCTGCGGCTACTCTGCCTTTCCCGTGCTGTGCTTGCCTTCCAATGCCCTTTCCTGTGCATCTGCCCTTCCCCGTGCGGCCCTGTCTCCCCCTGTCAATGCCCGTTCCTCGAAATTACTGAACGGATGAACGGTCGCTACAATGTTGGTTTAATTGCTCTTCCTTGTGAAGCTTCTGCCCCGAAGTCCCCTCATTCCTGCACGCATATGCGGCACGGCAGGGCGCTGGTCTCATGGCTTCGGGTGATCACCTATGACAGGGGGTGTCTGTATGCGCATGCGCCCAACAGTTCGATAGTTGGGCGTGATTAGTGTGCGTACGACCATGGGTGCCGGTACTTGGGCATGGCGGGTATGCATGCATGGGCCAGGTGGGCATGTATACACGCATCGGCATTGATGCATGGCTGGGTGCGCGGGAAATGCCTGGGCGCAGGTGGTTGGGAGGGGTGGTCATGTTTGCGCTCGTGGGTGCCGGTTCCTGGCAGGACGAGAGGATGCCTGCACGCTTGAGCACAGACAGCTGGAAAGGGCGGGATGCATGCGCATGCGAGTGCCAATAACTCGTGCTGCTGCTCGTGGCGTGGATGTTCATGAAAGCTGTGTGGGCTATGTTCACATGGGGCTCATTATAAAAATGCTGGGGCACAGGGCCCTTCACGTCGCGCTGCACGGAGAAAGGCATGTACATTGCTATGCGAGCAGTGCCATACGTACTGTGACAGCTGGACGCGTCATCAACAGTCGGATGTTCCGAGAGGCGGACGCTTCAATGGGGCAACGCATGCCCACGGGCGGACATGCATGTGGACAAACTCCTCACCCCGCCAAACCATGTTGCATGTACATACCTACTGCGTGATCGAGAGGAGCGAGGGATGTGCGGTCCCTTCAGCGCATGTCTGGCCACAGACGTTGGGCGGTCATCAGCGTACGTGGTGTCAGTTAGTCAGCAGCATGCAGCAGGGTGCATTGTGGTCGACATGTGGGTCTTTGGGCCCTCTGACGTTATAAGGGTTATAAGCTTGGACGTCCCAGACAGCACGCGTGGCAGAAGCAGCAACGCAGTGGAGGCAGCATGACAAAAGAGCGCCCCTACCTCTGGTGTGGCAAAGAAGAAATGAGGGGTAAAGCACAGGGCAGGTCGAGCAGGTGAAGCATCGGGAAGGGCGTGGGGAGGCAGGCGCCACACGGGGAAGGGCATAGAAGTCCCTCAGAGGGCCGCAGCGGCACCATACGGAGGAGGGCATGGACACTGGCGCCGACGGGGCCCACGGGGAAGGGCATGGGAATCCCACGGGAGGACAAGCGGTATTGCGCAGTGGCAGGCACAAAGGTAGGCTGGGGCCGTGCTGAGACGGGTCTAAGAACGCAAGCGCCGCACAGGGAAGGGCAGGGAGGGGCAGGTGCTGCACATAAACGGGCGTCGGGAGGCAGGCCTCGGGCTGGCAAGGCCATGGAGAGGCAGGCACGGTACGGTGAAAGGGCATAGGGAGTTAGGAACCCTACCGGGGCCCGCGAAGTGCATGGGAAGGCAAACGCGCATGGAAGGCATGAGGGTGGTAGGCACAGAACTGGCTGGGAGGCGGCAAGGGAGGCAGGGGCTGCACGCGAGGGGCAGGGGAAGGCAGGCGCTGCACGGGGACAGATAGAGTAGCACCCGTTCCCGCCTCCCCAACAAGCACGGCCCCGCGGTATGAAGGACAGTTGTTGTTGTTGTTACATGACCAATCTTTTGGACGTGGGCATCTAGTCGCTGAAGGACCCCGGGGCTAGGCCTGCGCTTTCCTATCGACCTGAGATATGTAGTGGTCGATGAGCGTATGAAAGCCTAAAGGTGAGTTAAGCTGAATGTTTGCAGGTTGCTGTGGTGGTGGGTGGCTACGCATGCATAGAAATAAGTTAACGTGTTAGCTCACGAGCTGCGAAGCAAGAAGTCAAATTAGCCTATATCTAACAATTTACTGTTAAGCTACTAAGGGTAAAAGTCACCGCGTTTGTAGATGACTTTTACGGCTGACTTTTCCGCAAAAGTCACCCGATCCCGCGGGCGTGGGGCCTGTGGCTGTGGCGTGTGGCCCAATCAAACGACGGCATGCTCCAAAGTACTCTGCACATGTCGCTCGTCCGCTCGTACAAAGAAAGGACTTCAATCCTCGGCTGCCACCGTTGTGAGTGTTGCACCTGCGTCAAGAGAAGTTTTAATGCTGTTTAAAAGAGTTTAACCATGGCGTCAGCGTTAGCCAACGCAGGCAGAAGCTTAATTCGTAGGCCATTCCTCGCTTGCCTGGCATCGTGCACTAGCGATAAGGGGCTATCGTTGACTACGGTATGCCGCAATGAGGATGCCGGAGTTATCTCTTCCCTAGACAATGCTTCTGGATTGCCGGTCGCTGGCTTGGGACCGTCGTCCGCTCAGCTTATGAGCTTCGCGTCATCTCAGTCAGTGCTTCGAAGGCAGCAGACAGGGGCAGCGCTTCAAGGAGGGCTTCAATGGCTGCATCGGAAGCAATCAGTGCAGCCCCACGGCTTGCTGTGCATGCCACTTGGCATTGGGCTCTCAAGCGAATCGCTTACGGGAGCTGGTGCGATGGCGCCGGGTGCTTCGTCGGACACCTCGCTCAGATGCATTACCACCAAGACGTGGCGGCGGATGAAGATTAAGAAGCACAAGATTAAGAAGCGGCGGAGGCTGACTAGGCACAAGACCAAGTAGGCGTGGGACAGAGAGTGGCGGTGATCATTGGGCATGGGTTGCGGTGTGTAGGCATAGGGTTTGGCACGCACGCCAAGGCGGGTTCAGCGCAACCTGTGCGTAAGGCTTTTGCGTGTAGGGGCTTCACGCAAGGTGCCTGCCTTGAACATGCTGGCGATTGTGCATGGGTGGGAGTAAGGCACGCTATCTGCTAGACGGCATGTTGTCGGGTCAGTTGGAGGACAGAGGAGGAGCTAGGTGTTATCGTGTGAAGAACCTTGCTGCGGTTACCAAGTCTGCGGACAAGCATGAAAACATGTTGGGAACTGGGTACTTTGGGTGTTTTAGGGGAAGCACCCGATTCTTATACAATGGAGCTGGCGGATTGCGCGCGTGTTAAGAGTTGTTGATGAAGTGCAGCTCTGGAGGCGTGGATAGTAGCCGTCCTTGGAGGTCGGGCGTCACAGTGGTTTCGTCCGAACCAGGAGGCTTAAGCACGCGAGCATGATGTAAGGAATGATGGATTGAGCTGGGGAGCTGTCCATGTTGGTGGACTGACGGTTGTAACCCTTCATGTGTAGGGCTTAGTGATTGGCTTGTGGGTAGCACACGCAGATACCGTTGGGAGGGGTGAGGGAGTGGCAGCGTGGCGACACAGGGCAGGGCAAGAGGCATCATGTGCCAGTCATTAGGATGCACGGACGTCACCCTGCCATGCGGCAACTGGCGCCGAGGGAGAGGGGCGTCATCCTAGACGAACAGCTCTCTCAGACATTTGTGCCTATCCTCTTTAGCATTCCTACCCTTTCCTAACGGTGCCTAGCATTGCTCGTAAGCATGTCTAAGTGTAGGGGGCGAACCAAACCCTCGGATACGAGGTGTTGCAGCATGGGAGAAAGCTTTCCACGCGCCCTTGTTTTACTTTGACTGGCGACTAGAACTGATACATCGCAGTGCATGTTAGGTTGTGATAAGGGCAACTGGAAGCTTCGTTGAATGTCTCGACAAGGCCTCGCGATAACATCTATAGACACTTTTGCTGCTGAAGATGCCTGAATCTGTAGGGCTCTAAGCCAGGGCGCAAATAAGACAAATAAGAAAAGATGATGTAAGTCGTAAAGGAGATGGTGGCACATACATGCGCAATCAAGGTGTCGTACCAAAAAGGACAAGTCCTTGCACATGCTCAGCTTCCGTCCCTTTCTTTCCCGAACGGTCGCAAGGGTTGTCAATTGACTACTATAGAGTCATTGCACCCAGACCAGAGTTAGGGCACTGTTACTTTTACTCCTAGCTGAACCAAAGATGCAGACTTCACGTTGCCTACGCCCAGCCTCTGCGGTCCCATCCTATCAGCCCCAGCCTAGGCGCCTGTCATCCTATGTATGCCGCCCTGTAAGATTGCTGGTGCCTGGACCGCTGCGTGGCCAAACCACCAAGTTCCTATGCTCGGCGGGCGTCGCTCACCCTGGCGAGGTAAGGGCTTTGCAGGATCTCCCTGGTTGGCGCATAGAGTATTTCGTCTACTTAACTTTCTGCGCTGGAGTGGACCTTTCTAGGTGGTGCGGTCCTGTCCGCGAGTGCTGAGAGGACCCAATTGTCGCCCCTTTACGTGTTGTCCGCTTGCGACTCTTTTAGCCTGCTGAATTTACTGTATTGCAATGTTTCTGTTACCTGTCAATTGGCGCATGCAAACGCCCTTTTGCCCCGACCCACTTCGCCCACGCCGCAAACAATTGCAGGAGGCCAATATTGGCCAATTCAAGGGTCAATTCGACCCGAAAATGTCAGTACCTAATGTCTTTGCTGCCAAAGGCGGTGGTGGTGGCCAAAACTTTGGCTCCGGTGGCAGCTTGGGAGCGGTCATGGAGCGCAGCAGGCTGGAGTTTGTCATGCCCACGCCACCAGCCGTGGCCCCAAAGCTAGATGATGGAGGTAGCGGCGGTGATATTGGCAAGAATATTCACAACGGTGGTGGTGGCGGAGACGGAGACGGTGGTGACGACGATGACTACTTCAACGAGGACGGTGATGGCGATGGCGAGGGCGACGGTGAGGGCGGAGACGCCTTCTTCCGCACCCTTATCCCAGAGTCTTATGACAAATTCTCCATCGGGGCCGTCTTTGCGGAGTGGATGCGGACGGTGGCAGAGCTGCCTCTCATTCTTCGGCGTGCCGTGGAGATGGGCCTCTTTAGCTCAGCGCAGCTAGTCCGCTTCTTCTCCATGGACGTGCGGCCCAACCTGACGCGCAGCGTGTCACGGTCCTTGCCACCTGCGGTAAGACCTTTGTGAGGGCTGGCTGTGTGTGGTTACGCAAGTCCTGGGAAAAGTCAGGAGGAAAGTCAGGGGGAGAAGCAGCGAAGCGGCGTTCCCCGGCCGCGCAACCACAATCCCTTACTATCTCCCTTCCCTTCCCTGCCCCCACCAACCCTCCTCCGCCCCCTTCTCCCTCCCCCCTTCCTCCAGTGGGCCCGCGAGTTCGTGGGACGCCTCATGGCCGACCCCGCCTTCGTCCAAAAGCTCTTCATCGAGTCGTTCATCGCCGCCGCCTCCTCGCTCTACTACGAGTACCGCGCGCGCGGCCCGGAGCGCTTCAAGGAGGAGCTGGACCTGGTGCTGATCAACACGCTGGGCATGGCGGCCGCCACCAGCGCGACGGTGTGGATGGTGGCGCCCACGCGGTCGTACGGCAACGTACACAAGTTCCCCTGGCAGCAGGTGCGTGTGCGTGTGTGTTATGTGTGTGGGGAGGGGGTGGGGGTGAAGGGGAAACTGAAGGGGGAAAGGAACAAGGGGGTGCGATGTGAGGTAGTGGGAGGTTTGCTTGGGAAAGTGTTTTTAAAATGAGATGGGAGAAGAAGGGCGGCTGGGGGTGGGGGTGGCAGTGGAGCTGAGGTTGGGAGGGGGGGACGTGGGTCCCAAGTTGCAAAGGGGAAAGTCGGAGGGAGATCTCGGGGCCGAATCCATGTAGGTGGTCCCAACATAGCACATCCATATAATTCGCTAAAAGGGGTCCACCACTCGCGGGGTCCGTGATAGCTATTGTTGCCGACAGATCCGGTGCTGTGTTTCTCAACCTGTAGCCCCTCTCACCATGCTCCCCCTCCCCCTCTGCCCCACCCCTCGCCACCCCAGATGCTGGACAACCTGCCAAACTGCGTCTTTGACGCCAACGGCCCCCTGCGCACCTACACCCCGCAATCCCGCATCGCCGCCTTCTTCTCCAAGGCCGCTGAGCTCTCCGCCGTCGGCCTGCTCACCGGCGCTGGCACCTCGCTACTCTCCTCCGCCGCCGTCGCGCTACGACGAAAATACGCCGACCCGGATTTCGAGCCCAGCGTGCCCGTGCCTGACGTGGCTCGCAGCTCCGCCGGCCTGGCTGCGTTCTTCTCCCTTGCCGCCAACACGCGCTACCAGCTGCTCGGCGGCATGGACCGCTACCTGCTGGGCCACAGCAACTTCATGTGGACCTACCTGGCGTTGAGCGGCACCGCGCGGCTGGTCAGCAGCCAGCTGGGGGAGACGCATCGTGCGCTGTGCCAGGGACTGCCCGACCCCTCCTCGCTGCCCAAACGGCGGGTGGTGAAGCGCAAGGTGATGGTGCGGAAAAAGGTGCTGAAGCCGCAGCAGCCGGTGCAGGTGGTGGAGCCGGTGGTGGCAGCAGCGGCGCCGGTGGTGGCGGAGCCGGCCATGACGACGTCTGGGCAGGTAGCGGCGGCGGCGGCGGAGGGGGCTGCAGTGCAGGTGGCGTCGACGTCGGGGCGGTTGGCGGAGGTGGAGCAGGTATCGTCCCAGCTTCTCCCAGCTCAGCGGCAGGCGGGTCAGCAGGAGGAGGATGTGGTGGTGCTTGATCAGGTGCTGAGTGCGGCGGCTGTGCCTTCCAGCAGCGGCAGCGCTAGCAGCGGTGAGGTGTTGGTGCTGCACACGCAACCCCTGCAAGCGCACCCTTCCACTAGCAGCAGCAGCAGCGACGCAGCAACACCCTCCTCCTCGGCACCATCGTCCTCACTCCCATCGTCATCCTACGCGCTCTCCACATCATCATCATCCTCCCCGGAGCTCCATGCACCAGCGGAAGCAGCAGCAGCCGCACCAGCCTCGGACCTGGCATCTCTAGTAGCGCAACAATCGAGTGCGTCGCTGGACGCGGCGGCGATGGCGGCGACGGAACGCGCCATGGCGGCGGCGATTGCGGCGTCGTCGGCAGGACAGCTCGTGGGTGCTGGACCTCGCTGAGGTGTTGCTGCAGGTGTTGGTGATGTGGCGGTGGTGGTGGTGGTGGTGTTGAGTGTGGGGTTCACGAGCATGTGTGCGCATGTGCGTGCGCGGTACGGAGCTAGGAGGAGGCCTGCATGGGGTGTGCATGCATCCGGTGTTGTGTGGTGCGGGGCGGATGCGGGAGGACCGGGAACGTTTGCAGCCGTGCAATGTAGCGCAGTGCAGTTTAGAGCAGGGAAAGTGAGCTTGTTGTTTGTGTGTAGAGCGATTTGTGAGGATGTGTCTCTCTGGTTTGGTCGTCGTCGTTGATGTGTCAGATAATGGTGGTGAGGGCTTGTGATGGTCGTAAACGCTCAGTAAACGTGTACGTAAAAGCAGCGATTGCCTGCTGTTATGGGAAGCAGGTTGAGCGGCCGACCACGGCCATGCAGCGTCGGAGGTAACGGCGGTGATTGATGAAGATTGATTGTTATCAGCCAGAGTTGCGTGTTTTTCATATTGTTTTCGAGAGCTTGGGTCTTTCCGGGTTTTCCGAGTGCACATGCTGTGTTAAGACGACGCAGGGCCGCAAGGTTTGCTCCGCTTCTCCCTTCAACGCTTCTACACTTCTCGTTGCGCGGTGTTTGTGATACGCTGTCTTGGTTCCGTTCCAACTGTCATGCAACGGTCATGCAACACGCAGAGCACAGATGTGGTGTAAGTTCTACTCACGGTTTGCCGCAAGGGCGTGCTCTTTCCTCGTCACATACTCTCCCCACAGCTGCCTTTCTAAACCCAGTTTGTGCGTGGACGCTTGGGCTTTTGTCATTTGCGTCTGGAAAAGTCAACGGTGTGCAAAATCTGCCGGGCGCCGCGGGCTTGCAGGTGTAGAGGTGTACATATGTGTGAGGAACGGGGCTGAGCAGCCATTGCCTTTAGCTGCTATTTCTGTGGCTGCTGTCAGCTGCTGTGTGAAGAACACTGGAAGTCGGTGCCAGGGAGAGGCGGATAGCGTCGTTGTCGAGACCCTTGTGGTCTGTGCATGTGCGCATATGTATTTGTAAGGGGCCGCGAATTCATCGGATGTCCCTTGACACACGGATCAGGTGTTGCAAAGCGACAAGGCATGCAGCGTTCTGCTGCTTGGCTGTAACAGTTACCGAATAACCCAGAAGGATGTCGTCAGCCCCCCATCTTTCTTGGTATTTCTCTTAATCCTTAGCTACGAAAGGGAAGCGCAAAGCAGAGGAGACACAACACGTTTGCAACGTCCCTACTACCTTAATAGTGTACGGTAAACAAGCTGCTAACAACTACTCGAAAATGACATGCGTAACAATCGTACTGCAAACATGTACCTCCTGCACTGTTCCTTCCAAGACCATTCTGACTGCCTGTATGTGGGGTGCACAAAAACACCGCATTGCTTATTTCCGCCTGCTGTGCGCGTCCCACACCTAGATCCCTGTAAACACACGCAATGCCACAAGTGCAGATACAAGTGAATAACCATGTTATTCAACGCAGACAATCCTGCATCCGGACCTCCAACTTGTACGGCGGTGTGATCATCTGCTAATCGTACAAAACACCTGCCCGTACGGTACCGTACTGACAGCGTAACCTGCCCACGGCCTCATGATGAATACCTACACGCTACCTACCAACCCTGACAGTACATCCTTTCTACGCACCGCCCTGACTATCAATGTGGACCACACATGCCAACACATGCTTCCTCACCATCACTCCCTCAGCCAGACATCAACCCTGCCACCGCAGCGCCCGCCACCGCTGCCCCCATCGCAAACCCCGCACCCGCAGCAGCAGCCACCAGCTTCCAAGGCGTCATGGCCCATGTTGCATTCACATTCGCCCCGTCAAGCTTCCTTACGCCACCACCACCACCTCCACCACTGTTCCCTTCCTTTGCACCACCCCCGCCGGCGCAACCGCTCCCAACACCGCTGCCCCACCACACACTTGCGCAACCCCGCGGCGACAGAATGCGGCACATGCGTGTCTCGAGGCTCCGACCGGCTAGCAGAGTGGAGTCCTCAGCAGCGGGGATGTGGCGGCGCTCCGAGCGACGAGGGGCGGTGCCGGCATCCCTGCGGGGAAAGCGGGGAAAGCCGAGTGCACACGTGTTATTACGCTTGCGGATGAGGTAGCATGTGAGGTCTGTATTGTGGTGTACGGGTGGAAGGCTTATGTTGTATGGAAAGAAGGCATTGCCCTTGAGTTTGGGCTTAAGAAGTATTGTAAGGTTACCAACGCGTCCGTGTCCCTGTTGACTTCGCCAGTCCCCCAGTAATGCTCCAATATACCTGCAGCCGGTCCCTGCTGCCGAGCCCTGGTTCTCCGCCTCCAACTCCCGCAGGCTCAGCCGCAGCAGCGGCAGCAACCCCGAGCGACTCAGCTCCCGGACAACACAGCGCTGCAGGGCGGGTAGCGCCTGGGGGAGCACGATGGGAAAAGGACGTGTGGGAGCCATGAGGCTTTGAGTAACTTCTCAAGCTAGGGAAGGAGGAATTGCAAATGCAGAAAGCGAGTGGGCTGTGGAGCCGCATGTACTACCGCAAACAGCCTAACTTTTGTATCGCAGGTTTTCCCTGAGACACTGGAAGGCAGCGGCATTGATGGCAAGGGCGTCTGCCTGTGGATCAAAATTTCCGTTGCAAAGCCCAGCTGCCTTCTACACCGCCCAGTAAGCCCCTCAAACCTCACCGGCAGGTCTAGAAGGCTTCCCAGCAGCTCAAAGCTGGCGCACAGCAGCGGCCCCCGCCCGCCTCCCAAGCACCGCCGAGTGGGCCCAGTGGCTCCCAACCACCGCTGAACCGCCAAGCCCGCCCTCCGCCGCCAAGCCGCCGGAGGGCCCTGCTGCTGCTGCTCCTCCTCCCCCTGATCCTCCTGGTCCCCCTCATCGTCATCTTCCTCCGCCTCTTCCTCATCGTCGTGCACAAGCGGTGCCGAGGAACCGTGCTGAGGGGTGTCGGATCCCCGCAGCGCTGTTGCAATGCAGTCGAGAACTCCGCCCTCAATCAAGCACTGCCGGATAGCCGTGTGGGCCGCGTCCCCACCTGGTACGGGTAGGGGTTTTTGACCTTTTAAGGGGCTGGAATAAGATGAGAAGCATGATTGGGATACGGGTTACGGGAGAGACCGTATCCGGAACTGTCTAAGGGGTTTGAATGCGTGCAAAGGAAATTGTAAACTTTGTGTTGTGCATTCGATGCCGCAGTTCCCTTTGGCCCTATCCACCCAGCCAGCCAGCCGTTGGCGCACACATATACAAGCGGCTCTCTCCACTCACCGCGCACCAGCTCGTGTAGGGCCCGGAAGGCGGCAGTCTGTACGGCAGGGCTGTACGGCATCCGCCGTAGCACCCGTAGTACACCGCTGAGGCTCTCGCAGGCTACATGGGCCTGCGGGAAATACGGGAAACACAAGGGAGATGGGAAGACGCATATAACATTATGATTGACAATGTGGAGCCACAGTACCTAACACCCTCAAACCCTGTTTCGGCCTAACAACTATTAGACTGTTCCGCACCCGTCTGTTTACCTGTGTCATAGTATTCTTGATGACCATCTGCCGCAATACCGTTAGCGCCGCAACCGCCAAGTCCTCTGAAGCTGAAGAACCGCCCTCGACTGTTCCAAAGGCACTTCCTGCTCCTCCTGCTCCTGCCGCCGCAGCACCCCCGTGTCTCAATGCTACCGCCTCCGGTTTCATCATGTCAACCGCCCGACGCAAAAGGCCCAAAAGCACCTCCGTGCCACCCATCCGCGCTAACGACCATTGGTTTGCTTGCTGCTGAAGTTTCGGCGTTGGCGGTTGCGACTCGGACCCACCATCGGGACGGCGGTGGTCGGCTGAAGAAGAAAGCAGGCCCAGAAGCAGCGCGCAGACGCATCGTTGTACGGCCACGGACTTTTCAAGGGCGGTTGAAACCACGGCAGGAACCATGTTCGCAGGTTGCTTGGATGGTTGGTGGTGACGGACGCGCATGGTCTCATGCTCTAGCTGCGCTTGCAGCCGTAGTTGCTGTTCAACAGCCAGCAGGCAGCCTTGGAAGGCCCCCAGGGAGATGAGGTGCTCGCGAATCTGCTTGTGATGCATGCAGGGAAAGAGGGACAAACGGAGTTGAGTTGCAACTTGCAAGGGTTGGTTCAGACTGCCGGAATCAGCTACCTGATCCAATCCTAACCACAGCTAGGGGGGCAAGGTGTGCGTACTCACAGCACAAACGCACGGAACAGGAAGCAGCATCCCTATATAATGCACCGGCGGATGACTATAATACCGGGTAGAGGCATGCACATTGGCGACAAACGCCAACAACAACAACAACAACAACCTAAAGCCCACCAACTAACCCACCTCGGATTGCATGCCCGCCAGTCGTGCCAAGGCTCCAAGCGGCACCAAACACGCTTCAGCTGTTGCTTGTGTCGTGAACGCCAAGCCATGCAGCCTCCGAGCCTCCCTCCGCCCCTGCCCCTGCTGCTCGCCACCCTCTTGCTGCTGCCGCTCGCGCCCCTCCTCCCTAACGCCCGGGCTCGTGCTTCCATCCCTGTTGTCCTGGTCATTGCTCCAGCCGAGGGAAGCAACGTTGCTGGACTCCATCGTCGCGACATCCGCCTCCTCATGATCATCCCTTTCCACTCCAGGCTTAGACTCCAGGAGCTCTCGTAGCCTGATTAGGAGCTCCTCGGCCTTTGGGAGCACCACAGGGAAGCGGGAGACGGCGGAAGCAAAAGAGGGACGGGAAGAGAGAGGGTTATAAAATGGGCAAGGCTACAGTGAATGAGGACTTGAAGGGAGAAGAAGGCGGAACGCACATGCATTCAGGAGGTTGTTGTTTTCATGTCGACATGCCCCCAACCCATACCTTCGCTATCTGCGCTTTGGAAAACACGTACCTGGATGGTGTGCAATCGCATGGAGGACACGGGAAGGTCCTCATCGTTCAGCGGACAGAGGGCTTGATTAGGCACGTCCTCGCGAGAAGCCTCATCATCGTTGCCGCTCATGGATACCGCCTCAGATACATGCGGATGAGCAACTTCAGCCGAAACCGACGAAGCCCCTCCTGCACTGTCGCGCCGGTTTGCACGGCCGGAGGGGTCTGCTGCGGCACCATGCTGGGACCTCCCTGCTCCATGTGGGTTTTCGCTTCTGCGTGAAAAGGCAGGGTATGATGGATCCATGGGCGATGAAGAGGGCCCCGGATCGGATCCAACACGCCCTCCACGAGTCGCAGCCGCAAAGGGTGCAGTAGCTGCTGCAGTGGCGGCTGTAGCAACAGCGATTCCACCGTTTAACGTGAGGGATTCTGGTGTAGACGACGAAGCGACCGACATGTAGGCATCCCTCAGGGCTGGCGCTCTGGAGGGAAGGTGTAGGCTGTCCTGGGATGCGGACGCAGGCATGTGGTATTGTTCGCCTCTGGCGTCACAAGCCATGTGGGTGCTGCACGTGCTGCTGCTGCCAATGCTTCCCAAGGTCAGGCGGCACAGGCGGCGGGCTGGTTGGTTGATGCTAATCTGCTCGAAAGTGCGGCACCTGTGGGGGTGAGAAACACAATTCGAGCAGGGGTAAGCAAAGAGCAGGGCTCTGCGTATGCAGCCGCTTGGTAAAGCAGGCAAGGCAACTCAGCAGGGGCTATCCGGCGGACATAGCAGTGACTCGCCTTTCTGGGCACGTCAATCGGTCTCCGGCGGCAATAGCTCGAGACAGGTGCTCTGACAAGCACACGGCGCAAAAGGTGTGACCGCAGGGCTGTACGGCAACCGCCCGTTGCAGGTAGCCCTGGCACAAGCCGCATCGAAGCTCCTCCAGACAGGAGCTAGCAGGGTATCTGTTTGGTTTGGGTGCATGGGGTGAAAGGGAACACCCCGCGGACGCGGTTCAAGGTGAGATGCTAGGAGGCGACCCATGGGTCGTAACGTGGAAGCAATGTCCAGGAAAAGAGCATAGGAACATGTCAGGCTTCCTGCCGTCAATGCTACAAGAGCGTATTGTACGGTTACGCTCGGATCCAAAACGCCAAAATGCCCGTACCTGCTAGTAGGAGGCGCGAGGTCAAACGCTCCAGATGCATCCACTCCCGCTGCCGTACTGTCATTAGACTGTACGACCCGCACACGGAGAGCCGATACCGCCGCTTCTCCTTGAATCCCAACGGCCTCAAGCTGCGGGTCCACATCAACCAATTGCAGCCTTCCTTCGCCTAATCCGCTTGCCAGCATGCTAGCGCCGACTGAGTCCCGGCGGGAGGCTGTTGCAGCAGTCCGATCACTGTCAAAGCGGCCTGACAACGGCAACCGCGGGAGCAGTGGAATGCAGCCTTGTACAGCAACACAGCCGCTGACGTCAACAGCATTGGCGCTTCCAGCAGAGTAACCGGTGGGAGATAGTCCGGCGTCTAAACCGGCGTCAGGAGTGCTGCAACCGCATCTAGAGCGGCTGCTGTCAAGTGAACCCTGCTGTTGTTGTTGCTGTTCAAGCCGCCAAGAGTCGCCTTGGGGAGTGCACTGGGGTGCAGATGGCTGCACCGGGCCCTCCTCCGCCTTCGCCAAATCCATGACCAGCCGTCGCGGTGGCGTAATCTCGCCGCCGCAGTTATCACGGCAGCTGACACGCGGAATGACGTCAGCTTGATCCGCTCCAGCATTGTACGACAAGTCACCGGTAGCCACCTCAGAAGCTCCTGGAGCTGCATGGGCACCTTCCTGGGCCAAATTGCGAACAAGAGCCCTTCCAGGCACCGGTAGTGGAGGTAAAGGCAACATTGGGCTAAACTGTCCCGCGTCATCCACCCAGGTTCGCGCCCTGCCGGTGACGCCACTGCTAAGCAAGCCACTACCGACGTCGGCGCCGTCGTCACGCCCTTGATCGCTGCTACCGCCACCGCTGCGGCCCGAGGCAACAACTGCGCTTGTGCTTGTCAGATCACTTGGGGATAACGACCCTTCAGGGACTCTGCTACTGCAATTGAAAGCATGGCAGCTGCCGCCGCCGCCGCTGCTGCCAAGAGGAGAATCCACCGCCGCCGTCGCAGCCAAAGGGCCCAACTGCGAATCCAGGTATCGTACAAGCGACCTCGGAGTGTACGGCAGGGAAGGGCAGATTTGCATGGCCCCAACCTTCCCGCCTTCATCGTGCGCAGTGCCGTCGCTGTTACAGCCGCCGGCACTGACGGCGGCAACGTCGGCGCGGCTAGTGTTACATAAAGACGACGCCGTCGCTGTTGCGGTGTTTGAGCGGGCGACTGCGGGGGCCCCGGCAACGGTCCCAGCGACTGTCGTGGGGCATGCCAGTGGCATGCCACTGGCTGAACTGGTGCCACCCCAGTCGCTACTCGTCGTTGGGTGCTCCCCGGCAATGCTCGCGGTCGACGTCGCTGCAGCAGCGGCGGCGGCGACCGCTGCCACTCGGTTTGACGTCAGCTCCCAGTCGCTTCGCCGCGGCCAATGCGGCGTCGAGGCGGCGCTGTACGGCGACGGCGTGTCTAGGGTTTCGCCATACCGAGTACGGCGGCGGTTGGGGTTACGTCCTCGGACCAGCTGGCTTAACAAGTGCTGACGGGCTGGGCTGGATTGCCCCGGCAGGGGGCTGCATGCGGGGACGACGGCACATGCAAGCAAGCAAAGGGTCTGAACGATTATTATTTTGCAAGGAAAGGGCCTTAAAGCCGATTAACGTGCAGAGTTACACAGCGATGGAGCTACGCAAAGCAGGCGTTAAGAAATACCAATTGAGGGTGCATGTAAGACCTGGGAACCGACGCGTCAAGGACATGCCGTGCCGCCATTACCAATTATTGTTTAAACACCGCCCATCACACCACACCTGGACCCGGAACTCGACGCGCCGCACGGCTCCCAGACACCCGCTAGACGGCTCGTTGTAGATCCATTGCTGCCGCTGCTCCCTCCCTCGCTGCCCTCCGCGACAAGCCTGCCAACGCCTGAGCCCTCCAAAGCCCTTTCATGCCGCAGCCGCAACGATTGCTGCTGCTGATGATGATGATGATGCGGAAGAGATAACGGGCGGTAGGCTTGTTCAAAGCGCGCATGAGAGCCTCCTCCGTACACCCGTACCAAGCCAGGGGGCCCTCGTAGAGCCCCTGCTACACGGTCGCGGTTATCCTGGCTTGCATGGCTATCCCTGCTGCAACTGTAGCTGTGACTCCTGCCAACAGGCTCAAGCGGAGGACTATGCGTAGGGGAGCTTGGGCCGAGGCACAGGCTTCTGGGGCTGGAATTGTCCACTGCATGTGGCTGTGTAGAGCACTGCAGGCCGCTGGGTGTGGTCGCTGGGCTTGCTGTGTGCTGGGTCGCTGCAGCTAGCGATGTTACTGATGCTGCTGATGCTGCTGCTGTGGAGCTAGACGAGTGGGACGAGGCCGCGTATGGCGCGGGTGACGGCGGGTGGTGGGGTAGCGGCGAGAAGGAGAAATCCTGCTAACGACAGGGAAGGAGAAAGAGGGCTCAAGCGGTTGTGACGCAAAAGCTGGGAAAGGGGCTCCCCCACTCGGTGTTTGGGACCGTTCGGTTGATGCAGTTCACCACAGGGTGCGACATGCGTAGTCCTGAAGCCAACAAGCAAAACCCCGGCGCATTCGCCCCGTCTTTTACCTGAGGGCTTCCACCGCTCGCAACCGACTCCGTCTCACCACCAGCACCGCCGCCGCCGCGACGGTTCAAATTCTCGCCCGTCGTCTGATGCACCCGCACTCCGCGGCACCACCCAGGCTGCAACCCCCGCTCGCCATTTGCCGTCAGGGCTAGCAAACGCTGCGCCGCACCTCCCACCGTGGCATCTGCGGCAGCAGCCGTTTCATCGTGATGCCGCCGGGATACTCCGGGCCTTCTGATGGCAGTTGCATCGTCAACGGCAGCAACTGCCGGCGACGTCCGAAGCGGTTGTCTAAGCGCTTCCAAGCCAAAAGAAGCCGAATTTGCAGAGCCCGTGGACGTGGTGAGAGCGGTAGCGACCGTTTCTGGCGGGGGTGAAGCGGGGGTGCTGACGTTCAAAAGGCGTGAAGGACGCCGCGTACGGGAGCTGCCCCTGCCACCGCAGGTACGGCCTGTCGTACGGAAGGAGTGCTGCGGTGTCACACGCCGCCGTGACGGCGACGACGTAAGGCCAGCATGTGGCGATGCGGGGGACGGGACTGACCCTTGGGACGATGAACATGACGAGGAGAACGAGGCAAGGCGTCCTGACGAGTGCATGGGAGATGAAGTTGCGGATACCGCGGCTGCCGTCGGTGTATTGGCTGCGACCGGTGAAGAAGCCGGCGCGAGGATACCCGCTAGGTTTTGGCAAAAATAGGGACTGTTATAGGTGTTGATTCTGCCGCCAGTGTCCGAATTGGGGTTTTGGAGCTGGCTACGCAGGTTACCGCAGCTGTGGCTTGAACGGTGAACCTGTTCGTCGTCGGATTCCGGGCTCAAGGCTGAGGAAGTACCGTCGGCCGACCCATGGGATCGGGATCGCGAGTGGGAATGCCTAATCGGTCGTTGCTGGCCGCCGGCGTTGCCGTTGTTAACCGACGACGGCGACTGACGTGCTGGTCGGCGGCGAGCTGCGCCGTTTGACGATGCCGTACCGTTATGCCGTACGTTGCTGCTGTCAATGCTGCCACCAATGCAGTCGCCATCAAGTGTACGACCGCCGCCGCCGCTGCTGGCGGCAGCAGCAGCAGCAGACGATACGCATGAGCTCATGCTAATGGGTACGGATGAGGGCGTACGGCAGCGCGGCGTGACCGTTGGACTCATGTCGTATTCGTCGCTTCCGCTGCCATCGTCATCGTCGCTGGCAGGAAAACTCGGGTGGAATGTACGGCAGCGCGATGCTGTTCCGCGCAACGGCTCTGTCAGTGGCATCGCACGGTGGGGCCGGCGTCGGGAGCCGGCGGAGGCACCGCCGCTGGTGGTCGAGCTAGGCCTGTTGGCAGGGAAGAATTGGGGTGGGGATGATGCTGTCACTACATGCTACGCGGGTTTAGTAACATGACGGTTAGCATTTTAGGGCAGCTTGCCGCCTGTCTGGAGGCTGTGCATGCGTGGAAGGCAGGTTGAGGCTTGCAGGAAACTTCAGAGTCGCGTGCTCGCGTCCTTGTTCCGCTGACATGCCTACGCTTCCGGAGTGCATGTCGCCGGCCAAGCGTGGGTTCCTCCCAAACCATCATTACGCTCATTGTCCATTCCTATGTATAACACGATTAACACCACAAACACAGCAACCGTGCCCCTGTCACCTGCTGAGGTGGCGCCTATCCGGCGACTTCGGAGCAGGCAGTGACTTGGGAGATTGGCGTGGCGACGACAAGGCAGCCACGATGTCTCCGCCGTCCCCATCACCGACTCCCGGACGAAACTTCGAGCACACCTCCTCCTCTCCATCTTCCTCCTCCTCCTCCTCCTCTGCCTCCGCTTTCTCTCTTTGCGCCGTCCTGGAAGAAGGCCGCAGTCGAAAGGAAGGTGATGTGGATCGCAACCGTCTGGCCTTCTCAGCAGCAGCCGCGGCATCGGCTGCATAGCTCGAAACGCCAGCAGAAGCATCAATAACAGGCACGCCAGCAGAGGGTGCGGCTGCTGCGGGTGATGGCGCTGGGAATGCGGGGGCTGCTGGTAGCTCCGGCTCGTGCCCTCCGTTAGGAGATGGGTACGGCGGAGCGGCGACACTTCCAACACTGCTTTCGCCGTCGCACTGACTGAGCATGCCTCCCCGTCTGGTGTAAACAGCAGTTGGGCTGGTAAGTGGAGACTCCGGAAACCCTTCCAGGGGCGGAAAGGAGGAGTGAGCAGCAGCAGCGGTGGTGGTGGTGTTTGCAGCAGCCGGTTGGCTTTCGGCTGGGAAGCGTCTGCTGACGGCTGCAAGCGACGCGACGCCGGGAAGGGGCGTGGCCTCCTCGTAAATGTACGACACTTCGCAAAGGGGGTTGACTGAGAGGACGAGCGAGATACGGTCACCGTGGGTGAGCGCGTGGGGCTGTCCGGAGGGCAGGGGAGCGCCGTTGAGGAAGGTACCGTTGCGGCTATGATCCTGCGGCAAGGAACGGGTGAAGGATTGAGCGATGGGGTGAGTACAGGCGAAATGGTGGTGGGCAGTTGGAATAGTAGGTAGAGTGGCAACAATAGCAAGATAGGATACGCGCATGGATACATACTGCGGTGGTGTGATAGATGCCTGGTTGCCGGAGCAGCATGCTAGCAAAAAATCGAGCCTTATTACAATTGGCTGTGCACCGCAGTTTTTAGCAGTTTTAGGTCCGAGTTTTGGGGTCTAACATACAGCACCACCTCACAGTGCGTTGTGGGCTGCATGACATGGACTAAACCCACCTGAACTGTTACTAGCGGCGGCCAGTTTCCAGAATCCCATTGTGCTGTGATGCTCGCGTGAAGGCGACTCACACGGTCGTCATCATTTGGTAGCCATTGCAGAGAACGGCTAGTTCCGGTTAACACGCAAGCCGCGCCATCCGGAGGATCCATGCCTCTTCCCAAGACAATGAGGTTGTCAACAAGGCTCACCGGTGGCGCAGCAGGCCTTTCCTCCCCTGCGACGGCCATCATGGGGGGGAAATTGCGTTGGGCGACACCTTTGAGGCAACGAGTACGCATATAGGTATCGATTATGCGTTTTATTCCTGACCGTCTTTATAACGCTGAAGGAAGCCCCAAGCGGACCGAGCACGCCGTTCACGAGGAATCATCCTTGCAGGGCGACAGGGTCGTCGAGGTATCAGCTTAAAGCCTAAGCATGTCTTTATTAAAGCGATTCAGTAACTATTCTAGTGTGAGCATGTACGAGGTTACGGGAGTAGCTCCTGACCGGCCTTGGAAGTCCGTAGCCGTGGAATTTAAGTCGGTTTAGGAACTGATGTTGACGCTTCTAGATTGTAACCCTTGTTGACATAAGTAGAATACTGTCAATTGCCCAGCTAGAAAGCAAGCAAGCTTCCGGCGGAGATGCCGAAGCAAGTTAAGCAACCGTCGCAAACAGTTATGGATTTTGGCGCGGATTCCAAAAAACAGCTCCCTAACTGTTGGCAGGCAACTCAATGCCTCAATAGCAAAGCGTACGTTAATAAATGCGAGGGACCGTTGTAGGTTTTGTGCTGGCCAAATGCTTTCTTCCTCAAACATTATCTTCCAAAATTCCCAATCCCAATTCCCAATCCCATCGGCAAATAGCCCCTTCCTCATGACTGCGCGAACCACGCCTTCATCTCCGGGCTTCTATGCAGACATCTTCGGGCATTTCTAGGGCGATTGAGTTGATCCAGACCACTGAAGTCTGGCCACATGGTGCGTGACTGGCGGTATCAGTGGTAGCGTTATGGTCCCTGATTTATCGCTACCGGTAAATCTGGCATTGTCAGCAAGAGATTGATTTTGGCGTAAAGCGGTTGCTTGGTGCTGGGAGCTACTGAACATGCTCAAGCGAATACCTTTTTGTTCACCCTCGCCCCCTATCGATACATATGAGGTCCCTTTTGTTAAATAAGGAGGCTTACAACATCCTAGGCCAACATCCCAAGGCAAACAGAGCCGCAGGTAGAAACAAACCACGCCCAGTTGTATATTGCTATACGAAAAACCTTTTCAATGCTGCCAGCCGAATCGTTTATAAATCTCTGCATTTAAGCCATTGAGAACTAAATATTAGGCAGGCCAACGTCCTAGGCGCCAATCATTACACAGTGCTTTGTTGACGGTCTCCCAGGCAATAAAGAAGGTATTCTTCATAGCAAGGAAAACCATATCGGTATAACAACTTTGGCGCTTCCTGTTCCTTGTTACAAATATGTGGAACGTTACTGGCGTCAGCATTTGACTAACGTGATTGCGGGTAGGGTAGGCCATGCTCGTACGCTATCCGTCGTACATATCCACTTAGTCATAAGCGCCAGGAAAGCAGTCTTCATACAGTCCAGTTCTTGTTTCCTGACTGATAACAACAATGGCCGCTGTGATCTCAAAGTCCTCTGTCGTCGCCGCTGTGGCGCGCCCTCAGCGGGGCTGCGTGCGCCCATGCTCTGTATTCAAGCCTGCTACTAAGCCTGCTACGGTGGCTGCACCTAAGCAAACCAACAAGATGATGGTCTGGACCCCAGTGAACAACAAGTAAGTTCCCTGAGCGTCCTCGATTGCTTGCATACCGGTAGTAACTTCGTTGCAAGCGTCCGCATCCTATCAATTCCTTTTTTCGTGTAAATTAATTTGCTTATCACCATCTCTGCTTCTTCCCAACAGGATGTTCGAGACCTTCTCCTACCTGCCGCCCCTAACCGATGAGCAGATCGCGGCTCAAGTGGACTACATTGTCGCAAACGGTAGGATGGTGTTCAGGATACTTGAAAGTGGTTCCGAGCGTCTGATTCCTCAGTTACGCTGCTAACTACACATGTCATGTCAAGTGATGCGAACCTTAACCTTAACCTTTGCGCAGCTTCATACAATTTTGGAACTTTTCCTCTTTTAACTCCATTTTTCCAGGCTGGATTCCCTGTCTGGAGTTCGCTGAGGCTGAGAAGGCGTACGTGTCCAACGAGTCTACCGTGCGCTTCGGCCCCGTGTCCTGCGTAAGTGGGGGCGATGGTCTGGGTCAGCTGGGGTAGTTGCCACGGATTTGAGGCGGGCTGGGCTCCTTGCAACATCATGCGGATGTGACCTGTCGCATCAATTCCATGCTGGGCTGCTGTTCCTAATCTTCTTCCACCCAATCCGCATGCTTTCTTACACCCCCATCTCCTCCCCCATTCCCTCCCCGCAGCTGTACTATGACAACCGCTACTGGACGATGTGGAAGCTACCCATGTTCGGATGCCGCGACCCCATGCAGGTGCTGCGTGAGGTTGTTGCCTGCACCAAGGCCTTCCCCGACGCCTACGTGCGCCTGGTGGCCTTCGACAACATCAAGCAAGTGCAGTGCATGAGCTTCCTGGTGCAGCGCCCCAAGACTGCCCAGGACTGGCAGCCCGTGGCCAAGCGCTCCGTCTAAGCAGTTCTGTATGCCTATTTGAATTCAAAGAGAAGATGATAACATTGATAATTCATACCGTTTCATTAGCTTTAGCTCGGAGGTTTAGGGTAAGCCGGAAGAATCTGTAGCGGCCTACATCCTGGCCGCTTGTATACGGAAGTCGAAACTAGCGTCGTACGCACATGCTGACTGTTGTATAACCAAATCAGTTATGATGGGTGTAGTGCGCAATGGTGATGCGCGGTTGTTTGTATTTTATACCTGCCATTATGACACGGAAGAGGCATGCGAAGCATGCATGGATGGGGCATCAAACCCCATACGTGTCTTTCGGATATTGGGTAGAGCTCGTAGGCTGTATTAACTACTTTAGCTCGGAATGAGTGCACCGGTACATATGTAAACGTACTGTTGTGCCTTGACAACTGGTGAATGTTCGTATCCATCCAACACATCTTCTGTCATGCTCCAATGGTGAAACATGCCAAATCATGACATGGGGTGGAACCTTACTACTACCTTACTACCTTACTACTTAGGCCCTTGTCTATATCAACCAACAAGTCAGCCGTATCCCCAGCAGTACCCATCCAACTAGAAAGACTAGTTTACACTGTACATGTATGCTAGAGTCGGCTGCTGCAGTAGCCCACCACTACCTCTCCAAAGCAGTTGCAACACCACCCACTAGCAGTAGATAGCATTACGGCTGTAGCCACCAGTGGTTTATCAAGACTGGCGGCCCCTTAATGGCGGCCCCTTGTTGGCGGCCCCTTATTGGCGGCCCCTTGTTGGCGGCCGCTTATTGGCAGCCCCTTGTTGAAAGCCCCTTAAAGACGACCCCTTATTGGAGGCTCCTTATTGGCGGCCCCTTAATGGCGGCCCCTTATTGGCGGTCGCTTAATGACGGCCCCTTATCGGCGGCTCCTTAATGGCGGGCCCTTGTTGGCGGCCTCTTATTGGCGGCCCCTTATGGGAGGCTCCTTATTAGCGGTCCCTTATCGGCGGCCCCTTGTTGGCGGCCGCTTATTGGCAGCCCCTTATTGACGGCCCCTAAAAGGCGGCCCCTTATTGACGGCCCCTTATTTGCGGCCCCTTATTGGCGGCCGCTTAATGACGGCCCCTTATCGGCGGCTCCTTAATGGCGGGCCCTCAAGAGTATAGTCCCGTTGTTTTACTGTCCTGCGCCTGCGCCTGCGTTTGTGACCAAGAACGGCACGTGGCAGCCTCTTATTGGCGGCCCCTTCTGGGAGGGCCCATAATCAGCTGCATTCTGAGCTGTGCCTACAGAGTATTATGGCGAGGAGCCCTCACCACCAACTTGTGTTAAGGAATGCTAACTATCGTAACTAATCCCGTTTTCGTGTCGTTCAATACCGGGATTGGCACAGATGCTTTGCATGCATGACAAATGCTGTCCCGTTGACGCGCTGCATAGGCTTACACACACAGTGCCAGTGTTAACGGAGGGACAGGGTATGAGCACGGTGGGAGATTACATAAGTTTGCCCTTGTGCGGCATTGATGCATAAATGCCGAAGGGCACGTCTCGAAATAAATAAGGCTGTCGAGCACACGAAGCATACATGGTTTGCAACACACGCCACTCCATGCGCAATGACGTAGCAAAAATAGTGCACTTGATCCGACAAAATTCAACGTTTGCCGGAGCTCACACTCTCAAAAAATGTTGATATGGTGAGGCGAAGGGCTGAGGGGTATATATACAACAATACCCACGATACAAGCCATACAGCATACAAGCCCCAAACGAAGAAAACTTCACCACATCACTGCGAGGTACGAGTCGAAAGTAAACACGTGGTAATCCGCCTACGACGACCCGTGGGTCATCCAGGATCCTTTTCCTGGCCCAAGGTCAACACAAACCCAATCGAGCTTCCTGATGCTGGATGGACAACTTCAACGGAAACCCTTTAGACGAGCGCCATCTTCCTCAAAGCTTTTCTAGGCAACGGAGCGCTTGGCCACGGGCTGCCAGTCCCGCGCGCTCTTGGGGCGCTGCACCAGGAAGCTCATGCACTGCACTTGCTTGATGTTGTCGAAGGCCACCAGGCGCACGTAGGCGTCGGGGAAGGCCTTGGTGCAGGCAACAACCTCACGCAGCACCTGCATGGGGTCGCGGCATCCGAACATGGGTAGCTTCCACATCGTCCAGTAGCGGTTGTCGTAGTACAGCTGCGGGGAGGGAATGGGGGAGGAGATGGGGGTGTAAGAAAGCATGCGGATTGGGTGGAAGAAGATTAGGAACAGTAGCCCAGCATGGAATTGATGCGACAGGACACATCCGCATGACGTTGCAAGGAGCCCAGCCCGCCTCAAATCCGTGGCAACTACCCCTGCGAGCGAGCCCAGCCAGACCCAGCTGACCCAGACCATCGCCCCCACTTACGCAGGACACGGGGCCGAAGCGCACGGTGGACTCGTTGGACACGTAGGCCTTCTCAGCCTCAGAGAACTCCAGGCAGGGTGTCCAGCCTGTGGGAAGCAAGCAAGGCAGGAAGATGTCTCAGTTATACCGGTAAGCGGCTCCCTGCTGCTCCCTCGCTGACATGACACACGGAGTTTGTAGCTCGTGTGTCTAACCCGAAGCAACATTTTGACCCTCTAGTAGCAATGTATATCTTACCGTTTGCGACGATGTAGTCCACCTGAGCGGCGATCTGCTCATCGGTCAGGGGTGGCAGGTAAGAGAAGGTCTCGAACATCCTGCGGGCAATCACAGAATACAAATTCAGTAAATTAGCCCTGGATTGCGCGGACACCAGCAAGGCACGAGGTGAAGCAGTGCGACGGTTGCAGGCAAGCAAATGTGTAGTAGGGTCAACGACTTCGAATCCTCGGCTTACTTGTTGTTCACAGGGGTCCAGACCATCATCTTGTTTGCCTGGACAGGGCTGGCCACTGGAGTGGCCTTAACGGCAGGCTTCAGAGCAGCGCATGGGCGCACACTGTTGCGCTGAGGGCGCGCCACAACGGCAGCGACGGAGGACTTGGCAATAACGGCAGCCATTGTTTCGGATGGTAAGTGATAAGCTCTGTATAGCTCACCTGGGCTACCTATAACCTCTGCAAACGTGGCTTAAATGACTAAGGAAAAGCATGTACGACGGATAGGGTACGGATGTCCCTTATCCGGTTCCAGTTGCCTTACGAAGTCGCCTAGGCTCCCCGTAATTTTTGCCTTTAGGAGATAGCTCGATGTGTATGCTGACGAAGGCCATTGTCTGTGCTGCTCTGGATCTCACAGCCTTGCCCATGAACTCCTGCTTGCAGAGGTAACTTAACCGGCGTAGGGCATTTCCCCATTTTAACGCTACGGTAATATGCATTGTTGCGTACAAAGGCAATAAGTTAGGCCGAACGAGGGCGACGTAGGTAAGAATGCACAAGCCTTTCGGAACCTCGCTTGCCTTGGCAATAGGTACCGCTATGCACCCGATGGGTGCTTAACGTGTAGAAAGATTTCTATAAAATATTTCTTGGGTGGGACCGGGACGTCCTTCGTTCCCTAAATGACTGCATGCTTGCGCCTCACCAGTGGCTCACAACGAATGCCGCAAACGCTAACTCGTTTTGCTGTCGTAATAAAGTCGTGTTTAACCTGCTTGACGGCTTCTTGTATATTGCGTATGCACCGCAGCCCTGCAAGGTTTGTCTTGGGCTTGCGGATGGCCGTGCTGTGGGCGATGCATGACTTCGTTACTGAAACGACAAAGCTTCATGTCAGAAACACCACAAAGATGCAATGTTGCCTAATTTACTTGTTGAGTACTTTACTACCGGTACCGTATCTAGGTTTCGAGCACGCATGGCATGTAGGGCGGCTATGCACAACACTGTACGTGCTGCACAGCGACAGTTCCGCTATATGACACGGCATGTCCTTGGTGACACCCCCCCTCTGCCGTACACATGCGCTGGCTGCACTACGGTTAGCGCTTGCTCTTACTAGTTGGTCCTCCAGTGTAATGCTGATAACCGAAAGTGTGCAAAATGAATCTCAATGCGGTCGCTGGCAGGGACAAGCTGGGAGGTAGAGCCATACGCGGTGTGCTTACACAACTAAAGAGGGATTTTCTGCTCATATTGTGGCAAGCCACAACGCTCGAATGAATGGGGAAAAACGAATACGTACGAACTCACATTCACTCTCCCGATAGCTCACCAAAAAACATCCGTAACGTTCAAAAATGTTTACTTGTGAAGCACGCCCGCTCAAGAAGGTTTGCGACAGGCCGGAAACCCGATCATATGTACAACTAACGGTACAACGCACCCCCATGAATGGAGATCACAAGTGACACTTAAGCAGCAAGCTCCACGGGACCTGAGATTGCAAGCCCAACGTTGTGCTCCATGTCACTATTAAGGGCGAACACGTGAAGTCAAGGCTGCCAAAAGAACGCGAACATGGTAATCACGAGCGCCTCTTCAGCAAGCTGGCGACTCCCCTTGGCAGGCAAGCGTTCCCCAGCGCTACGCCTGTTTAGGCGACGGAGCGCTTGGCCACGGGCTGCCAGTCCTGGGCAGTCTTGGGGCGCTGCACCAGGAAGCTCATGCACTGCACTTGCTTCACGTTGTCGAAGGCCACCAGGCGCACGTAGGCGTCGGGGAAGGCCTTGGTGCAGGCAACAACCTCACGCAGCACCTGCATGGGGTCGCGGCATCCGAACATGGGCAGCTTCCACATCGTCCAGTAGCGGTTGTCGTAGTACAGCTGCGGGGAGGGGAACGGGAAGGCAGGATGTAAGAAACGGTCAAAGCAGAGGCAATGGCAATTCACAAGCGACGGTGAGGAGCATAATGGCAAGAGGCAGTCATAATCTCATGAAAATTTCAAGTAGTTGTATCACTGCTTTTAATAACCATGGTGTGAATCCCCAACGACCCCACTTACGCAAGAGACGTTGCCGAAGCGCACGGTGGACTCGTTGGACACGTAAGCCTTGCCAGCCTCAGAGAACTCCAGGCAGGGAATCCAGCCTGTAAACATAGAGAGTCTAAAGTTGTTAATGCGAAACAATGCGACACGCTAGCCCTTGGCAAACTGCCGTAAAGATGAAGTATAGGTTGCATTTATCGAGATCGCTATGTTGTCGATTTAACAGCTAGGCGCTGGTCTCCATTAACGTACAGAATTTAGCAAAGATGGTCAGCGTGCAATAGCGTACCGTTGGCGACGATGTAGTCGACCTGGGCAGCGATCTGCTCATCGGTCAGGGGCGGCAGGTAGGAGAAGGTCTCGAACATCCTGCATAAGCGCATAGCGAGAAGCATATTTAGGAAGCGCCAGAGAGCGCGCAGAGCGCTTGCGCCGTGCTGTTAAGCAGTTTCCCATGACGCGAAGACTGCAAGCCAACAGGCGAAAGGTCGTGCTTCTTTTACAACAGCTTACTTGTTGTTCACAGGGGTCCAGACCATCATCTTGTTGACCTGAGCCGGGGCGGCCACAGGGGCGGCCTTGACGGCAGGCTTCAGGGCAGCAATGGGGCGGACGCTGCCGCGCTGGGCAGGGCGCGCCACAGCGGCAGCGACGGAGGACTTGGCAATAACGGCGGCCATTGTGAACTTTGTTTAGTGTCGGAAGTGATGTTTAGACAATTGTAAAGAGGTTGTTTGCTGCTTATATGGCTCATAAGCTCCGTACGACGGATAGCGTACGGAAAAGCTAATCCAGTAGGGCGTCACCGTGTAAGGGTGTTGCCTTCCATAAGCTTGACTTATAAGTATTATAATTCACTGCAGCAACGTTCTACAGATCTGGGCTCATTCCTTTATCCATGCAAGCTTGCATCTTAGCTCAACAACCTCCAGCGTAGGGGATTGTACATAATTAATTCATGCAGAATGAGCTGTACTAGTTTGCGCTGCTATCGGGGCGAGCCAATGATACGAGGGCACCCTGTCCTCGCAGACCACATGCACAACGACTTTTCACCGTTCTCATTGTCCCACGACTTAGGCTTCGACTTTCCAAAAGCGAACAATATGTCTTCGTTATAAAAGGAATGCCAATTCACCGCTTCGTTGCCCGGGAATTGTTCGCCTATTTGCTGGCATTCTAGGGGATGTTGTGCGATGTTGTCCGTCATTTACTGCACTTGTATGAAATCACCATTCATTGATTATAAATCAATCCTGTACATTGTACATTTCTTCCTGTAGAAACCGCCTCCTGCTTTGCAAACAGTACCTGAGTAGCGTGTTTCAACTTTATGTCCGTAGTATGTCCGTAATGTCCGTAATAAACCCGTCAAATAGCAGCTGCCGTGCTGTTAACAACGTGGCTGTTTCATGATGATGCCCTAAGGCGCACAAGACCGCTTCCCCACACGTTACAAGAAGGGCGTCCCCTTCTGCTCCTGCTAGACGGAGCGCTTGGCCACAGGCTGCCAGTCCCGCGCGCTCTTGGGGCGCTGCACCAGGAAGCCCATGCATTGCACTTGCTTGATGTTGTCGAAGGCCACAAGGCGCACGTAGGCGTCGGGGAAGGCCTTAGTGCAGGCGACAATCTCACGCAGCACCTGCATGGGGTCGCGGCATCCGAACATGGGCAGCTTCCACATCGTCCAGTAGCGGTTGTCGTAGTACAGCTGCGGGGAGGGCAACGAGGGAAGGCGGGAGGAGGTGAGTGTAAGAAGGCAGGCGGATTGGGTGTAAGACGATTCAGAACAGTTGCCAGGCATGGCACTGATGCGACAGGCCACATCCGCATTACTTTGTAAGCAGCCCAGCCGGCCAGCCCGGCCTCTTCCCCTTGACAACCCCCTGCGAGCGAGCACCGGTCCCAGTCCCAGCCAGACCCAGCTGACCCAGACCATCGCCCCCACTTACGCATGACACGGGGCCGAAGCGCACGGTGGACTCGTTGGACACGTAGGCCTTCTCAGCCTCAGCGAACTCCAGGCAGGGAATCCAGCCTGTGGGAAGTCGGCAAGGCAGGAAGACTTTGCACGTCTGAGCGAGGCTGACAAGAGGACCCGAGTAACCGGTTTCACGCCATACAGAGTGGTCGATACAGTTCGGGGGAGCTGAGTACTTCGAGTACCTGAAGGGCGATTGAAGATGCCCACAGCCCTTTCACATCATTGCCTTGTATTTCGCGCAGCTATAACGACAGTGTCCTATTCTTCACAACTGCGAGCAGTTTGACATGGCAACCCTGAGTTGCAACACCCTGCCTACCGTTGGCGACAATGTAGTCCACCTGTGCAGCAATTTGCTCATCGGTCAGAGGTGGCAGGTAAGAGAAGGTCTCGAACATCCTGCAATTTGACAGTCAGAGGAGGTTGTGATATAGAACGCGCAAGCGGTGAACAAGCATTGACTAGCCAGCGAGCGACGGTTGGCATCCAAACTACTGTGACAAAGCTCGCTTACTTGTTGTTCACGGGGGTCCACACCATCATCTTGTTGGCCTGAACCGGGGCAGCCGTAGAGGCCGCCTTGACAGCAGGCTTCAGCACGGCACATGTGCGTACACTGCCGCGCTGAGGGCGCGCAACAGCGGCGCCCACGGAGGACTTCGCAATTACGGCTGCCATTCTGATGCGTGGACTTCTTACGTCTTTTGAGTAAAAAGTGCGTAAACTTGCCTCGCGTCGCCTGAAATCCTAACGCTCGCAAGATAGCCGTCCCTGGAGCGGAGCCCTATCCGATCCTCGATCGTCCATTCTCGCCTTCGCAGATAGACGTAAGCGGGAAGCTAAGTTTTGTCTAGGTTACGTCGTAGTCTACACATGCATAAGTGTAGAAGGCGCACAATTCATAATCATATTCAACCGCTGTCGCATTGCCGTTCTATGCACGTCCTCAGCTTCTTTGCGCAGCAAAGCCGCTAGCGCTTGCAAAAGCTTAATACGATGTCTGCGTTTTCAACTTCTGGTATAAGCAAGCCTTGAACACCTGCTGGAGTTGGGCATTGCCCGCAACCCATTTTTGGGAAAGGACCTTATCGCTAGATTCAGACGGTCCGTTTACATCCTTGTGTCTTGCTGATAATATATTGGGCAGCTGCGATGCTGCAATCTAGGCCGTCACCGCTAATGCATCCATTAGCCATCGCTTCTGTAAAGAGCCCACAGGTGTATACACCCTGCTCAAGCCCCTACTAGACTGCTACCCAAGCGCCGTATCGTTGGCACTAATGGGAGCATTGCACTATTTATCTGCCTAGTATACACCCTTGTCGAGCTACAGGACACTTCTTCAGGTATCACATGACGCCCATTAACTTGCCAGATGCGAGAACGAAACAAACTACTAAATGTGCTGCTACACGAATTTTAGGCACGGCAGAACCGTGAGCAACTCCGGGCACCCAACGGCCTTCTTGACGATAACTTCTCTACCCTCTCACCCCCAACTTCACGAATATGAAGATACTGCAGGAATGCAGTTCCCGCACAACGCACCCCGGCCACAAATCACAGCCTCCAAGCCAACTTCTCACGCCAGCCCGAATGTGGATTCCAGAGTTAGCAGCGAATCCAGAAGCGTCAGGCTAGCACTATTAGCAAAAGACGACAATTAAGTAAATGATGCGCCAGTTAGCTCTGTACATGTGAAAGCAATGGGCCAAAGTCCCATGGAGAAAACGCTGCAGGCCTCTCAAAGCCCATGCCCGCAACACAACCCACCACATCTACGTACCGCGCTTGGCCGCAGCGCGACAAGGTAAGGCCGACGAGGCTCCGCCACGGCCCGAAACTCAATCGGCAAAAAGGTCCTCACCCCCAGACACTATAGCCCGCCTTCCTTCCCTTTCGAACAACCAACGCTTACGCCCCTTGTGTCAAGACTACCGGCAGCTACTCCACCCGTGTCACACCCGTGCCGGGAATGTCGTGCCAAAGCCTCAAAGGTGTTGTACAGCGCACTTTGGCATCGCACGCGCCCCTTTCCACCGCCAACAGGAACAGGGTATGTGCGCCATTAAAGGTACCGCCGGTACAAAACAATCATTCTCGTCCATGTGTTGGAAGGGCCCTCCCACGCACGCAGTGCACATCGCCAATGTCCCGACACGCACCACGCCGTGCAGCTGCGAACCCACACGCCGACATGAAAAACGCACTCCCATACATGCACTGCGCTCTACAATTGTTCGTGACCATTACTAGCTTGTGAACGGCAGGAGCTCCCCCCAATTCCGCGCATCCTCCCACCGGTACATCCCCCCAGAAAAACAACTAGGGGATCATAAACCCTCCGGTCAATACCTGAAGGAGCCATTGCAACAGGGGCTCCCTCAAGGTTACCCTCTCTCGCGGAACACGCAAGGTCCGTCAAGGGTCCAGATACGTTCGTCGACGCGGTGCCGTCATTCCCAGTCGCTCCATCCCGGGAAATTGCACCCCACACGGCTAGCCCAGTGGGTATTGCGTGCCGTGTCGTCCATGGCAGGACTTATTCTTGTAGGTTACCAACGCATACAACACGCTCTCCAGCGGGACAAACCGAAGCCGTAGCACTCTCAAAAGGACACCCGCTCTCCTCCCCTTCCGACGTCTTGACCGCTCCTTGCAAAAACAATTCCAACGGGTTGGCTCGGGCAGCAAAATGTGACTGCGCTGCTACCGCTGGCCTTCCAACGTAACAAGATTGCTCCAACAAACCCCTCCAATCGCACCCTGTCAACGCCAGCGTGTCAGATGTCGGGACTATCGCCGACGTGACCGACGGGGCAGGCCCCTCACTCTTGCCTCCCCGTCCCATGAAGCGGACCATTTCAGAGCCTCCATGCGTGCTCCGACTGCCTCCCCGACTGCCTCCCCCTCAAAGTGTGCGGCGCACATCAAACACCACCACCACCCTTGTAGGCGTTACGACTCACCTAGACATGCTCTTCCGCCACAAGCGCCCACGCCATGATCAAGTACACAACCCCTTCCCGACTGCTCGTACGCAACCACACACCCGCCGCAAGCCCTGCGCAAATCCACCTCGCCTGACCAGTGACCACCAGCTCTTAACCTGCAACCCTCCCTCCCCCTCCCACCTCCTCGCCGCATGCACCCTTCCTGCTCCGCCGCTCACCACCCAACCCAGCGTGCGCAGGGTATCTTCCTGACTTACTTCCAATCCCATGCAACCTAATCCTCCAGCACAGAGGATATCTCCCGCAGGTCCAAACCCAGCCCCGACCCGTCTGCCGGCTGCGCGCTGGCGGCTGACAGGATCTGAGCCCACACGTCCTCAGAAAAGTCCGCATCACTCGGCAGCGGCAGCCCCAGCTCCCCAGACGCCATGGAGCGCAGGCTGGTCATCAAATCCATGGCTTCGTCCTCATCGCCATCGGGGCTAGACACCGTGGGGTTGTCGTTCACGGGCAGCGGCAGCGGCGACGGCGGCGTGAGGAGGTCCGTGGCGCCTGCTGACGCATGCGGCATGACGCCGCCGTTGGATAGGGCTGCCAGGGAGGAGAGGGCGGTCATGGAACCGATGGCGGGTAGGCCCGAGGGGGCGGGCATGCCGGCGGTCATGGACTGCGTGGGAGGCGCCATGGTGGCTGTACGGATGGGAATCATGGTGTGCAGGTGCGGGCTGGCGGCGGCGGCGGTGGAGACGCATGCAGGGGGAGCGCCGCCGGCGGAGGGAGCAGACATGGCCGTGACGACTGTGGGTGTGGGCACGAAGGTTGCTCCGGTGGGAACCGCGGCGCAGGGGAGGGCTGTGGAGCACACCTCGCCGCCGTTGGTGCAGAGCTGCGGGCAGTGGAGGGATGGGGAGAGGGAACAGCGAGTTAGGGCGAGGAAACTTCTTTGCACAAGGGTGAAGGTGACAGACATTGCAGGAAGGCTACGGTGCGCTAACCCGCGGCGCTTTCAGGTTTGCACCGGCTGGCCCCAGCTAGTCAACAAACCAGCATTAACCCTGCAGGGCCCCAAACCTGCATGCCTGTCTGTCAACAACCAACCCAACCTCCTTCCTCCCTCCTCTCCAGCCCCGCTGTGGACCCCAGTGGTGTTAGGTGTGCAAGCCGGCGCGTGGGCGCGACTACATCTCCGCACCCATTGCCCCAGTCCTGCCCCTCCCACATGATTCCTCCTGTGTCCTTTCCTCACCGGCATGACCGGCATGCCGGCAGGCAGCACCCCAGGCTGCATGTGGGCGTGCGGCGGCACCAGCGGCTCCGCCTTGGGAATCAGCAGCGCCTCCGCACCGTCCACCAGCACACCGGGGTGGTGCCCTCCCTCCACCAGCGCAGCTCCGTCAACCAAGCCGCCGTCCAGAAGCCCAGTCGCGGGGCTGCCGGCGGTGCCACCACATGGCGTACCTGCCGCCGCCGCAGCAGCTTGTGCCGCTGACGGCGCTAGGCCAAGACCCAAATCGGGCGGGGCTTGGTAGGGCTGGATGGCGGTTGTGATGATGGGGATGCCATTGGCGGCGGCGAGGGCGCCTGGGGGGTGGGTGGAGGTTGAAGGCAAGGGGCCAGGCGGGGAAGGAGCTGGTTAGCAACCCAGCACAGTCTAGGCGCTGTGGGCCATGCCAGGAGCCCAGGACCACTTCTAGACGGGAAGACACGGCCTGTCATGGCAAGCTGCCACATGCGACCATGCCACCATTGGCTACCCAGTCTCACTCGGCGTAGCACATTACACAGCAGCTTCAGCCGAGCCCGCTCACCTGCGTGGGCGCTGTTGACGGGCGGCGTGGGCGCATTGGGCTGCTCCTGTATGGTGACTGTGGGGATGCTGTGGTTGGAAACACCCAGGCCCTGGGGGACAGGGATGGGAAGTGAGGGAGCAGCAGCGGCAGCTTAGCATGGCAGAGAAAGACCCCGAGCCATTACCCTAGAGCCACAGCCCTAGCGCATTCTCCCAACATGTGTGCCGCAACCCATGCTGCTTGTAGGCGTCGAACACCATGTCCCCTTTCTCAACGAACATCCTCCATACCCTCTCTCGCCAGTTCCTGCGTTCCCTTTCCCTCCCTACCTGGTTCCCAATCGCCAAACTGTTGAACGCCCCCGTCATGTCACCCGTCATGTCCTCAGCCGACGACAACAACGTGTGGAACGACCGCAACATCAGCTCGCTCAGCGCGTCATGCCCGCCGCCGCCGGCAGCACCGCTGCTGCTGCCGCCCACGCCTGCCATGCCCATGCTGCCCACACCTCCCGGGTGGTACTGCACCAGCTGCTGGTGCTGCTGCTGCTGCGCCGCAATGCCGCTGGCAGAGCCATTGGATGACGTGTCGTCACCGTTGACGCCGCCGCCGCCAATCACTGGCGAGCCGCCGCCGCCGCAACCGCCAACTGCCGCGCCGCCCGACGAGATGTTCTCCGCCATGTCAGCGTCAATGGCCTCCGTTATGCCGACGCCGCCGCAGCCAATGTCCACGTCCAGGGAGGAGTCCGCCCCGCGGGCGCGGCGCTTCTTGCGGCCCGCTGTGCCCACGGATGACGGGTAAGCGGCTGAGGGGACCAAGGCATGAAGCAGGTCGGGGTTCAACAACAAGCAAACTAGTTATGTGCATGTGCCATGGGAAAAGCAGCACAGGGGACACCGTACCATAGCTAGCCCCGTCCTATACATAATGCTGTTTTGCATAGCGTAACCCGCCGACCCATCAGGATTAACCTCTTCTAAGTAGGTCTAGCTAGGTTCGTCATGCGTGGTCTAGCAGCCTTACGTGCATTCGCCAGGCGCTGGACCCCGCCCGTCGCCACCGAGGACAGCATGCGCTGAAACATGGCGGGGTTCTTAAACGCCGCTGCAAACATGTTGATCATGGTCTGCTGCTTCGCCTCCGTTGACTCCAACCTCGCCTGCAGCTCCCGCATCTTCACATCCGTGTTCTGCTGCTGCTGCCGTAGCCGCACAAGCTCAACCATTAGCACGTTCTTGTCGCGTTTAAGGTTGTCGATTTCCTCCCGGAAGCCGCCGTACGCGCCGATCTCAATGGCTGGCGCGCCGGCGCCGCCTGCCGCGACAAGCGCGTTGCTGGGGATGGCGGGTGGAGCGCCGGCGCTGTGGGCTGGCCCTGCGGCAGCGGCGGCGGCGGCAGCGCCATGGTGGTTGGTGTGGTGGTTGTGATGCTGGTTGCCGGAGGGTTTGCGGCGGTGAATACCGCGCAGCTGCTCCTTCTTGCCCCTTACAAAGTGCTCGTTGGCAAACTCCCAGCGATCTGGGTCAACTTTCCGAAAGCCCTGTGACATCCGTGGGAAAGGGGGCATACATGGCGCCGAGGAGCGCAACATAGGGATGAAGACAAGGTCAAAAGCATTGTGGTGGACTGGGATTCATGGAAGCCCTGTGTACTGCAAGTGTGCCAGTTGCGAGCGCGCTTAATGACATGGCTGACAACCCTTTGCCCAGGAGGCTTCCCCAGGTGGAAGTAGCCTCAAACCCCTTGCCCCATACTGCAAGCGCCGAATTGCTTTGAAGTTCCCCCGCTAGCAAGGAGCATGTCCAATAAGCACCGTAGGCAAGGAAGTAGAAAGGGGCCGACTCACGTAGGTGTTGAGCTGGCGGACAAAACTGGAGAAGTTGTTATGCTTGAAGTGCTTGGGCAAAAGATCGCGCGCAAACTCAGGAGGCTTCCAAACGATGAAGCTGCAACAACACAGAGTGGAGTAATTGCAACCAAGTCAGCCATACAATGGAAAGGAATGACGCATGACGCAGAAAACGCTTTACATGGCGAAAAGCGTAACCTTGATACGCACTATGCCAGCGAGCAGGAACGTATTATCATGTACAATATGGCTTTGCCCCAGGTCGCACCTGCAGCCATCGGCTCCCCACGAAACTATGTTGTCTGTCGCCGGGTCATCAACGAGGTCATACCTGCACCCGTAATATGATTAAACTTTATAAATGCTTATGCTGAAGCGCTCGACCCAACGCCAGCAGCGGCAAAGCCTCCCTGACAAAGTCGTGGTCCCTCGGGCTTACTACCAATCCAGGACTCGGCGCAACTTACGTCTTAATCAGAAACGGAGGGGGCTGGCTAGCGGGATTGGTCATGGCTCCTTTCACCTTCCCGACCGCCAACCCTGAGGCCTAATTATAGGAGTTGGATATGGAGCACGCCTATGTGCTACGCCACTATGCCAGTAACAGCTTAGATAGTTGCCGGTCAGTTCAGACAACTTGTCATGGGGGTCTGTGCAACCCCCTAGACACGGACAGCTTTGGGGCTAATTCATCTTTTACAACAGCACACGGCACCGGATGCTGCAGCGCCAGTGTCTATAGTGCAGAAGAAGTCTGTTGATAGGGCTCACGACTTTGCTGGCCAACGGATGAGGCGGAAATTTCTAGAGGCCGTACACTTGGACGATCAACCACATCCTTGCAAAATGCCTCCTGTTTACGCTTCTTACACGCTGTTTGGTCTTCTGTTACACACTTTTCCGGAGCGAAACTAGTTACGACATGCTACAACAGATATGCTCGTGTTTCACAGACTGTGCCGAGGAACCACCTCCTGCAGCGATTGCTTTTCTCGCCAAGCACTGATAAGCACGTGCCAAAGCCGCATGCGACTAGATTGAGTCTGCAAACTGCAATCCCGCCTGCAGTACCGCCTGCCTGGAGGACAATGAACCGCGGGTCCTAGCCTAAGAGCACCAGAATGGGCACGCTGCAGCTTCAGCTGAACCCGCTGCAACGGGACAGCACGGCGTAGGAACGGCTGCCGGAAGCCACCTGCTGCTGTTTGTAAACCGTGCCAAACAAGGCGAGTCGAGGAAGGCATTTCCTCTGTGCGCGCCTCTCCCCTAGGATAGGTCCAGGCGGGCGGCTGCATCACTGCACGATGAGGACGTTGTTGGTTTCACCCTGGGGGGCCGAGGCGAGCGAGGACAGGACAGGACAGGTGGTGCAACCATGCGAGGCGGAGGAGCAGGGGATCAAAGCAGTGGCCCAACCAGATGACACCGCAGGACAGGGGAGGCAGTGGAGGGCAACGGAGGGCAGCGGCGCATAGCGGCAGCGAGCACGGCTGTGAAGGGGGCTCACCAGCTCATTCTGCTCCATGGGCCACTCCGCCGCCAGCCGCCACTGCCCATCCACCAGGAACTTGACGGCGTAGCGCCCCGGCAGCAGCGCAACGCGACCCACGAACCGCCGTAACACGCCGTCGGAAGCCTCCGCCTGCGCTTGCAATTGCGCCTGCGCATTTGAAAGGGCGCCCTCCGCCGCCTTGACCGTCGTGACCGCACCGTTCGTGGCCGCATGCCCCGTGCGGGCGTCAGGCTGGGTGCTTGGCGGCGAGGTGGCCTTGTTACTACTAGGGCTGGCAGCAGCAGTGGTGGTGGTGGTGGTGGCGGTGGTGGCCGTAGGAGGGGCGCCTGCGGGGGCACTGGTGGTGGTGGTGGTGTGGTTGCGGCTTGGGTCGAGTGTGGCGGTGGAGGTGGATGGGGAGGAGTGGAGCTGGGATGCGGAGGCTGAGGAGGAGGAGGAGGGCGGAAGTGGTGGTAACGCAGTTGCCGGCGACGAAGAGGCGGCGGATGAGAAGGGTGACGGAGGTGGTGGCGGTGAGGAGGAGGAGGAGGAAGAGGAGGTGGTGGTGGTGGTGGGATTATTACGTGAGGGCTGTTGCTGCTGTGGTGATGGTGGTGGTGCTGATGGTACCGTTCCTACCGCCACTGCCGCTGCTGCCGCTGCCGGCATGGAGCTGGGTGGTGGTGCGGATGCTGGCGAGGAACCGGAGCCGGAGAGGGCGTGGGAGTAGAATGCTGGGGCCGCAGGGGCGGAGGCCGCAGACAAGGAGGCAGAGGCGGGGGCAGCTCCGGCGGAGGAGTCCTCCGCGCTCAGCGAACAGCCGCGCGTCCAGCCGTCAAAGTCGCCCATGAGCCGTACCTCGCTGGCAGGTCCCACCCAGGTGAGCGGCACCAGCTGGGGCACTCGGCGGGAGAAGGAGGCGCGGTGGGACTGGGGGATGGTCGGAGGGAGGGGAGGGGGGCGGGGAGAGGGGGATAGAGGGCATGAGGGGATGAGGGTGGAGAGAGGGAGAGGATGAGAGGGAGACGGAGGGAAGAAAAAGCCACCATGCTGTAACGGGGACGAAGAGGGCTAGGGAGGTGCTTGAGGTAGGGGTAAGTGACAAGGGTCGGGAGGCATGCAACCCACGTGCCTAACTACCCAACCCCGACCCCCCTACCCAAGGTGAAGGCTCGTTGCACAGTTAATCCGTTTCTTCCTCTTTCCCCCCCCCCGCCTGCCGTCTCCCACCCCCATTGCTTTGCCCTAACCGGTGGTTTCCTATGGTATGGTATGGTCGTTGACCCACCTGCAGTGCCGCCTCCGCCCTAGCCAGCCGCTCCCCCAGCCGCTCCAGCCGCGCCGCCGCATCTCCCGGATCCGCACCGAAGCGGAAGGCGGCTGCGGCGGACTCCGCGAGCCGAGTGGTGGAACCCAGCTCACGGAATAACTGGGGGCCGGGGAGGGAGGGTTTCGCACGCTTCTGTTTAGCGTTCACATGCAATCCTGACGTGCCCTGAAACTGCATGGCCAGCATGGGGCATCGAGTTTTGTATCGCTTGTCTCGCTATGCATGGCCTTCCATGCATGTCGTCAGGCATGCATGCATGTACCTCCTTACCTTGAGCAGGAAGGCTGCAGCCAGGCGCAGGTCCTCATCCGCCGCCTCCAGCCGCCGCTCCAAGTGGGCCGCGTGCTGGGGGCGGGGAGGAGGAAGGAAGGGCGAGGGGAGGGGGGAATAACTGAGAAGTACAGCAATTGGAGTCCCAATAACATATCGAGACGTATGCAGTGAGCGCATACGGAGACACGAGGCGGGGGAAGGAAGGGCGAGGAGGAGCGGAGGGTAAGGGTGGAGGGAGGGGGAAGGATCTCCCAACTAGGTTTTTCCCAATTAAGTCCAGAAGCAACGCTCCGCGCATGCGTGCAGCAAATCGCAGTTGCGAGTAGAAGGTGAGTGAGCCGTTTCCACCTACCGCATTGGCTTCTGATAGCTTGGCGCTCAGGCGCTTTTGGGATTCCACGGCGGAATGGTAGAGCTGCAGGGAGGAAGAGGTGGGTGAACGTGATGGGAAGTTGTTGGATAAGGAAGGCAGGTGGGTCGCCGGTAAGTGGTGAAGGGTAAAGGGAGCCGGCAACGGGAATGGGCGTGGCGTATAGGGTATCGAGGGAGCTGATCGGAGTTGACAACTTGGCCGCAACTCTTAACAGCCTGTTTTTAGAATCGCACGCGGAAATAGAATGTTCCCACACGTCTTGTACCCGATGCGCGCACCCGGACATCGACGATGCCCGGCGCCCCGCTTTTATACGGATTGCTTGCATCCTGTTGAAGCGCCTCGAGGCGCCGTTCCTTGGCTCTGTTTATAAGAGCGAGCTTATCCTTAGCCTACAAGTAGGAAGCGCGCAGGGGTACAGTAAATGTACGCGGTCTTTGGAGATGGATGGGCACTCTACATACCGGCAGCGTGTTCCTTAAAGTAGAAGACTCGCCAGATGTCAGCGATCCTATAGAATTTACTGGCTGGGCGTGGCATAGTGACACCTGCCACACCATATTTGTTACCAGCAAGTGATTTGGGTTGGGTCGGTTAGGACGCAAGATACGGGAAGCGCGTTTCTTGCAGTAAAACAAGCGCGATCTCACATGTGCTGCTTGTCTTCGAGAAGGGGCATTGAATCTGCAACAATGAGCTTCTGCGCATGACCGGTGGGCAAGCCTAAACGCTTGCATGGCTTAACGGTTGCAAACACAGCGTTTCGCAATTGCGCCGATATGATGCTAGTACTAGTATGCACGGGTAAACATTTGCTGCGGTGAAGGCGCACCGGATGGCCGTCTAAAGTAACGTTGTAAATAGTACGGCGTTCTTGAGTTAGCGCGGATGCTTCTGGCATGTCCCAGCGTCATGCCGACATCCAAACTTTCTGCAGTCCGTCACACGTGTTGTTTCCTATACTATGATGTTAGGATAAACGTGACAGCTTTTCCGCTCCGACGCCGTTTTCCTCCGCCTTTTTGTCCTAATCGACAGTCCGTCTCGGCATACATTCACCGCTATGCTTTTAAACCGTCAGAGATGTGGCCTTCGGGCCCAGCGCAGCAGCACACGGCTCCATCAGCAGCCGCTAGCGACAGCCGCTGTCACACCGTGCGGAAGCATTTATCCTAGCTGCTCGCAAGCGCTCCCAAAGCTTTCTCTTGCAAACTGCGTTGGCGTAAACCGGCGCAGCTGCGTAACAGCGCGTGCAGCTCCAGCAAATGGCAGGATTGACGTCGTCGGCCTTGGTAACCTTTGCGTTGGTAAGCCGGAGTCATGCTATCCTGAGTGCTTCGAATTTAAATATTAGCGCCAGCGGGGTACGGTTGAAAGGCTTGGGTTAGAACCTAGGACCCGGCTTCGGAGCATCACGGCGGCAGAGCCCTTGCGGAACGCAGCCTCTATCTCGCACAGTTGCATCCTTAACCTCTGCTAGCGCTCTAAATCCGAATACATATCTTGTAACCCGCCTCTCCCGCCCTGGAACATGCACTCGTCCTCACTACTCTTAAAGACGCCGTACTACCCCTGGAGGAGCTGCCGCCTCCCGACTTGGAAGTACGGCGGGAATTGCTGGACCGCTTAACCGCCTCTCCTCCCGACCCATCCTCCTGGGAGGTAAGGCGTCATCTTTGTCTGAGAGCCGCCTGCCATTCCCACCCTATGACACTTATAATCGTATGATGTCAACTCTAGATGGCATGGAGTGAGGAGAACCGCGCCTTGACACGAATCGCGGACAGTGAAGCCCGGTTGCCCGCGCGGGTTGTTGCCGGCCCTCTTACCTTCACCTGCCTCACGCACTCGCTGCCTTCATGGGAGATATCCTCACTCCCCACTGACGCAGATATCTACGCACCTTACAGCACCGTGTTGCTACTGTGTGTTGCTACTGTTGCTTATGTCCGCATGCTGCTGTCCTCTCGCCTTACCTTACCACCACGTGTAATGTCATGTTACTGCGGCCGGCCGGCAGGTTGGCGGCAACTGCAACTTCATGGTTGCGGCTGCGCGGCTGGGGCTGCGAGTGGCGAGTGTGGGGCACATCGGGGGAGATGTGTACGGCAGGTTCATGGACCAGATCTTGCGGGTGAGTCCCGGAAGCTAGTGGGGGAGGCGCATGGTGAGGACGGAAGAGGAACCCAGAGGCATTGTAACGGATGGGGGAGGTGGCGAAGCGGCTTCAGGGACCATGGAAGGAAGAGTGGGATGTGGGCTGATACCAGGAGCATCAGTGTAGCAGCGCGAAAAGGCTTACTCGAAATGGCAGGAACCCCCCAGGTCTTGGATCTATTCGTGGGTATTCTGGGGCTGGGGCGGGTGTGCCCTGCTACAATCAGCGTCACGTGGTTTGTCCTTTTTCCGGTATCACCTAAGCGCGTGCATGACACCGTGCCCTCAATCAACAACGCCCTCGTCCCCACATCAAGTTCCTTTCTGACCCCCACCCTTCTGACGTCCCTCAGGAGGAGGGCATTCAGGAGACTACCCGCATCGCACCCACCTCCTCCTCCTCCTGTTCCGCACCCCAACAACAACAACAGCCATGCAACAACCACCAAACCCCAGCTGCTGCTGCTGAACCTAAGCGCTGCTGCTGCAGCAGCAATGCAACAACCACAACCACCGCTTCAACCAGCACCTGTAACGGCACCCAAAGCAGCAGCAATGGCAGCGGCCACACTAGCAGCAGCCATGCAACCCCGCAAGCTCCACCACCACCAGCAGCAGTGGTGGTGGGCGGGGGCGGTCTGGACTCCACCCTCATTTGTTTCGTGCTGGTGGACCACGCGTCACGACACGCCTTCTGCAGCCGCTACGACTTCGGTCCCTGGCCGCTGCTGGAGGGCATACAGGGGCTGCCGGAGCAGGCGGCGCAGGTGGGGGCGGGGAAAAAAACGAAAGTCCAATGTGTGGTGTGATAATGGTACAAATTGCTGACAAGCCCTGTTGGAAACAACCGTGAGTCGAGCCGAAAAATGGTAGAAGAGACAACAGGGGCGATGAGCTACCATCAGATCTCCTTTTTTCCATTCCCGCTAGCCTTCCACTGCTACTCCCTCCCTCTTAGGTAGGCCCATTCTCCACCCTACCACCACCTTTCAACCATCTCCTGTGGCCCCATCCCGTCACCCCTCAACCCACCTGCCCACATGCTCCCAGCCAGGACCTTGTCATCTACAGGGCGCCGCTCTCATCACTCAACGCATGGCTGATTTGGCTACTCACTCATCCTTCCGCACTTATCCCGCCCCCAGGTCCTCCGCTCCTCCCGCGCCATCTTCACCAACGGCTTCATCTTCGACGAGCTGCCGCTGGAGGTGGTGCGGGCGGCCTGCGAGGACGCAATACGGCAGGGGGCGGCCATCTTCTTCGACCCAGGTGGGAGTCTGGGGGAGTGCGGGAGCGGGGGGTGCTGGGGCCCAGGGCCCATTCCTCCTTGGCGCCTGAAGCGGTGAAGCCCCCACCACTCCGCCCCCTAGCACAGGCTTCTTTGCTACCCTGAGCCTCCCACACACCTCGCCTCCCTCCCTCCCTCCCTCCCCCCCCCTGTCAGGCCCCCGCTGCCAGACCATGCTGGAGGGCCCCCGGCGGGCGGCGCTGGACCTGCTGCTGGACCTGAGTGCCGTGGTGCTCATGACGGAGGTGGGGGGGAGGGAGGGAACTGACGAACTGTGTGACGAGGCTTCACATTGGTGGAGGTGGCTCGCCCTGGTGCTGTTGACTTGGGTGACAGGGAGTTGTGGAGCAAACATGACTTCACGGTCCCGAACCCATCTTGAGCATGTCGCCCACCCGGCTTATCCCACCCGGTATGTCCCCCACCCTGCAGGAGGAGGCTCGTGTGGTGACGGGCTATGAGGACCCCGAGGCGGCTGCACGCTGGGTGCTGGCGCGGCCTGGCGCGAGGGCAGCCTGGGCGGTGGTCAAGATGGGGGCGCAGGGGGCGCTGCTGTGTGCCCGGCGGACAGGGGCGGCAGCGGCAGGGAGCAGCGGGCATGGGAGTGGGAATGGCAAGGGAGACGGTGTCACCACGACACGTGTGGGTGCTGTGAAGGTAAGTGGATGGGAGATGGGTGGGTGGGTTGGGTGCAGAGGAAGGAAGCGGAGAGACAGAAAGGGGAGCTGCGTCCTTTGGGAAAGTACCTAACCGCATGGGCAACTGTACCAATCGCGAGGTGCATGCATTCATGTCCATCGTGTGCAACGCCAACCGCCGACCCACCGACCAACCGCTGACCGTTAACCAACCACCAACGAATACGCTGCCGTCTTGCCGACCACAGGTTGATGTGGTTGACACCGTTGGTTGCGGCGACAGCTTCGCCGCGGCCATCGTAATGGGCTACATTAACGGCTGGCCAGCCGACGTAACGCTCGCACTCGCCAATGCGGTTGGCGGCGCAACCGCCATGGGTCGCGGCGCGGGCCGCAACGTGGCGCGACGGGAGACGGTGTTGCGGCTGCTGGAGGAGGGAGCGGCGGGCGGGGCAGCGGGCGGAGGGGCGGCGGGTGCGGCTCAGGCTCCTGCGTTCGTCCGCGCCCGGGACTTGCTCCTTTCACAGCAGGGAGCGCCTGCGGGACCAGAGCTGCAGCAACAGCAGCAGTTGAGTGCGGCAGCGTAGAACGCATGGAGGGGCAGGGAGCACTGTTGGTTAACTTGTTGGGACGGCGACAAGAGGTGGACCTTGCGGTCCTTGCGGCCCTCGTGAGCCCAGCAGTGGCTCCATCACTATACCGCACTTGGATTGGTCAAAGTGTTGGGCGAGTCTATGGTACAGGCTGCCGATGCGCACGGCCACCCACCTGGGGGATGAGCTGAGGAGGGGACTGGCTTCATGCATGGCTAGCGAGTGCGCTGGTTAGGACTGGCTGCTTATGTGTCAGGCTGCAAAAGGGCCAAGGCCCGTTGGCCCGCGGGTGTGCGGGTTGGCGTCGTTTAACAACTCTTTGACAGTGGCATCCAAGTCAAATGATGAGTAGATGAAGCGTGCCACCAATATTTCGCAGCTATGTAACGCAGAGGCCTTACAAGACACGGGTAATATGCCTTACGAGCAAACGGCCGTGTCAGACGCAAATGTACATGGTGTTCGCGATGACACGACACACATGGCTCGATGCAAGAGGATTGCAATGTACGCACACAGCTGTATCGATTCCCGCAGTCCTTAACTCAGGGTACGGACCTAAGGCGCCACGCGACTGCGCGGGAACTGTGAATGTCCGGGAAGATAGGTATCATTCATACCGTACAGGAACAAACAGAGGCGCTATTGGCTGCTGTTGAAACACGTCCTAACTCCAAACATGCAGCAGCAGCTCATCAGTTATAGCGCCTTTGCCCCCGCACGCATTGCATGCAGCTGAGGGTAGCCGCTGCGAAGGCTAAGAGCCACGACGTTCGTGCTGTACAGCAATCCTAGTTATGCTTTCGCAGTTGCTATTCCAGCATCCAACCTCCTGCGCCGTAAGGATGACACATACCATCGCTGCTTGCCGGTAATCAAGTAAGTTGGGCCCTACTGCAAAACCCACTGCGTAATCGCTGCCGCCCATGTACAAAAAGAACTACCATGCCATGTCATGCGCTAGCCTACAAGCCCAACATGCAACCACCACGACGCCACGGACCCATGCATGGCGCCCTTCAGTGCAGCAGCCTGCGAGCAGCCACCCGCTCCTCCTGCTGCTGCAGCTGCTGCTGCTGCTGCACGCGGATGACGTGCTCTCCCGCAGCGCCGCCCTTGCCGCCCTGGCGACTGCCCTGCCTACCGGCCGCATCCGCAAGCAGCGCGGCATCCGGGCCATCTGGGTCGTTCTTGCCGCGGATGCCCCACATGGAGCCGTGCAGCTTGCCGCTCTCCACATCCTTCTCCGTCTGCCACTCGGGCTCGGCGTACCTGGGTAACGGGGGGATGCATGGGGAAAGGCGAGTTGGTGAAGTGGGCTAGCAGGCTAGCAGCAGGGCACCTTGTGATGGGTTACTTCGATAAAGTCGCCCAAAACGTTCTACAGGCTTTCCTGAACAGCTTAACATATCGGTGGTGGTGCTCTACGTGCGGTGCGTAGCGCACTGGGCCCGCCTCCCAAGGCCTGCATCCAGCCGACCCACGGGTCTCACCAGCAGTCGCCGCTCTCAATCTGCAGCGCATTGACGCCCCTCTCCAGCCGGAAGAAACCCATTTCACCCCAGTAGGTACCCCTGGAGGGGAGGAGGAAGTCGGGGGAGGCAGCGTGTAAGAGTTGTGTAAGAAGCAAGGTGGGTGAACATGACGTTTTTCAACAACACGTTAAGAACAAGTGCAATGGGTGATAAGCCGATAACTCAACAACACCCTGCAAAGCGTGATGCAAGGCGTCTACGGCATGTATAAGGCTGATGTAGACACAGGGTGCAACAAAGCGGGACCGACTGCCGACATTCGTTTGCAGAATGCGCCAGACCACCACCCCTTGCACCCTCTTGTTTCCCCTTTTTACCCCATGCATGCACCCCGCCACCACTCACCAGCTGTTGCGCACGATCCAGTACTTGACGCCCTTCTCCTCACCCCAGCCAACGACCTCCACATCTGCATGGCCACACACAGGCGCCACCCAGCACGTCAGCAGCAGGAGGAGCAGCAGGAGGAGCGTTCAGGACCCTACCCGAACACAGAGGTGGTGTACAGAAGCCTTCTTACTTTACGCGCACGTAGGCGCAGGCAACATCAGGGCTGCCAAGCAAGGAAGAAGCAAGGACGAAGCAAGAAGCAACTCCCATCCCCTGCGTGGCACAGCCCTGATCCGCTTCCGCCTCCTCCACTCTGCTCCACTCCCCTTTTACCGATACTGCACTCCACAACCAACCCTCCCCCACGCTGCACCCCCCCTACCGTGGTCCAGCTCCGTGTCACCGGTGTTGTCCCGGTAGATGCCGCCCTTGTACTTCCACACAAAGTCGTCGGGGCAGGCGATGCCGCAGGTGATGGGGCCGCGCTGGGCGATCTCGGACATCATGGCCTGGGTGGCAGGCGGGGTGGGGGAAGGGGGCGTGCGTGTGTTTGGAGATCAAAAGGCTGGCCACAGGAAAGAAACGTACCGTGATTTGTACCGTGGGTTGTGCGCATGTGGCCAGCGGGAGGGCGGGCGGTGTGTGGTTAATGGGTCGGCAGGGCACAACGGTCGCCGCTCCTGCTGCCAACGCGCCCCCTGTTTTCTAACCCAGGCAACCCCCCCACACATACGCACCCCCCACACACATACACACACGCGCACCTCCTCCCCCTTGTCCAGGTTGCCCCATGCGTTCAGGTAGTACTTGATGGGCCGCTCGATGGGCCAGCAGGTGTCCACCCCGTTGACCGGCATGCAGTTCAGGCACTGCCCCTCCGTCGGGCAGTGCTTGTGGCCGGGGAACTTGGTGTGGTCGGTGGCGTTGTAGGTCATGCAGCCCTCGTCGGGGAGGCCGAATCTGGGCGGGTGGTCGAGCGGGTGGGTGGGTGTGGTGTGGTGTGGATTTGTGTGGTGTGATGTTGGGAGGAGGCCGTGAAGGGGGTGAGCGGGGGACCGTGAGCGGTGTGGTGAGGCCGCGAGGTGAAGGGCTAAAAACTGGGGTGTAGGATTCATCTGCTTGAGTGCAACGCGAAAGACAACTTGCCATTATCTGCCAACCCAGATCAGCTCCGCGCCTCTGCACTCCCCGACGCAGAATTGGCCTGACCCAAAACAATCCTACGTGCGGCTGGGCTAGGTCAACAATAGGAAAGGGACTCTCGCCGCAGTTGCCAACCCAGATGCCGGAATAACTTCAAACCCAGGCTCATGTGCCGTACGGAACCGTACGGCACTGCTTACTCGGTCATGTAGCCGAACACGTCCACCGTGTCACCGCCATCGCAGCCGCTGCCGTAGCCCTCGAAGGCAGCGCAGTTGAGCAGCGTCTGGCGCGACAGCATCACGTCGGGGCTCTTGCCCTTCTTCTTGATCTTGAGCCTAGCGACGTATGGCAGGGGAGAGAAGGGCAGGGAGGGAGGCAGAGGAGGGAAGGATAGAGTTGTCGGAGGTCGTGGCCATGAGGGAAAGGAAGAATGTGCTAGGGTTGCGGTGGTGGTTGGTTGCTGTGTGTTGAACAGCAAATTATTGCTGAGCTGGACAAAGCCTTGTTAAAGGCATAATGAAGCCTTTAGCCTAATGTTCGTGTTGGCCCAAGGGTTAGGTATGTCAGCAGGATGGTAGTCTACGAAAGCTCCGCTGCATGTCCCACGTGGTGCAGGAGTGGCGGGAATCCTGCCAATCGCGATAAGCAGACGTCGCTAGGCTATCATTGTCTTCTGATATGTAGTACTATGTGTGCTGGCTGACGTAAGAGCGCACCTGTCCTGAATCATGGAGAGCGAGCCGTGGACCCAGCAACCGCCACAGTAGTAAGGAATATGTTGATTCCAGTTGGATGTGCAGTAGTTGATGCCGTCCACGTCGCACCAGTTAAAATCCGCTGGGAGCTCGTGGCGTCGCTTGAGCGGGACGGGAACATGGTTGTGGTAGCGTCGCTCAAGTGGGATAGGCTTCTGGAGAGCTTTGTTACGGTATCCGTGGGCATCTACAGAAACCGCTGCCATCAACAGCGCTAGCACTGCCACGCCCGCCGTGAGGGCCGCCTGAGACTCAAGGCGCGCCATAGTTGCGCGCGATACACCACAGCTGTGTACCTGATCACGCGTTCAATTAGAGCTAAGGCAGTATATGGCAGGTAACAGCGTGGCGGGTAAAGCATGGATTATCAGGCCGTAAGGCCCCTAACGACCAGCAACGAACTAGCGAATCAAGCCCTAACAGGCAGCAGCAGATGTTCGAGCATGGCAGAGCTACGGAGATAACCTCCAGAAATGCACGAGCAGCTGCTGTCATGAACTTCTTAGCCGGAGTTCAGCTTCAGCCTACCCATTTCCCAACTGCTCAATAAGCATGTCATGCACTTGCAAGTCCGCGTCAGGCACCATGCACTTATAGATGGCCACGTAATACCACATGGCTATTAAACTAACCAATTGCGCGTCCACGATGAGGATATGCAGCGAAGGACGATGGTTAATCTGTGCCATTCGTGCGTAACTGCCGTCCCAGCCAAGCAACCAGCAGGGTGCAGCTGCGGTTCGGTTACATACCAGATGTGCAAAGGTTGCCCGTATGCCCGTCCGACCATACCCGCCCCCGGCTTCCCGGAAATATCGTGCGGTGGTGACACATGTGCGACGGAGGATTCCGTCCGAGTACCCCGTTGGGAGCACAGGCGCTGGCTTAAGCAGAGGAAGGGTAGAGAAGGACGAGAGACCCTGCCAACCGTACAGTGCACAGATTGTCGGGTGCCAGCGGCACCAGGTCAAACGCTTCAAGCTCCACCTTGGCCTAGCAGTGATGACAGCAACACATGGCCCCTTGGCCCGTCGTACCTGGTGTGCTTACCATGGGGCCGCCTTGGTTGGATGGCACGTGACTGGCCGCCAAGCAGTGGTTTGCATACGCGCCTAAATGTATTGGCAACCCAAATCCAGACCATCTCGGGTACGGGAGACCTTCGTCTAGCCTGCGTCTAGCCAGACCTTCTCTCTTTGGCAGGCCCGGTATCAAACGTGTCAGACCTGAATGTGGGGAGGCTACTGGTGTGAGTTGTTGACAACTGTTCGAGTACCCTCAAGCAGGGGTTTGTTCAGGAAGAGGTGAATGTGCTGGCATCATCCCCCAACACCCTGGTTTGACGCCTCCACCTCCACTCCAGCCCCGATTGCTGTTACCCTCCACCTTTTCGCACAACATTTCATGCATATTTAGTGTATGAGTCCCGCGTAAGGATTAACTTTAGTGAGGTGTAGCAAGTACCTAACCAGCATGTACCTACCAGCACGCTCGCGGGTGTTACTTTCCCTGTAACTGATAAGCAGCATTGTATTGGCTTGTTGTTCAAGATAGGATAAAAACTCCGCCGATAAACCGATTTCCAGCCGTCTGGTGTCGTACAACGCTTGAGGCTGTTTGCAACTTGTTGGCCTTTGCTCACATTTTCGCCTCAGGGCTCGCCTACTTGAACTTCTTTACCTTGCATAAGTGTATTAGGTTTCAGAAAATGCAGTCGACGATTCTACGGTCCCCAGCCTTTAGCAGTGTGCGGCCAAATGTGTGCAGCAGGCGCAGCGCTGTCACGGTACGCGCCGTGCAGGAGGTCAAGGGGCTCGTTGTAAGCACCAAGATGAACAAGACAGTAATTGTGGAGGCTGAGCGCCTAGCAAGCGACCCCGTTTACCAGAAGCGCAAGAAGGTCACTAAGCGCTACGCAGTTCACGACGAATCTGGCGCGCTGAACGTTGGCGACTTCGTGCGGATTAGCGGCTCCCGGCCACTGAGCAAGACAAAGCGCTTCACCGTGGCTGAAGTACTGCGCAAGGCGGACTAAGCGGCCAGGAGCGGAGGAGCCCCGGTGTCATAGATTACGATCATTTGGCACCTTTCAGCTTACAAATTTTGCTATCGACATAGTGGTTCGGGTTCAGGTCGTGGAGGGACGTTGACGGGCCATTTGGCGAAATTTTGGGCAGGCGTGCTTTCGCTAAGGAGGCTCGGAGATCTAGAGTTTTGGTGTCAATTTGTGCTAATAGATAGGGACTTGTGCACAGATAACACGGCGGCTACCAAGTGCTGGGTGCCGAGTGAACATGTAACCCATTACACATGGACTCGTGATCCCGGTCATTGCATTTTACAGTTGTCCTTGCCCAGCTCCCCCAGCTTGTCCAGCTCGCTTGTAAACTCATCCAGAGCGGGCTGGGGTTCGGACGGGCCGGCCTCCTCTGCGTTGAGGATGCTGTTCAGGTCCCGGCCAGCACCACCCGTCATCTCCTCTACGATGTCTCCGGGCGGGTCGCCGTACGTTTGCATCTGTAGTGAATGGAAGGTAGATGCAACCATGCGGGGAGGAGAGGAGCAGAGAAGGGGCAAGGTAGCATGGGAAGGGAGGAGATGGGCAGCAGCAGCTGGAACATTGCTTACAGGCACAGACTACAGACACATGCGGAGTGCACAGGTCTGCGGGTCTTACGTCGTGGTCTTTAGTGTTTGCAGGACTCCGTAGCCAAGAGCTGGATGCAAACACCTGAACCCCTACGCAGCAGCCCCTTCGACTACGGACAGTCACTGATCCCGTACATCATTCAAAACTTGTCCGACTTTCAAGCGCGCAGCAAAGCCGGGCCCAACGGCCTGACGAATAAGGTACTTCGCCGCTCCCCGTAGGATCCTTCCTTCCCTTACTCCTCGGCCTCTACCCCAGCAGTCTCCCAGCCCCAGTTACCCCCCACATACCCCCACCCTCCACCCCGCTCACCTCCTGTATGAGGTCCATCAGCTTGCCGTACTCCCCGGGTGCCGTCTCGTAGTGCGCGCACACCCGCTGTACGGCCTCGTACTGCGCGGCGTAGCGCTGGAAGTCCTCCGCGGGCAAAGAGGCCTTGTGCGACTCAAGCCAGGGAGGGTAGCGGTCGCGGATCTCCTGGAGGGCGGGGGGACAAAGAAATTCCAATGTGTTAAGAAAACTGGCCGTGTGTGTGTGGGGGGGGAGTAATAGATAAGTGCAGCAACGGAGTCCCAATCCCGAATCCCGACTCATACAGTGAGCCGGGCGGGGGGTAAAGATGGTAAGATACCGGTAGTTGATTGCAGCAACTAGAAGTGGAGTAGGGAGGGATGAAGGAAAGGCAAACAAACATTAGAGCGCAAAGAGTCACATGCGGGGTCGGGTCACGGGCAACAAGCAGCACAGACCCACAAAGTAGAGGTCAGTGCGCGGGTGTGACGACCTGACCAGCAGTATTCCGGCCAGCGGAGGCGGTTGGAAGGCATGCGACAAGAAGACCCACGGGTCTCTTGCATACTACAACAGCTCTTAACCTCTTTACCACTTACCATCTAAATGACACCGCGCACCACAAAGCGACAACACCAGGTACCAGGTACCCCGTTCCTTCCCCATCCTACCCACCTTGAGCGGCCCGTACAGCACATCCTTGCTCAGCAGGTGCCGCATGATGTAGTCCACCATCATGTTCACCCCCGCGCCCTCGCCGCCCTCCTCGCCACCGGCGCCGCCCCCCGCCGCGCCTCCAAGCCCGCCCAGCTCGCGCAGCAGGCCGCCCAGCCCGCCCGCGCCGCCGGGCCCAAACGGCAAGCCGCCAGCGGCGGCCCCCGCCGCACCCCGACCTGCCGCGGCGCCTTCCACATGTCCGCGCGTCTTCTTAGCCTGCTTAGATACCGTCTTGAGGGTTTGCTTGGCCAGGCCTGCTAGACGAGAGGACGCCAATGCGTCGTCGTCGCCAGCGGCACCCGACGATCCGGATGCCCCTGACGGCGGAGGCGGCATGGGCCCCGCTGCCGCTGAGGTTCCTGCCTCCCCCGCCATCATCATCTGCTGCATCATGGCGGCGAAATCAGGCGGAAGGCCCTCCTCGCCGCCGCCGGCGCCGCTCGCGCCGCCGGGAGGCATCATGCCTCCCATGATGCGTCCGAACAGCTGAGCGAATGGATCGCCCTCGGCGCCCGCTGCTGCCGGCGCGCCGGCGGGCCCGGCAGCAGCTCCGGATGCTGCGGGGTTGCCGGCACCGGACAACATGCCTGCCAGGGAGGCTGCCATGGCCTCCGCGTCAGGCTCCTCCGCGGCACCACCTGCAGGGGGGGAACAGGTGTGGGGAAACATAAAAAAGTTGGTAGAGGTTTGAACGAGGTCAGACGATTCTTGGTTGGCTGCCCCTAGGACTGCGTGATCTGGGTTAAGACGGCAACGCAGCAAGCCAAGGGGATTCAACGCCATCTAAATGCCGCGATGCTGCGGGACAGGCACGTCTCCAGTACTTCTACACCCCTGACCCAAACCGTTTGCAAGTCCTGCTTGCTTGTCCCTAAGCACCCTAACCTTACCCGCTTTACCCGCCAGCTCTACGCAGCCTGTATTTCGCCGCCGACCCAAATCACTTGAGCACATCCCCCAAACTCCCGCTTCGTGCCATTCATACACCATCCCTGCCAACTCTGTCTGTCCCCGACCCAAATCGCACCCGCTCACCTCCGAAACCCGCCTCATTCAGGAGGCTCATCAGATCGTCGGCCAGGCGCTGCGCCTCTGCAGGCAGCTTGCGACCCGCCTTGCTGCCTGGCCCTTGGGAACCGCCCGCGCCGTCACTGCTACCCTCCGCTGCACCGGTACCGGTCTCTGGTGCACCTGTACCGGAACCATCTGATCCCTGGGCAGCAGCGCCGGTTGATGCGGCGGTGCTGCTGGTTGGCTTCTTGGGTTGCCGCCGGCCCAGCGGGTCAGTGGCACCAAGCCCACGACCCAGACCAAGGCCTTTGGGAGCTGCCTTTGGCGCAACTGCCGGCGCAGGCGAGGGCTCGGCAGCTGACTCTGCATTTGCTGGCGCTTGCGGAGCGGCAGGAAGTGGCTCGGCAGGGGGACTGCGAACGGACGGGATACCCTCGTTGGTGAGGACAGAAAAAACGGGCTGCGTAGAATAATCTGGGTTAGTTTTCTCACCTCGCTGGGGTTGCAGCTTGAGGGCTGATTTGCGGAGGTGCTGCTGGGGCAGGCTGCGCCTCGTCGAAATCGGCGAGCGCCTCTGCAGACGTGTTTCCGGAAATAAGCAAACAGATCAGCGAGCAATCGTAACGTGTAGCAGTCCTGATATACCCAAGTACCTTGCAGCAGGTCCTCGAGACTGTTGTCGGCCATATTGAGGCAACCTGTGGGATGGCAACTAAGTGCTCATCTGGCTGTAAGAAGAGGACTACTGCTTGCCACAACTTGAGTTTGGTTGAGTCACTTGTACACAGATAAAGAAGCCGCGTGCGTACGTATTGACGTGTCGCCATCGGTGTCGTGTTGCGTCCGTTGGTCCAGCACAGCAAACTACTTCAACAAGCCGTGTGCATTCTTTCAGTGCAAACATATTCTTCACTTAAACATATGAATATCTTCATCACGCTTGAGCTTGTGCTATAGTTCCTGCTTAAAGCATGCAAGCATTTTTTCCTGACGATAGCAACTTCGCATAATCACGTTTGATAGTCTTTCAAAAAGGTCGATCTGGAAAGGCTACCTGGCTTGCGGGGGGTTCGGCAGCGGTCAACGAGGAGCGAGGAAGGCGCCAACCTAACTTAGCAGTGACGCTCTGCCTCGGTATCAACTGAAGATGATGTTCAAAAGTACAAGTAGCAGCACGTTCACCAGCTATGACAGCGCCACAATGGACGTGGGTGACCGGGATACGTCAAGGCCATTCCTACGATTCAACGCCAAGCCCGAGCCCGCGCCCGCTCAGCTGCATCCCAGCGACAGCTCGATGCTCGACCTCACAGTCCCGCTTAACCATGCAACCTCGTTAGTACGGCGCGTATTCAGCGAGGGGCTTCTCCTCCTTCGACTTGCCATCCGGCTCTGGACGTATCTGGGTGTAGGTGAGCTCACGAGGTCAAATACACGACCACCATGTCTTGGAAGGGAAACGATTTTGGTCTGCTGACCTGATGTATCAGCAACAAGCACTGGACGTACCTTGCGACCCTATGACGCTGTGTTGCGGACGCAGGCTGGAAGTGGTCCATCCAGCTGGTCCGGCTGGTGCTGTACGCCTGGCTGCTGATGCCGGGATTCATCCAGGTGCGGGGCGTGGCATCCACATGGGGTGTGACTTTGCTGCATGGGGCGTGGCATCCACATGGAAGGCCATGTGTCTTGAGAGCACTTGCCTGGCGGGTCATGGGCGCCTGAGGGCACATACTGGGCAGCACATGGGTATCGGGGAGAGACTTAGATGCAGGCTGCTTTTGGACGGTGCCTAGGCATGGGACCTGCCGATTGGGAACACGGTTGCAAGCAAGGCTGGTGAATTGTGCCGTGTTTTTTAACCCTTAGAGCCATTGCTAAGCTGCCACTTCTGTTCCGCACGAGAGACTCATGCGGCGTTCCATACCTCCTCGCCCGCCTCCGTCACTTCCTGCCCACAGATGATTGCCTTCTACGTGTTCAGCCCGCGTGTACGACGCAGCGTGGTGTACGGGCCGAAGGTGGGTCGCGCCTGCCCACACCTAGGTGAAAGCTACAAGTGCGACCCATGGGTCGTTGCCATTACGAGGCGCGGCTTCAAGCGCATGCTGACGTTCCATTTTTTCCATGCAGCATAGCCCATTCGCGTCTACCTTATTGCCTGAACTATCCAGCACGAGGATAACCATTGTTAGCTACGAGCTACAAAGACGCTTTCCACGCCATGTCTTTCTGACGTGCTTCCACCCTTTCTTCCACCCTCTTTCTGCCACAGCCCCGGCAGCGGCTAGATCTCTACTTCCCGCCCGACATGCGGCCACACGCGCGCTACCCCGTGGTCATCTACGTTACAGGTAGGTCGGGGGATGGCGCCCAGCAAAGGGCCACAGCATTGCCTTCTGCTCCCGTCCACAAAGCCTTCACCATGCAAGGCACGCATGGCCACATGGTCTGTCTCGGTGTGCGGCCATTCTAGGCCTTGTGAGCATGACGAGACGCAGGGAGCTGCACAACTTGTATTGTTGCTCCTCGGATCGTTTCTTCCTCTTCGTCCACCTTTATCCACTTCTTACCTCCCACCTTGGGGTCCGCTCGCCCCACCCCCCAGGCGGCGCCTGGACCATCGGCTACAAGGCCTGGGGTGCGCTACTGGGTCGGCGGCTGAGCGAGCAGGGGGTGCTGGTGGCCTGCCTGGACTACCGCAACTTCCCGCAGGTGGGTGGGAAGGGTGGGGGGGTGGGGGTGGGGAGGTGAGCAGCAGGGGTAGGAGGAACCCGTGCTGGGGGCTGGGGGCATGCTGCTGCTCCATTGCGGGCTTCTCCCAGCTCCTGCCTCATCGCCTCTTTTCTCCTTCTTCTCGTCATCTCTTGCGCGCCTTCCCTCCTCCTACTTTCCCTCCTCCCTCCCCGCCAGGGTGACGCGCTGGACATGCTTGAGGACGTGAACACGGGCATCAGCTGGGTGCTGGGCCGCTGCCACCGCTGGGGCGGCGACCCCGACTGTGTGACGCTGGTGGGGCAGAGTGCGGGCGGACACCTGGCGGGACTGGCGCTCATAAAGCAGGTGGGAAAAACAATGAGTCCCAATGGCGGGATGAGGGGGTGCAAGGTTCGGAGTGGGAGGGGGGGGGCGTATGGGGATGAACGGGAGTGGGACACCTGGCGAGACTGGCGCTCGTTAAATAGGTGGGGCGGGGGGGGGGCGGGAGGGCGGGATGAGGGGGTGCGGAGGGTTGGGAGGGCGGGTGAGATGAAGATTTGCAAGGTTCAGGGCGGGTGCGGGAGTGGGTGGGGATGATCGAGTCGGGTGGGGTGTGAAACACCTTGTGGCGACACAGCTGTAGATGAGATGGACCTCGCCTTCATCCCCTCCCTCTGTCCATCCTCTCGCCGCACACTCCTGTAGCAGCTCTCACCCCTCACATACCCGATAGTATCCCTCTGACCCCCCTACCTGGTTGCACCCTCCGCGCTCCGCCCCCCCCCCCACCCCGCAGGCCGAGCAATGCGCCCTGGGCACCCCCGCCCTGGGTGCCTGCCCCGCCTGGTCTCCCACCTGCCTGCGCGCCTTTGTCGGCGTGTCCGCCGCATTCGATCTGCGAGCCCTAGCGGAGCACCTGCACCGCCGCGGCCTGTACAAGAACCTCTTTGAGCGCATTATGTCGTTAACCACAACCGACGACAACGGTAACGGTTGCGGTAATAGCAACGACATGGCGCCAGCTGGTGGGCAGGATGGCGGTAACGGCAACAGCAGTGGCATTGGCAACACCGGCAGCAACGGCGCTGATTGCAGCGAGGGGACTGCGTGCAATGTCGGCAACCACGGCAGTGGCTACAGCCTTGTCGATTGCGCATGTGATTGCGATTGCAACTGTACTGTTCAACAGCGCTGCAAGAGCAAGAACGTCACCACCACCAGCGGCGGCAGCGGCGGGTGCCCTGGAACTGCGAGCAATGCGCAATCAGCCACTCACTGCACCAACAGCAGCAACATCAGCAGTAACCTTGACGGTGGTGCAAACGGGATTAACTGCGCACGCCTCCCAGCGGCACTGTACGATGAAATCCAGCCGGAAGGTTCCATTGCCAACGGCTACACCAACGGCCGCACCGGTGCCACCGGAGGCAACAGCAAAAACCTCAACAACCGCACCAACGGCTCTACCACCACCAATTCCAACAACGGAGGAAGCGGCGGTGGTGGGTCTTGGTTGGCAGGAATCAGCGGTGTTGCAGGGCTCAGCGGTGTGGGGACAAGCCATGACGCCAGCGGATGCAAGGGCGGGGCGCAACCAGCCTATGAGGCGCTGTCACCGCTGGAGGCGGCACGTCGGCTGCCGCCCGGTGCCGCAGCCATGCTGCCGTACGTGCTGCTGATCCACGGTACAGCAGATAAGACGGTGCCGGCGGAGGGCAGCGCGAGGTTACATGAAGCACTCAAGGTGGGTTCACCGGGGAAGTTCTTGTGCCGTACGTCACAATGCATGCCGTAACGGCGGTACCGTACATGATGTGTCATGGGGTATGCTGTCAAGGAGCGCGTAGTGATGATCAGCTCCGCCCAGTTGCCAAGCCGGTGGAGTGCCTAGTCACGATAGATTGTAACCGGTAGTCCTTCCGCCATCGCTGCCCCTCTCATTTCCATCCCTCTTGCAAGCACGGCATCAGCAGCATCAGCAACATGGGAACCGGCGTCAGGCATAACGCATGAGGGCAATTGCTTTCTTCTACTTCGCTCCCGCCACGCACCTGCACCCTCTTACCCGCTCCCCTTCTCCCACCCCCACTCCCCAGTCCGCCGGCGCCCCGCACTCCCGCTGTCTGCTGGTCCCCGGCAAGACGCACACCGCCTTCCTGCTGGAGGACCCCATGCGGGGCGGCAGGGACCTGCTGATGGACACCGTGCTCGCGGCGGTGCGGGGGGCGGGAGCAGCAGCGGGCAGGGGGGCGGGCGAGCAGGGGCAGGGGCGGGAGCGGGGCCAGCAGGGGGAGGACAGCGAGGGGGATGAGGGGGGTGACGGGGTGCAGCGGCAGCTGGAGCAGCAGGTGCATGTGTATGCCACGCTGTGCCCGGGGCTGTTGTGTGACCTGGCGGGTTGGGTGTGTCCGTTTTGAGGGGGAGGTAGGAGGTGGTGGAGGCAGGGAGGCGTGTGTGTTTAGTGGGGGTGTGGGGCTGTTGTCATGGGTTTGTGGATGTATGGCAATTGGGCTGGAGTGTAGCGAACAGCGGTGGCGCCTCATCAAAGCTGGCAGCATGGATGAGAGGCTGTAGCGTGACACCCAGGGCGAGCGGTGCAGGAATGCAGGGCGCAGGAATGCAGTGCAGATGCACACGCGCGCTATTATGTATCGCTGATGACGGGGTATATAGGAGCTTGGTTAGGAGGATGATAGGATTGGCGGAATGTGATATACACGGGTTCAGGACAGGGAAAGGCATGCGTTTGCTTTATCCGCGCATGCTTTGTCTAAATCGCATGGCTGGCTTCTACAAAGGATGGTTGCGGAGGCGTAGATGTGGTCTGGGGAACGGTTGACTGCGTAGATACATGTCTTATAATGGTTATAAATCCTTTCTTAGCATCGCTTGCTGCGGATTGCTGGCAGGGGCACAGCCGTGTAGTTGCGCGGTGTGTAGTTATGGTACGGTGTTTGCGCACATGGTAAGTTTGGTTGCCTTTCACGGTGCTGAGTTTAACAGGTTTTTGTCATAGATGCCAAGTGAGTGACAGCAATGCTGCCAAGTCCCTTTCTAAAGGAGAGTTAAACAGTCTGCAGTACAGGGCAGAGGGCTCGCGAGGTGTGCGCAATGTGCCGGTAGTAGTAGCGATTGTGGTTAGAGCGATGCGATTTTGTTCACATTTGGCCGGTCAGGGCTTGACGCGCTGTTGGTCTTCCGCCGCTGCACGCGCTGAGCTGCATTTCGTCGTAATTTGGAGTGGGACAGTGTGTTGGCATTGCCCGGTATACCAATAACCTGGGGTTGCAAATACAGCGCACACGCCATCTGTGCTGCGTGCTCAAGAGACTGCTGAGGTAGTAATGGTACATAAAGAGGCAGAGAGCTATGCAGGTGCCTGGTGCCAATTTGCTAGTGGTGCGCGATGTTGCTGCCTACGTCTGTTACCCATGAACCTTTTGCTGAGGTCGGTTAGTTGGTTGGGATCAACTGTCAGACGGCAAACATGTGGCGATGGGCTGGCAGGAGCACCTTGACCTCGTATGATTGGTGCGGGTTGCGCATGGCAAGGAGCATAGGACTTGCCATGCCGATTAGGGCTAATGGCTGTTGTTAGCTAAAACAGTGCGTGTACGAAATCTTCTCCCTTCGCAATGCGGTGCTTGCAGTTGCAGCCGTTCCCTTGCGAAGCGTCTTGTACCTAGTATGGTAGTAGTCCATGTTTCGTTCTTGTACTTTCAAGCGGGAACTTGAGGAGTTGTTGTGCGAAAGCGGTGCCGAACACAACGGTGTCCCCGTACTGCGGCCTACAGGGGTAGCAACCCAAACCACGAGGCATGGTAGCGTGAGGGAAGGGATTGCTTGCATGTGGTGCTGTTGACCGCTTTGCTTTGGGTGCCGCTGGTGATAACGGTGCGCAGGGGCCGTATCCGAACCCAGATTGCAAACAGAGCTGTATGTTTTCTACATATCCTGCATGTTATTTCGGATAGTTACAGGATTGTTTGTTGGATCCTGCACCTTATTGGTCACAAGAGCTTTGCCCCGCCCTTTGGTTTACACGCACGGGCGTTGAGGGGCGTGTATGTGTTATGGTTTTGCGCACGATAGGACCGTATGCAACAATGCGGACCTTTACATCGTGTTCGTGTTACCTGTGCAGCTATTCTTTTACTTTTTCCTGTGGGATATTTGTGTTTCTATTGACACGTGTATGCTGCTCTCGCATGCACTTTTATGGTGTATGGGGTTTCATAACTGCAGCAACGTTCCATTTTGCAATCTTTCGCTTAAACGATAGGGTGTGGTAGGCTTGGAGTGTTAACTGGGCTAACTGGAGAGTTGGGATGGAGCATTCATGCATCCCAAAGTGAAGGGGAATGGGAAAGTACGGTTGTGCGAAATGCACGCACCTTCGTACAGTGCACCTCAAAGAACCGTATGGACGGACGGACTGTATGAAGGTGCGTGCCGTACATCTCTCTGGCAATTAGTATCCTAACAATGTCCCTGCAGGGCATGTCCCTGGGGTAGGTTGCTTTGTTGCGGCTGTCTAGCGTGTACCGCTAGCGATTGGGTCTCTTGTACTGCTTTCCGGCTTTCAGGAGCTCCGGTCCCCCTTGTAACTTTCGCATTCTAACAATGTAGTCGGTAGCTGCGTATGTATGCCGAGCTTGGATCAGAAGCAGCCAATATGGTCATGTAACCCCTCAGTCAAGCTACACTCGGGCCGGTAGAGTGCAAAATTACGTTACCCCCGGGGCGCATGTCAAAATGAGAAGACAGTATGCCGCACAGCAACCGCGGACTGACATTGTTTTCCAATTAACCCCGGACATGTTCAACTTCGAAATTAATTGTCCGAGACATAACCAATACGCATCTCCACACGGCGTTACATTGCAAACCTCGGTCCAAATGTTCGACCCAAGGGTCTTCCCCGACATCCAACACCTTTGAAGCAATTTAACCACGCTTTTCCGCCAATACTCGTGAACGGTTCTGCTGCAAGCGTTACATTCCTTTGGCCAACTGTAAATGATAATTGCATATCACGCTGAAAGGAAGGAAAATGATCTAACCTAACAGACCTTTACATATTATGGATACGCTACACTGCTACGTCCAGATTTGCAAATCAGTGCTGTCGGGAACAAGATACCGTACAGCCTTGCTTGCTTGCTTGGTTGTTCGCGTCCCATTTTGGGTGCAAGTTGTGCACCACCCAAACACTTTGTACCATGTATCAGCGGGCAGGAAGCTCCTGTGCAGGAACTCGCTTCGTCTCAGGTCCGCACATTTCATTACGGCAGCGGTTGACGGGGACCTTACGTGGCATTCCTAAGATGTCTTTTTCCTACTCGCGCAACATTGATTTCGGTATCATTTAAGAAGGTCTACGAGGCCTGTATTTGTATCCAGGTAAAAGAAACCTTGTCACATCCTCTCAGAACACCTTTCTTGCTGGGATCATGGCAACCGGTGCGATGCTTCGTGGCAAGGCAGCCTTGGTAACGGGTAGCACGCAAGGCATTGGTCTTGCCATGCTGAAGGCGTTGGCGTCCGCGGGCTGCAATGTTACAATGCATGGCATTGCGAATGATCTGGAGAAGATTAACGGGGTCTGCAAGCAAATTGCCAAGGAAAGCGGGGTTGAGGTTACTTACTCGGACGCAAACCTGCTGAGCCCGGCAGCTATCCGCGACATGGTCAAGCAAACGCATTCAGCGTTTGGCAGGTAGGTCGCGGATGCCGTGGATCACACAACAAACCCAACGCGCTTGCTAATCTTATGGTTATATGTTAACTCCACAAGGGCTTGCAAACCAAGGGGATGTTTCATATCCAAGGGATACCTAGGTCCGGGTGACGCCGACTACCGGAACCCGGTGATGCCTGCTTCTGCTTGCAGACTGGATATCTTGGTAAACAACGCTGGCATCCAGTACGTTTCCCCCGTCCACGAGTTCCCAGAGGACAAGTGGGATGCCATCATCGGCGTGTGCCTCAACGCCACCTTCCACGCCACCAAGGCTGCACTACCGTACATGATGGAGCAGGTGCGCTCAACCCCTACCCTGGGAAACCGCACACCAGGATATAGTAATACATTCATATTGCTCTTTTGTTATGACACCTTCCCCGTCGCCGTACTAAAACATCCATGTCGTACAACCGCAGGGCTGGGGTCGCGTCATCAACACCGGCTCCATGCACGCGCTCGTGGCCTCCCCCTTCAAGTCCGCCTACAATGCCGCGAAGCACGGCGTGGCGGGGTTCACCAAGACAGTAGCGCTTGAGGTGGGTCATGGGTGGCCTTGTGGGCCGCGTGAGGAGGAAATGGGACGAGGGGGGGGGCAAGGAGGCTTGGGTAAATGGAAGTGTCTGCATGGCGCTGCCCCTTCAAACAGCTTATCGAAGCGCGTGATATGGGTTGGTGTGTAGGGTGTGTGTGTGATGGACAGGTACCCATCTCTGAAGGGGCATGACTCGGCTCTACATACCGGTACGTTTCACCTTACCCTCAACCGCATCCAGAATCTCCAACCGCTAACTGCCTCAACTACCAACTGCCACACCCGCAGGTTGCCACCAAGAACATCACCGTCAACGCCATCTGCCCCGGCTACACGGACACCGACCTAGTTCGCAATCAGGTGGGAGCGCTGACACCGCTGCGCACCGCTGCGCATTCAACACGGCCCGATGTGTGTATACGGCTGCATGTGTGCGGCTATTTCCATCCTGGTCCGGATACCGGTTTGTTGTACTACGTGGCGTGTCTTTCCCTGTCTTCCCCTTCCTTGGCTTCCTTCCTACACGCTACCCCACACGCATACACGTGCGCCTGCCCAAACCCTCACCCCACCCTCGTTGTTTCACATATTTAACTTTTTACCCCACTGGTACCGATGCCATTCCCTCATCATGCTGCCAACTTTGTATACCCGCCTGGCCTCCTACGTCCTACCCTGCCACGGCAGATTGCGGACACGGCTCGCATCCGCGGCGTCCCGGTGGAGAGCGTCATCCGAGATGTGATGCTGGCGGACCAGCCCACCAAGAAGTTCGTACGTCCCGAAGTGAGCGCAGTGGGGCAGAGCGTGTACGGGTGGTTATGTGTTGAGAGCTTGAGAGACACGCACTGCTGGGTTCAGCGCTTAGGCTGAGGTTCAAGGGCAGGGCGATGAAGGGTTCGGTGCACACCTCAACTTGGTTTCGTTGGCTCGTTGGCTGCGATCTTGAATGCCTGGTGCTCTCGGACTCTGCTCCCAAGCTGTGCCCAATTATTTGTAAGGCCAATTTTGCATTCGCACCCGCTGTGCTGCTCTGTGCTGTGTTGCTGCTGTTCGCAGGACATTGGTGCGCTCGTGGTGCACCTGTGCGGGCCGCACTCGGATTCCTTCACCGGCGCCTGCCTCTCAATCGACGGTGGCTGGGTGGCGCGCTAGGCGGGTGAGGAACGAGGCGCGCGCGTGGAGGTGGAGGTGGTGGAGGTGGTGGGGGTGCTGTACACTAGGAGAGAGGTGTTGTGTCTTTGTATCTTGTATGCTGGTAGGAGCAGTGGGCCGGAAGTGTCATCGGGCAACAGCGATGTCAACTGCACTCATTGGCATCGACCCAGATGATGGCTCACATGTATCGTATGCAGGAAGCTCGGTGAGTCTTTATACGTAGTAAGTATGGTAGTAAAGATGTTCGGTGCTTGTTTTGCCTTGCGTATCGGACAAAAGCAGTGGATCCCGGAAGAAGGGTGCCAGTAACGGCGATGGTAATTGTCAGGGTGTTGTGGGGCGCCATGCGGCAATGAGGAGTGGAAAGCCCGGGGGGCCTTATGTACAGGAAGCACAAATTCTCGTACATAGCTTAAAGCTATAGATCTGCTTGCTAGTGTCCTATCACATGGGCCGCCGAAGCCATCCTAATAAGTGCGGCAACTGCACGGTTACGCGATAATGGCTTATTTGCAGCACTGCGCTGTTTACCCTGTTTTGTTTATAACGGCGCTTGTTGCGCGGTATGTGTTGTAGTTATGTTCAGTTTGTTTTTTTGGAGCCCGCCTACCTTTGGCCCTTTCCAATGGCCAGTACGTTGGGACTAGGGAGTGGTGCTTTGAAAGCACGGCATCTTGGTCTCTACCTGCCGTTTAGAGCAAGGGTTTAAAAAGGCCGTTGCTGCTCGTGGTGCCATTTGCGACGTTGCGGACATGTGCAGCCGCCTTTGAAAGAAACGTACGGAGGTTCTGGGGCTGATGCCACAGGAATCTTATGACCCAGCAGCTGGCGGCGGGTTTTGTTAGCGGCTTCGAGTCTGCATCTCGGTAAAACCCGCCGGCATTGGAGTATATTCCAGGGTGACCCATGGGTCAGACTGCACTCACTCCTCAGTGACCTTTGCAGCCTGAAGATGCGTAACTAATGTGGATCGTGCATTTCACCGAGATACCCAAGGCAGGCACATACTCAAAATCCTAGCCGCTCCGGTGTTACCTCGAAACACCCACCCTTCCCACCAACACGTGGAACTCATAGCGACAAACTGAAGAAGGGGAACTTTCACAGCTGCGACGCCTGGTTACCGGTATGTCGACGTGCAGCTAACATCCCAGTCACTATTGCCGCACGGGTCCTCCGCTACTGAACACCACAAGGGCCAATGCTGGCTTCAGCCGCCACACTCATCTGGGTTACAAGGTTGCACACCGGAGTGCACCTTCCAAGCAGCGCAAATGCAGCATTCAACAGCTGCAAAGCACGAGGAGACATGGGGCTGGAGGCCATAGAATATAGCCACGTACGATGCTACATAGCGGAAATGGCACCGCCACCCATCTAGCAAATGTATCCTACAGCCCGGCCATTCAGCAGTCTATCCGCCGTCCTGCGGTGCCCACCCTCCTCTTCCCCTATGATTCGGTTACTCCGCCTAACGGCACACTCGTACCCTGACCCCCTTGTCCAGCGCCTTTGAATGTCTGAAAGGCGTAACCGAGCAGCTACCACACCCAAGGCGTACGAGACATACACAGGAACACGCCACCGGAATGCCCATTCCGAACCACCGCCTTATGTTTATTACCCAACCTGCGTCCGTTACGGCCAACAGGCAACGTTGCCGGTGGCGGGGAGCAACCCAGCCAGCCGTGGCTACGTGCACAAGCAAACCACCGAGTTGCGCACGCAAAGCTATGCCCTCAGAGTATGCATGCCCTAAACGCAGCTGGTCACGGAATCACGTGCGCTGTGATTGATCGCTAGGGAAGAAGGGGGAGGGGGTGAAGAGGACCAGCGGCCCAACGCGAGACTCGCCCACTCGCTTCAGCAAGCTGCCTGCATATGAATGAAGAGCCATACAGGTAGATAGGTGCATACCGTAGGTGCATACCGTAGATAGCGCTCGCCTTGGAACCCAGCGGCCACCATCTGTGTTCGCCATGTCTACCCTGTCGACGAATCCGAAAGCCCCTATTGTTGCCGCGCCTCCTCCCCCGCCAGGTCATGTCATGCGACCCTCCTTCCTCACGTGTGCATCTTGTCGGTCCCTTGTCGGGTGGACGACCCAAATGCACTCCTCCACAACGACGCCGAGAGGAGACAGCCCTCCGGCGGCGCTGAACCGAATAGTCAATTGCGAAGCAGCAAAAGCAGCTCAAACAGCCGGCAGTTCAAGAATTAGTGCAAAGCGACAATAGTCAGGAGCCCACTTGCTAGCAACCGTGGTGTACCTGCAGACTAAGCTACACGCCCCTGAATGCCTGCACCTTTACTACGGCCTCTGTGTTGCCCTCGGGCAGCAAAACGATACTGGACTCTGCCCCCTGATCCAAATACCCCGCACCAAAATCCAAAGCCCACGTAACGAGCGTCTACTGCGCCCAAGCAGTAAGGACCACACAGGCTAGTCACGACTGAGGACCCTAATCCCCGCTGCGCCCCGGTGCCTTTATGATCGCGTGCACATTGTTTCTTCATCCAACGAGTCACGTCCCCGCTCGACTTAAGAATAGGACCCGTCCTACGCTAACGCCGTGCCAAGAATTGATGCTAATAGACATCCTACATACATACAGGTACATGCCGAATGTTGCTGTGGCTCTGCCAAGCCGATGCTGCTACCAGCAATGCGAGTCACCGGTAGTACTTCTTAGCAACCACGTCCACTTGACGAGACCCTAGAAGGGCTTTATTAACCCCAACAGGCGCGCAGGGCCAGCATTCCTCAGCCGAAGCCAGCCCTACCCCCACCCCTCAATCGTCGTCATCATCCCAGTCCTCCTCCACCCAGTTTTCATTGTCGGGCTTCACAGCGGGGTCATGCACAACGTTCGTCTTGAACCCGGGCTGCCCCGAAGCACCCAAGTCCACCTTCTGACGTCCAGCCGGCGCCGCAGGGGCCGGAGGTGGTGCGGCCGCCTTCACCGCAGGCGCTTTGGGTGCCACCGGAGGCCGGCTAACCGGTGCCGGCGGGGGCGCCTGCTGCCGCCCCTTAGGCTTCGGCTGTGGCTCCTCTTCCTCCTCCTCGTCCTCATCTGAATCCCAGTTATCCTCCAAATGGTCGGTGCCCGCTGCATGCTTGGCGAGCGCGGCCTCTTCTCGTTCCTCCTCCTCATCATCATCCTCCGCCTGCCGCCGCCGCTGCTGCTGCTGTGCCGCAGGCTTGGATGCCGGGCCCTCCCCGCCGCCACGCCCACTACCGCTCCCGGAACGTGCCGAGGGCGCGGGCGCCTTCGGCGGAAGCGACGCAGCCGCCCCCCGGGCACTGCCGGCAGCAGCAGGAGGAGCAGGCGTGCCGTGACTGTCCCCTGACTGCCGCCGAGTCGCGGATACTGGAGCCTGCGCCGCCGCCTGCGGCTGCGGCTGCTCATCTGAAGCACGGCGACTGCCGGTGCGTCCACCTCCGTTGGAAGCTGTTGCCGGACGCTGTTGTTGCTGTTGCTGTTGTCTCTGCTGTTGCTGTCTTTGCTGGGCGCCTTTCTCCTCCTCACCATCGTCGTCGCTGCTGTCCCAATCGTCGTCCTCCCACTCCTCCGGTTTGCCTTCGGTTGCAACAGGCGGCGGCGGCGCCTCCGCTGCAGCGTTGCCGCGGCCGCCGCTGCCCGGCCGGCTGCTGCTACGGCTCCCAGACGTCGCCGACGTCGTTTCCGCGCCGCCGCCGCCAAGCATCAGCTTCTGCCCACTCTGCCCACCATTAGGCGTACGCCTCTGCGACGACGACGCTGGCTTGCTACCCTCTGCCAACTGCAGCCTCTCACCGCCGCGGGACGCCGGCGCGCCGCCGTGGCTGCTGCCATCACTTGGGGGCGCCATTCGGCTCCGGGGTTGCGGTCCGCTGTTTAGCGTTAGCCGCTCGCTTGAATGCTGCTGCTGCTGCTCGCGTGCTCCAGAACCGGACGTACGGTCCATGCCGGCGCCGCCACCGCGACCGTTGGAACCGTTGGAGCCGGCGGATCCGGTGGTCCCAGGCCGCGAGGAGGTCGCTGTTCCCGGTCGAGATGACCCAGCGGTGCCGGGGCGTGAGGTTTGATGTGGCTGCTGTCGCTGCTGCAGGGCCGCCTCTTCCTCCTCTTTTGGAGGTAAAAGGGCAGAGAGAGGGGAATGGACGGGGATTAGCTGTAACCTGTAACGTTGAGGGAGGTCTACTTGCAACGATAACGATAGCTGTCCCATGACCCGCGGGAACAGTGGCAAGGGAGGCCGCTGGCGGTGGGCATTTGGTTCCCATCGCTCCCAGTGGGAGAACCGACATAGGCTGCCAACTTTGCACCAGGCAGCAATATCTTTTTCTTCTCCTAATACGAACAGCCCTTTAAACTGACGAAAACTCGGGAAGCCCTGCTCCAGCGCAGCTTGTAGCCGCTCCGCCCCACCTTCGTCTTGCCAGCGGCTCCGCGGCTTGGGGGGCGACTGCTGGAAAGCCTGCACCTCCTCCACCTCCTCCTCCTCCTCCTCTTCCTGCTGCTGCTGCTTGCGGGCGGGTGCCGCAATCATCATGGTTCCCATGCGGGGGTTGGCGAGCAGGGACCTGCGGCGGGGCAAGACAGGGTTCAGTGGGGGGGCTCCTGTCTTAGCAGCAAGATCCTAGCTAACACTGTCCCGCATCCACAATTCACGGTGTACAACAGAATCCCTTCGCAGCTAGCGCAACCCAGGTCGTCAAACGACATCATTACCGTCACCGCCACATGCCACCGTGTCCATCCGGCTTCCACACCTACCACCCCATCCCGCACATCGCCATTCCGCACCCGCTCCTAACACCCACCTAGGCGATGGTGGGCGGTTGTTGGGCGGAGGCGCGTCTAGCGGTACCGTCAGCAGCGGCTCGGGCCTCCTGGTGGCGGCTGGGGCCGCAACGGGGGCAGCGTGGTGATGGTTGGCGCCAGGAGCGGGGCCGTCATCGTCGCTGTCGTCGTCGTTGGCGGTCAGCATCTGCTGCTTGGTGTGCTCCTGGAGGCAGGAGGTGGGTGCGTGGCGAGGAACATGGCGGACCAGTTATGAAGTGTTGTGGTGAGGCTTGAAAGTCAAGGAGGCCAGGTGACCCGCCGTACTCAGGGGGGCATTGGACGTTGGGAGAATGTCGCGAGTCATGCTGTGAGGACCCAGTAGTTTACTGGCTGGACTCTTCAGTGTTTCCCAGGAGGTCTGAAGTGGGGGTCATGTGTGTAGAATGATGGTTGTGTGCGTAATATGCGTAACCCCGGTTCCCACCCCCACTATTCGGCGATTTCCTTAGCCAACAGCACGAACGCCACACCGCACACCTTCAGGTTTTCCAGCTGCTTTGCCTGTGGGGTGTTGTTTCCATCAAGCTTCTTCTGCCGTGCGTCTTTGATTGCTTCATACCAACGCTCGTGGTCCGTTTTAGTTTCAGCCTTGACACGAAGTACGCGCTCCGGGAATCTCATCTGCAAGTAGGGCGACCCAAGACATGGAAGAGCTATCCAACATGCAAGCACGCAACTTCAAAGAAATGTCAGGTCATGCTGACTAGCCACCCAGCTGCGCAAAAAAGAGCCCTGGTTATCTGATAAGGACGGAATCAACATGAGCACCAGCAGAACTCTCCGTTTTCAGCTGCTAATAAGCATGATCTATTCACCCACCTCCAACTTCATGTCTTCCTGCTTCTTGATGTACTTCAGTTCGTGGATAGCAAACACCTCGATGTCGCCACCTCCATCCTTTAACTCGCGCTTGTCCTTGGCATAAGCCAATGTATCGGACGTAAGCTCGAACCATCTGCGCTGGTACTTGCTTGACTGCAACCATGAACGTATATCTCCTCGTAGGTAAAGGCTACAGCAACAGGGGGCCGCTTATTTCTCACCAAGAAGCTGCGCTTGTCGTCTTTTTTCTTCTTCTGTAGATAACCGTCAAGGATAATTGCAGAGACCATGTGGGTTTGCTCAGCTGTTCGGCTTCCTAGACGCAACAGTGCCCCAAGCCCTGGCAAACTCCAAGCCCTAACAGTTGTATTAAAAAAGCTTACTATGTAATAGTATAAACTCTATGGCGTTTTGTGTGTTTTTGTTACGTCAGTTGTTGAAAAGGGAGCTGAGCAGATAGTACAATGTTGCGCGCCTGTGTGTCAAGGAATGTTAACGTACCTAAACATAACAACAGGTTCCATTATTCGATGAGGAGCGTCCGTTTAAGCATATATGGCAATCCTGATGTTGGTCCAATACGATAGACGTACACTATCCAGCGAAATCCTAGACTTGCAAATGCTCAGCCAAATAGGCGTTCGTCAAATAGCCACTGTCAGACCTTTCTATTATCAGTCTTTTCGCCATGTGATGCTGCTTGCTGTCTAGCTGTGGACCCACGGACCAGACTTGGACTGTTAATGCTTCTGTCATATTTCCCACGCCAAACGCGCATGTTTTCATGCCCTTGCAGTTGTCATCAGGAAGGAATCTTGGTCTGATGTCAATTGCGCCTTTGCAAGCTGCTGCCGTACGAAGGCATAGGCTGCTTTTGGTCGGGGCGCTTATCTTGGGAGAGCAACTATCTACGCGTCTGCATAGATAGTGGCAAGTGTTTATCGGTACTCCACGCCCATCCGTTCGTCCAAGCATGTTAATATACCGAGACAAGCCTCCGAGACTCCGGATGAGTCAAGACGCCAGACCCAACGCAGCTTTCGGGCATCCGAGCTTCAGCACAATACGGTGACAACTTACATGTCAAAGGTTTCGTACACTCGTGTGTCAGTCGCATGCCAGCACCACCTCTATTGCCGTACATGCGCTGCATGGGCCGACCCCAATTGAACGTCATCACTCTCTGGTCCGTTGCAACTCACAACCCTCTGCGCAGCAGTACCTTCGTTCCCACGCGCACCCCTACCGCCATGCATTCCTAAACTCTCTAACTCTCCATTCCTGAAATCCGCTACTCGACGGTGCAACAATGAAATTAGCATGAATACATACGAGTCCGTCGGCACTAGGCAAATCGTGCATATCATCCAAACGTGCCAAGCTTACCTTCGCGTTCACGCACCAACAGTGAAGAACAAGAACAGCGCTGGCCCCAACATGTACGCCATGTGAACGCTGTACAGAGTACGGCAATCCCGCATGCCCTACCGCATGAGTGCCGTACTGCTCATCACGATTGCGTTGGCATTTACTTGTTGGTCTTCTTGGCAGGGCAGGTGGCGTCCATGTAGAGCGTGAAGGGCTTGCCGACATCCTTGCAGCGAGTCACGAAGTACTTGGACACTAGTGAGTGGGAACGCATGCAAAAGGGTGCGGCATGCAGCGAGGAAAGGGTCAGGCAGGAGACGGACACCAGGACAAGGTAGGATAGCGTGGGGATGCAATAGGAGGTCAAACAGATAGTAAGAACACCTGACTGTCAAAACCCACGTGCTAGCCGCCGCTAACCCCGCTCCACGCCTCTCCAAATTGCTTTACCGCCTCCCCTTCTGACCCCTGCCTGCATGCCGTACGCAACCCCTTTCCCTGCTGCTGAGGCCACGGAGCGTTCCCAGCAACATCCCGTACACGACTCACGCATGCGGTACTGGTTGATATCGTCGTTGGTGAAGGACTTTACCAGATCCAGTACGGCAGAGTCGCAGGAGCAGTACTGCAGATAGCGGCGGCGGCGGTACGGCAACAAACACGATTCATGTGACACTGTGAGAATAATACGATGCATGGATTCTGAGCTTGCCGCGGCCCTCCCTTTATTTCCGCACGTACCCACGTTAGCCCTTGGTTGTGGTTATCCCTCAGCCGGTACATCCCCGGTCCCACTTGTGGTTTCACATGGTCTGGTCCCGGTCTGCCCCGGCCCACCTGGTTGTTGAACTTGGCGGTTGCCTCGCAGCACTTGGCGGAGGGCGGAGCCGCCTTGGCCAGGAACTCCTCCAGCTTCTTGGGGTCAATCTGCGGCGATTGGAGGTTGACAGTTGACGGTTAGGATTGATGATGATCGGCGGGAATTGGATTAGGACGGAGAGGGCGAGCATCCGTGGATGCAGGATAAGTACTGGGTTGGGTCATATACCGTACTCAGATGAACCTGCTCTCTCTAGCTTGGGGTTGCAGGCGCATGACGACATGAGAGGGTTGCAAGCATGCCTGTGCGTGCCCAGATTCCGCCCTTCCTCACCTTGACCGACCCAGGGTCCGCCTGCACCTTCTCCGGGTCCACTCCGAAGGCTTGCAGCCCGATACTGAACTCATCGCTGCACTTGGACTGTTAGTTCAGGTGCACAAGTGGGAAACAAAAGGCAAGAGCATGAGAAGGGGCAGTAGTTGAGAGCGACAAAGGTTCCATTTACAAGAGTATCCGTCCTTGCTTGCATGCTGATGCCTTCCGTGTGAGCCAGCAATGCACGAGCCCAGCATAAGATGACCCATGGGGCAAACCCAACGCCCTTTTCCTCTTCCCAACGCGACCCTTTCCCCCGCGCAAGCATGCAGTAACGGTCATTGACTCATGCAGTACCGGACCGCTTGATGACACACGCTACGATCTATCTATGCACAGCTTGCTTGCCTGCAACCCAAGACCTGCGTCAATACACTCTTGCGGAATGGCGGGGTTGCTTGCAGCATCCGCTGCCGGCGTGCCCGCAGCAGCCGGTCCCATGCGTCGCTGTGTTTGTGCAGCGACACAAGCTGCAAACAGCAGCGCTGCAAGGCCGAACAAGGACGCGCGGCGGCGGGAGGTACGCAGAGCGGTTTGGGCGGCTGCACCAGCGTTTCCGCAGTTGTTGCTGACAGTCCGTCTGATCATGGTTGGGAGTGATGGGTCTGACAAGCGGATGGGTTTAAGGCTCGGTAGGGTTACTGCTGCAGGGGGGTACTTAGTGTTGTGTTGTTGCAAGTGCTTGATAAGCGCAAGAGCAGTCGTGCATGTTTTATGCAAAACATATCCACAAGGCCGGTCCATCCGAGGTGGCCGTTTGACGTACTGGAGTCAGAGAGTTGACGTGTACTGATCAGCCGTTTCTTTCCAGTATGAAAAGTGTAGTGCTGGCTCGAGAGGCATCAATCATAGGCGAGCAATCCCAACGGCCAAACGACTCCAGTCCACGGGCATTCCGCATTAATCCTCTTATAACAAGGTAGTCATCATCATGCAAGTGTCCTGCATTGAACTGCCAGGATTAAAACCCCTACCTCCTCAACACTAGGGCACTCCTGGCGTATCATTTATTTCCTCATCATTATTGGGGCAGATCAGGGCTCGCTCTTATCTCCGCATGCATGCCAACCTTTCTGCCATATATGCGTGCACGTTAGCCTCGAGTAAAGGTAGCTCAGCACTTATGACGAGGAGCTCAGCTAACCATCGTACAACACAATCACAAACGCCGGCCCAACAGACGTGTAACAGCCTAGCCACACCAACTGCGCAACACTTTAGTCAACTCAAGAAACGATTCACTCATCATCGCAAGATCAACCCAGCGGGCACTGAAAATACTACTCACCGAGATTTCGCACCACGCTTCATTATTCCATATCTTGCATTGAGATCAACATGCGCCGTACGTCTTGGGATTGTTTGTAAACAACCTGGTTCTTAAACCGCCCCAGCCTCAATCATAACCATTGGGAACCACCGTGGTCGCCTCGACCCACCAATTAAGCACCATCGATCGCCGTATTCCTGCTGTGATGCCGCTTCCCAACAAATGTCCGTAACTAGGATGGTGTGTCCTGCTGGGCATGAGACCTGAAGCAACCGAGCATTTCGCGCTTCTTAGCTACCAGCGAACTGCGGTGCCGAGCGGCCGTACGGCATACATACCGGTAGTGCCGTACAATGGCACCTTAACGTCCGCCCGTCTTGTCCCGGGGGCAGTTAGCGTCCATGTAAATCGTGGAGGGCTTGCCAATCGTCTTGCAACGGTCGGAAAAGTACTTGGCAACTGTCGGAGCGAGGAGGAAGATATATGCAGGGGCGGAGGCAGCAGGACGACGACGGTCATGGCAATACGGGTACTTACAACCCAGGGGTCGCAACAGATAGCAGCAGCAACGCAAGTGCCTTGGGCGTCCTCACTCAGTGTACGCTGTGCGTGGCCGCCGGCTGTGCGGGGGCAGATATCCCAACATGGAGCTAGGGAGCAACCGTACTTCATGACCACGCAGAAGCTTACGGACTAACGAAAGAATGCTGACCTAGAACGTGCGGTAGATAGGTTCATAGATAGGTACAACAATCAAGCACCCACCGCACGAGCGCTGCTGCGCGGCCTTACCTTCCCTGTACTGGTTGATGTCGTTGTTAACGAAGGATTTCGCAAGGTCCAGTACGGCGGGAGAGCAAGAGCAGTACTGCACGGCGGGTCGTACGTACGACACAGCAACTGGGTTGATTAGAGAGAGGTCAGCACCGGAATGGAACCAAGCATGGGATTGCGTGGACCGTGGCACTCGTCACGATCAGCGCAGGCTGCCACTCGGCACGCCGGATGCCAAAACAACAGCAGCGCAAGAACCCATACAGGAGACGACCCTACCCCCGCCTAGCTGCATGCAATCGCACCTAAAGCAGGTTACAGCAGGTTAAAGCGAGATCAGGCATGTCACTGCGTTCAATGCGTCCTCCAGGTGGCCTGGACAAGGCACCAGCGCCGAAACATGCATGTAGTCCGTTAGCTGGTTCTGTACATCGCATGGCAGGTGGCGGAATTCGCCAGCCAGCGGCCACGCCGTCACCCCAGCTCCGACACCACCACGCCGCCCGCCACTCCACCACCGCCTTCACAGATAGCGTAATGATGCAATGACCCGCCGTGCCACGTCGCATACGTGGCCGCCCCTGTCATCCCAATGCACTACTGCCGCTGATCCGCATGAAGCTTCGCCTTCACCAGCAGTGCTGCGAATTCCTCCATGAGCTCCTCCCTGGTCGGGGGCTGGAAGGAGGTTGGCGGCGTGTCCTGCTTCAGCACACCCTGGTACACGGCGGGCTGGCGCAGGACCGACATAAACGCATGTGCGGAGTAGTTATCCTGCGCGGCCTCCAGTAGCCCCTCGTCGGCATCAAAGCGCTCCCCGCCACTGGAACCGCTGTCCGGGCTGCTCGTCCTGCTGTCGCTGCTGCTGCCGGCGCTCTTGCTGCTGTCACCTCCTGCCGTTCTCGGCCCCAGGACCATGCCCTGCAGTCGCAACAAGGGTGTCGTGGCAGCCATAATCACCCTTGATTGTGGCCGGCGGCTGCTTTGCACGTGGTGCAAGAGTGGTGGCTGCTTGGTGCGACGAATGCATGAATGCCCTCACCACCCAGCCCCCTCTTCATGATTCTGAGAAGCGCCCGCCGCACCTGGGCGAACGCCTGTGCCATTGCCTTCGTCGCCGCCTCCGCCATCTCCTTCGCAGCCCCCGCCGCCTCCTTCGCAGCCTCCGCCGCCTCCTTCGCAGCCTCCGCCACCTCCATCATCGCCACCATTTTCGTCGCCGCCTCCGTCAGCTGTCCTGAGGCCGCGATCACGCCTGTTGCAACAATTGTAAATGAGTAACCTGAGGAGCAGAAAGCATGCGGCAGTGAGTGGAGAACGCGTGCTTACTGGCCTATCTGCCCGTCCTCTGCCCGTCCCCAACCAACCGCGCGCCGATCCCACCCAACAGCGTTGTTGATATGCGCAAACTTGCAGGGTGGCTTCACACGGCATGCATAACGCCCCAGCTTGCTACTTGTGCACCTCAATAGGGAAAAGCCGCAGGCCCCACGGTGCGACGTGCGGGTGTGCACGAAGAAAGGCGACCGTCAATTCCCATAATAACACAGCGCCCGCACCCGGTTCATGGTTAAAAAGATCAAGTTGCTCACCTTGCTGCAGGAGCTTCCTCACCGCTGAGGCAGAGCTGGTGGCGTTGCCCAGGAAAAGAACCGCAGCGTTCGGCATGCCCACAAGAATCGCCGCAGCTTGCCCCTTTTCTTCATCGGATAAGTCCAAGCTGTACAGCTTGGTTGCCCATTCAGGACAACTATCATTCGCCATCCGGCTTCCAAAACAGAAGGCCTGCTTGGCTCGGCTGGCTTAATCCTTACTCGAACTTACGAGCAATGCATCAGCGATGAAGGTATCACTTTTACAGAGAATATGGTGTCGCTGGCAAAGAGTCGCTGTAAATAAGGAGGAACCAGGGCATTTTAGCAGCACTATGACTAACTCAGTTTAGGCTTTCGAGCTTCACCTCCTGCCTTAGCAGAGCAAACTGAGCACTGGATCAACGGTTTGGGCTTAGGGATGGGCTCTCCGAGACCGTACGAAGCGACCCCAACTAACTGAAGCCGGTATCGTGCATTGAGATCAACATGTGCCGTACGTCTTGCAATTCTTTGTAAACAAACCTGATTCTTAAGACGCCCTAGCCTCAATTATAACCATTGGGAACCACAGTGGTCGCCTCAACCCACCAATCAAGCACCATCGATCGCCGTATTCCTGCTGTGATGCCGCTTCCCAACAAATGTCCGTAACTAGGATGGTGTGTCCTGGGCATGAGACCTGAAGCAACCGAGCATTTCGCGCTTCTTAGCTACCAGCGAACTGCGGTGCCGAGCGGCCGTACAATACGTACGGCATACATACCGGTAGTGCCGTACAATGGCACCTTAACGTCCGCCCGTCTTGTCCCGGGGGCAGTTAGCGTCCATGTAAATCGTGAAGGGCTTGCCAATCGTCTTGCAACGGTCGGAAAAGTACTTGGCAACTGTCGGAGCGAGGAGGAAGATATATGCAGGGGCGGAGGCAACAGGACGACGACGGTCATGGCAATATGGGTACTTACAACCCAGGGGTCGCAACAGATAGCAGCAGCAACGCAAGTGCCTTGGGCGTCCTCACTCAGTGTACGCTGTGCGTGGCCGCCGGCTGTGCGGGGGCAGATATCCCAACATGGAGCTAGGGAGCAACCGTACTTCATGACCACGCAGAAGCTTACGGACTAACGAAAGAATGCTGACCTAGAACGTGCGGTAGATAGGTTCATAGATAGGTACAACAATCAAGCACCCACCGCACGAGCGCTGCTGCGCGGCCTTACCTTCCCTGTACTGGTTGATGTCGTTGTTAACGAAGGATTTTGCAAGGTCCAGTACGGCGGGAGAGCAAGAGCAGTACTGCACGGCGGGTCGTACGTACGACACAGCAACTGGGTTGATGTGTCAAATGGGAATGGAACCAAGCATGGAATCTTTGCGTGCGTGGATCGTGCCACTCGTCAGGATCAGAGCAGGCTGCCACTCGGCACCCCTTATGCCAAAACAACAGCAGCGCAAGAACCCATACAAGAGGCGACCCAACCCCCACCTAGCTGCATGCAATCGCACCTAAAGCCGGTTACAGCAAGTTAAAGCGAGATTGAGGGCGACACCTGGCCGGCTGCCTCACCTCGTTGTTCCAGTTGACGGCCGCATCGCAGCAATCACTGGTGGGCGTGGGAGCCCTGGCGAGGTAAGCACGCAACTTGGCGGTTTCGACCTAGGGCAGGCGTGCGATTGAAGACCCATGGGTCAGTCATGATTTCCGGCACTGGTACTCGGACTGAAGAGGAGCCGGGCTGTTGTGTGCTTGCTTGCATTCATCCATAACCCGCATGCTTGCATTGGGCGTTTTGCTGACACTAACTAACAACGATAGCTAGGTATCCATGTGCGCCCGACTGAAGTAAGACGGAGTGTTGGGCGTACGTAGGTTGCGTGACGACCGCATGCATGCGTACCCGAATGTTCCGTATATCGGTGGTGGGGCTAACGCCGAGCGCCTGGGAGGCAATCGACAGCTCCCTTGAGCACGACGACTGCGAGAGGAGAAGCAGCAAACCACGATATGGGGGTATTGTTACCAGCAGACAGCATGTACAGCAACTGCCATAAGCCTTGCTTGTACTGTGCGACGGAGCAAGTCAAGCCATGCACGATGACATGGGGCCAAGGGAGCAGGAAGAACGGAAAGCAGGGGAATGTCGCGGACCAGCACAACCCTGGTATATATTTAGTTTTTTGTGTGTTTAATGCGTTCTGCAACCCCCTGTAGGAGCTTAGTTGAAATCAATGCCCGCACGTGCGTGCTTCCCATAAAAAATGTACAATGTTAAGGTGTTCAGATTCGCATGCACATCGCTCACGCGGCGCATACCGAACCGCCGATGACCCACGGTTCGGTCGTCGGCTGACCTCCCATGTAGGTCTTCACGCTACACCTCGTTGGGGGTTCAACTAACGCACCCGACGAGCGAAGGTCCTCCGGCACCCCTACTGCGCCCCAAATCCCAACGATGCGGCTCTTGCTTGCTTGCCTGCATGATCAGCCCGTTGTTTATGCACTCCGGCGGCATATTCTGGCCCGCAGGCGTAGTCTCTTGCAGCAGGAAGCGGCGCCATTGCTGCTGCTGGTTGAATCGATCTCGGACGAAGCCGCTGTAGGACGAAGCAACGTTGACTGCGGGTAATGCCAAGATAACCAGCAAAGCGAAGAGCACACGCGATGGCATTAGCGGGCGCGGCGCGGCACGGAAGGTAGTTGTAAGGTGCCGGCGGCTTCCGGAAACCATTGTAATGAAGTTTCCTAGCGTTTCAGAAGTTGAATCGTGTAAGATAAGCGTTTGTGATACGCTGCGGAAAAAGGTCTCGAGAAAGAGACACAGGGAAAGGTTGGGCACCTGCCGCAGCTAAATGATGCAATTTAGTTGCGATGAAGGGTGTAAACGACTATAGAGGTTGCCGCTTGTACACTTAGTGCTTGGATACACGGCTTTGATGCAGCTCTGCTCCGTCTCCTGCAGTATTGCTATGCCCTTTGTATCCACCGCTTGGGGTGGCCGCTTCGCCTGTCAAGGTTGCTTTGGCCTGGATTCCGCAGTACGAGTTACATCGAAGAGCCAACTCTTAGGCATACATATTGATTCCTACGAAAGCATGCAACGTCCATGCAGGTAAGATAGTATCAACCCGACAGCCTAAAAGTAGGGCCTGCCATTTATCGATCGGACGCCTCGGCTTGCTAACCAACGAACCATCGAAATTCCCTCTCCGCGGCATCCTCCCATTGCCGGTTAGGATCACATACCCATTGAGCCTAAAACGGATGGGTGGGTTTTGCAAGCGCCCACCCATACATGTGTCCATCATTATGCCCACAACAACAACAAACCCAACACTAACATCCCTCAAACAACCCTCCGCTTTCCATCTTCAACTACTGCAGAATGCCTCGAGACTCGAGCAAAAGAAACGAACCAAACAGACCGGGTTCAGAAACCACGTAGGCCATGCCGGCATGAGGAAACACAGTCGCATGGGCTTAGCGGGACGACCAGCTTCATTCCAGCATCCGTAGCTAATAGGCTCTTCTTCTAACGGCCCCCGTTTGTCTTCTTGGGGCAGGTGGCGTCAATGTACGCCGTAAAGGGCTTGCCAACCTCCTTGCAACGGTTAGCCAAATACCTGGCCACTGGGGAGGGAAGGCGGGGAGGGGGCACGAACACAAACAGACCCATGGGTCAGCGCTCAGTTTAGGCAGCTGCCAAGCAAAGCAAACACCCAGTGTGTATTCGGTGCGGAAGCTCGTAACATACGGTACACAACGGTGCATGTACGTACGACATCACATATGTGCAAGGGGATGCATGTTATGTTACACGGTATGGTTATCTTATAGCGACGCTCCTTCGTGACAGCAACCGCAGCAGTGCAGCATAGCTTATTGTTGATTGCTTGGTTTGGTTGCATGGATAGGAGCTGTACGACACTCTTACCCTCGCGGTACTGGTCAACGTCGTTGTTGGTGAATGACTTGACCAGGTCCAGTACGGCAGGGGAGCAGGAGCAGTACTGCGGACGTACGGTTGTACGGCAAACAGCGGGAAGGCCGGGGACGGCGTTAGGTCATCATGCATGCTGCAGGGGTTGTAAACGTGTAGCCCTGCATAGCCGTGGGGCAGCAGCAGGTTTGTGTACATGTGTGATACACACGCGCGCTACCCGGCAAGTCCCCCCCCTTTGTCCCACACGCATACTGACCGCATTGTTGAAGCTAGCAGCAGCCCCGCAGCAGCCAGAAGAGGGCGCCGGGGCCTTCGCCAGGTAAGCCCGCAGCTTGGAGGTGTCGACCTGGGGACCGCAAGCGTGTGTGCATGCATGCATAGGAGCCGTCAGCACGGAGAGCGCATGATGACCCATGGGTCAGCCGTCAGCAGCCGTCACATGCTGTTTATTTTAACATGGGGTAGTAACTAGGTGTGCCGGGGCAGCGATTGGCATTTGGATTATTGGTATGGCAGGCGTTTTGCCGCAAACGGGGTTATCGAGTATCTAACGACATCTGCAGTACTTTTAGGTCTATCTGCCGTACATACACCTACCTTGATGGTGCTGATGTCGGCGTTGGGGTTGAGGCCGAACGCCTTGGAAGCGGTCTCCAGCTCGGTGGTGCACGAGGACTGTGTGTGGGGTGTAAAGCATTGACGTGCGTGCAGGGTTCAGCGCGGGGAATGGGTTTGGAAACAGGATGAGGGGGGCAGAGGAAGCCCTATATTCGGAGCTCTTGTGGAGGCTGATGTGGATAACGCGATTGGTGAACGTGACCGATTGACAAACGCAAAAACGATAAGACAAGCGGTGTATGCCTCTCTTCCTGTAGTAAGGCTATAATATGAGTTCCATACCTGCAACGCCAGGCCCGTGTTAATACATTCTGTGGGCACTGCGGGGTTGGCAGCTGCAGCGGCGGCGGCGGATGAAGGCGTGGTCGCGGGCTTTGCTTGCATGAGGCCACGACGCCAGGCTTCGGACGCGGTGACAGCCGTTAGACTGGCCGTTACAGCCAGCAGTGCTGCCAGCAGCATGGGAGCAGCGGCCCTCAGCGACATGCGGCTGCGAGTGAGCGATGGTGCCATTTGGAAGGTTGGAATGCGTTGGATGTACTTGTGCGCAGGCAAGGAGAGCGTTGGATGTGCACTGGTGTATGTGGCGTTACGAGCGTGGTTGAACACGCACTTCCCCTAATTGGTCGTAGTTACGAAGATAGAAGAGACACAGGCCTAATAAGGATAAGGACAGCAAAGCGGTACTTGCGTTAAAAGGCTTGTGGTAATTATGGTTGGTTGGCTGTACACGGCCGTTCGATCGTTTGCCTTTATACGA